GCGTCGCGCAAACGGCACTATAATATATTCTGCTATTTTTGAAATCGTATTCCGTCTAAACCACGGAATATCAAACTTCCGCAGCGTTTGCATTAATTGTAGCGATGGGTCGTTGAAGGTATTTTCTTCAGCTTAACGTTAAAGTTGATTCATGTTCGTCAACTAGTTAACGTGACACATACATAAGTATGTTAAATTGCAAGCCCTTTCTTCTACCAGGGAAAACGGATGAAAGCTATGCATAAATATAACAAATCTGATTTTTTTTCTTTTGTTTAAACTAATTTTTTTTCTTATCAAAATCAACCATCATACGCTGGTGTTTAAGGTAGGTACTAAAACACTGATGAAAATATTTAAATATATTTCCGCTTCAAGTACTTTTTAAAGTTAAAGTGGTAAATTTGTTCGTTATTTTCTCTTTGCATACATAAAAAACAGCTTTGCCGCTAGAACTGTCTTTTTATGTATGAAGCCACAACTCACTGTTAATACGATATTTTTTTTTGAATTTTGTACCCACATCCTCTATACACTTAAATAATCATAAATTAAAATAAAAAAAACACTAACCACAAAGTAAAATTCTGATAAACAAAACTAATAAAATACCAAATATAATTAATTAAAAATTAACAAATTCACTAAACATGAAGTAAAGTTCTGATAATATTTACGCAAAGCCACAAAATATTCTATAACCTTGCGCGCAACTATTCACAAACTGTCAAACAAAAATAAGCGCGTTCGCTTTCTAACTTAAACATGTCCTTCATAAAATTCATAAACAAACATTTCAACTCAATTCTGTGACGTTTTTATCAACGTAAGTTTTTTTTTTTTTTTCAACGTAAGGTTTTCAATTCGTTACGCTTATGTTCCGTTGACTTAACGTATCGTTGACTGCGTTTTTAAACGAATTGATTCAACGACAAAATTTCCGAAACGATGTTAACGAATTCAACTAGTTGATTTCAATGACAGTTAAAGTTAATTATTTATTATTAGTAGAAAATATGGCCGAAGAGTTCTTAGCCCCTGCGGAAATCAAACCCGGATTCATGCCCATTGCCCTGACGCTTTAACTAATCTAAATCTAATCTAGTCTGAGCTTAAAACGCTTACGCCCGGTTTCTGAAACACTGATCATCGTAGATGTCAACTAATCAGCTGTCAAATGGATTTTCAAATGTCATTTTAGTTGCTAAAAGGATGGTTAAACTCTGAATTGACCAGAATGATCTTGATAAGAATCATCTGCTAGAAGATGTTCGAGAAACTACGCTTTAAGGAAAAATTATACATTAATAATGAAAATTTTGTATCAACTAAATTAATTTTCACAAAAAAGGCGAACGTAACGATTGTAAAAATATGATTAACACGCAGATAATTTATTAATAATGCTTGTCGTCTTGTTTCCTTCATTATTAGAAATCATCAATACTACAGCTCTACAGCATGAAAAGATACTTATAGAAAGTTAATACTTTACTAAGCATTCTTTTCACGAAATAATAAAAAAGATGTAGAAAAACACAAATGTACTATAGAGCCCGTCTACGCCACTGCTGATCTTTATAATGTTCATATGTTTTTAGTTCCAGAAACTTACTGGAAATAAAAACTACCTTTTACTTTATTTTTACTGTTTAGGTTTTATTTTGCAGACCGATTCGTATTTTATTTTCCTCATCCATGTCTGTATATTTATTTTTCCAATTTAAATTTCAAATAAACAGACACTTATACATACAAATGTGAAGTGATTAAAAAGCTTGTTTAATTAGATCAATTCCTTAAACTAGGGGCCTCATTCAGCTTTACCGCCCCGGGCCTCTGAAGGCCTTAGTCCACCACTGATCGAACCCCAACCAATGAAATTATTAATTTTAATTGCTGACTTATCACGTGCTCAGCGGTGAAGGAAAAAATCTTTCGGAAACCTTTCAATAAAGTGGGCCCCGGCTACCTCACTCACCAGACGAAACGCAAAAGTATGACAATTCGTGGTACTTAACCGGACGGACCTGCCTATTCATGCAACAGCCGAAGCTATTGTGTGCCCCAACAACACAGTCCAATATCCCTAAGAATCACTGGTAGAAAATGCCATTAGCAAAAGTCCGAAATTAATTTTAAACTGTTTTAAATAATAATAGTAAGTTGTTTAAAATTTGTAGAAAAAGTACGAAAAGATAGTCACCGCTGTGCGAATCGAACCCACGTCTTCGGCATACGCAGCCTGACGCTTTAGCGACTAAGCTAAACGGCTGATTGCCACACCGACGAAAACTTAACGTCTTTTATCTTCATTTTTTTTACCATTTGAAGCAATGCTTGGCGCTTCCATTGTTATATCCTTTCCAGCATACAAACAATTTCGAACATCGTTTTACATAGACATCGTGCAGCCTATTGGTCCGAGCTTCATGGTTGGTGAACAATTACGGTGGTCCCAAGTTCAAACCTTTTTGGGTTTTACTTCTTTTCCAGTCAGATAATAGCTACCGAGGTCCGGCCCTCTCGGGCATCCTCGAATCGGAATGCTAAACGCGTATTGAGTGACAGCCCAAGCTGAGGTCCCCTCTCGTGGACCTTTGAGCCTGGTCACTCCATGGAGCGTCCGCCAAAGCATCCTAAGAGCTTGGCGGCCTCCCGAACCGGTTATAATAATAGCGTGATGGCCCGAGCCGAGGCTTACTCGGAAGCCCTCGAGCTTAGTCACCATAATGTAATAATAATACGCCGAGGTTCAGGCTAGGCGCCCCGTGCGCCAGGCCGCCTCAAGTCCGTCGGATCTGTGAAGGCCCCTAAGGCCAACAGTGGCTCAACCAGCCAAAAAAAATCGTTTTACAACAATAATTCGAACGAGAGATATCGCCATTGCTTTTTAAAAATTTAAATTTTTTATAGTGCTAATCTCTGCACTTAAGATTCAACATTAAAATTTATCGAAAAAGTACGAAAAGATTTTCGCCGCTGTGGGAATCGAACTTTTTATAAACAAATAAGTTGCTTGATTTAAATCGTTCTCAAATATGTGCTCAAAACTGTTCTCAAAAGTGCAAAAGTAAAATAACTGTACCGTATGAAAAAATGGGTGAAGACAAATTATGCGACTTAAACAAGCCACAAATTGTTACCAATACCAATACTAGCTTAATAAGTTTTTAAAAATTTAGAAATTTAAAATTTAAAACCCAAATCCGCCCCGGGCTCATACAATATTAGTAATAAAATTCTTAAAGCTCTCCCTGGGCCGCTTATCTGTTTACTGGCGACCATTTACAATACATTACTCTCCAGTTGCTCCTTTCCGGACGACTGGAAAGAAACCAAGGTTATCGGCATTCACAAGCCGAATAAACCCGCTAAACAGCCCTCAAGTTATCGTCCCATCAGCCTCCTCAGTTGCCTGGGGAAGCTCTACGAGCGGCAAGCATTAAACATGCTCAAAGTGCAAGTATTTTCCAACGGCCTTCTGCCGGTGGAACAATTGGGCTTTCGAGCTAGACATTCCTGTCCCGACCAATTATACCGCCTAACGGAACACATACTGAAAGGCTTAAATCATCTGATACATATTAGCACGGGGGCTTTTTTCTTCGATGTCGCAAAGGCATTCGACAAGGTCTGGCACAACGGCTTGCTTTACAAGCTGTACACACTCAAAGTGCCAGATAGGCTCGTATACACCATCCGGGCCTTCCTGTCGAACCGCTCTTTTCGATATCGAGTTAAGGGCACCCTCTCCACAAGCCGCCGCCTCACGGCTGGTGTTCCACAAAGCTCCTGCCTCTCACCCTTACTCTTTACACTCTACACAAGCGACATACCCAAAGACTCCCACGTCAATCTCGCGCTTTTCGCGGATGACACGAAGGGAATAGGCTTCAACTCACTACTCGTCTCCAAAGCGCCACCGACCGCCTCGGCGATTGGTTCAGTAAATCCCGAAAAGAGTGTGGCGATTCACTTTACACGAAGTACTTACCCGTCACATCTTTATAAAGGGGCAAATATCCCTTTATGGCCAACCGCTCCCCTGGGAGAAAAAGGTCAAATACTTAGGAGACACTTTCGACTCGCGTATGTCATTTACTACGCACATTAATAACATGCGTAATAGAGCCGCGTTCTTCTCCGGCCGGCTACACAATTTAACTAACGCTAAAAGTAAAATGCCCTAATTATTATTATACGTATAAGACCTGCGTAAGACCTATTATGTCCTACGCATGCATGACTTTCGCCCACACGCACCCTACTCGCTTGTACAAGTTGCAAATAGTACAAAATAAGTTCATCCGCCGCGCAACCGGTGCGCAGAGGACGTCTCGACGATTCGCGAATATTTAAAGACCTGACCAAACCATTCTTCGATAGAGCCGAACATCATCCCAACCCTATGCTAGTAAGCGCAGCAAATTACCAATCCGACACAAACGCGAACGTCAACAAGCGTCGCCCGCGAAACGTCCTCATCGACCCGGTCGAGGAAGCGGATTTAGATAGGTCGGACCCACCGTCGGTGGTCCTGCCGGATAACACGACAACCACAGCTGATGTAACAACAAACACAATAGGCCTCCAAGCACGGCGAGACCAACACAACGCGTACACAAGGTACACCCGCGTTCCAAGGCGGTTCTCACCGCTCCCAGCCACCGATTAGCTAAAAACACAGTCGACAGCCATCGGGGTCCCGGTCCGAACTGCAACCTCGATGGCCCTTAGATGACATACCATAGTTAAACGCATGAGGACACGCGCGGCCCTACCCGCAGCGGAGGGCCCAAACCCGTGGGTTCTGGCTAGCCCACCGGTTCTGCGCCAGATGAAGCTTTAATAGTCTCAGGACTGAAAGCAAAAATATCAGTTAATACAAGGTACAAGATAAGTTTTTATTAAATAATGCTATTTAACTTCATAAAATGTGAAACAAATGAAACAACCGTGACAGTCGTCGAATTTTTATTTATTATTTTTTATGTTCAGACCAGTTTCTCTTTGACCTCCAGATCGATGTACCCCTTGGAGAGGACCTCCCCAGTTCTATAGGTAGAATTCATTAGAAACCTGCCCTTCTTGAACGGGAATATTTTGGGGACATTCTCCATCGATAACGTACTATTCACCACGTTATACGTACCCTGAAACAGAATATGAGTGACTGAGAAAATAAGGAGTGGTAGGTTTACATGGTGAGGCACATTATGAGAAGGGATAAAAGTTATGTCTGTGAAAGGGGTCAGTATTGAGATGACGGCTGGTATAAGAAAATGGTGGGAAAGGACATGTCGTGCCGATCCCACCTAGTGTGATAAGAGCAGGAGAAAAAAGAAGTATTCAGTGTTTTATATATAATAATAAGAATAAAGCAACAGCAACAAATGTATCCTTAGTCCGAATAAAAGGACTAAGGATACATTTGTTACTTAAACTACTGCACAATAACTACTAACTAATTAAATTATTAAAATTCGTGTATTTGGTGCTTCTTTAACTCCTAAAAGTCCGTTTGCCAGTTGGCAAAGGCCTCCTCCAACCTACTCCATTCTGATCTCTCTCTGGCTACTCAGTGGCATTCAGTGTTTTAAAGAACAATAAATAAAATAAAAATGCGGTTGCAAAAAATGATCTGTATGACAAGTGAACCAAAGATAATGTTTCCAGATCAAGGCGTTTATTCCTGTCTTATTTTAATGTTACCGTTTCTGGAGAAGAAATTCCTAAGAGACTCCCTGATATTCTTCTACCGTCATAAAATTGTAAAAGTCATAAAAGTTAAAACTTCAAAAAGAAAGTAAACGGTGATATGTGATAATGTAAAGCAAAATGTTTTATAACGTTTTTATGTTTTAAGTTTGCAAAGAAGCGGCGGTCCACCTGATGTTGAGTGCTTTACACCTCCCATGGATGTCTACAACAACTGACGGGTTGCAGATGAGTTGCCAACGTTTAATTAGTGGATCCCAGTTATTTCACACGTCAGATGAAACGCGTAAGAATAATACCCCCGCATCACGCTGATCGTCTGTCAGGCCGAAATATTACCCCGGTCGAGCCTGCCCATCCGTGCAACAGCCGAGGCTTCTGCGTGGCCCTACCACAGAATGTCTGATATTTATATTATATATATTATCGTGCATAATCTATAAGAGCGTTACATGGATTTTTCTGTATGTCTTTTTATGAGACTGAAAATAACAAATTTACATCACAAATAAATATGCAATACATAATAAAAATGCAAAGAAAATAATTTTGAGGAAAAAAAACAACTTCAAACAGGAAACTAAAAGCATTGTCAACACCTATAACATTTGAGGATTGCCCTCGATTTCTCTGAGATACCATCATCAGATCTGGGTTTCCTTATTACGCTACCACCCTTGGGATATCTCCTTTCCAACAAAAAAAGAAACATCAAAATTGGTTCATAAAGTACGAAGTTATCCCCGAACACACAAAAATATACGGTCGAATTTAGGAACCTCCTCCTTTTTTGAAGTCGGTTAAAAAGGAGAGATGAAACAAAATAAAAGAGACTCACCGCTGGCAATGGACAATTGTTCATATTTCCCCGTTTCATAAGAGTGCCTAAAAACTTGTCCCTGTTCAGAAGATCGCACAATTTTAAATGCAACTCGAAGAAAGTCCTCTTGTACGTGTGACTGGAGAACTCGCAAAAGTGGATATTCACCTGGATAGTGAAACGTGGCGTTCTGATATAACTTTTTCTGTGTGTACTTTGTGAGAGATTCTTTTTTTTTCTTAATCATAATTTGTTTTTTGGATATGCCATTGTGACCATCAGGGACGGATTTAGGGGAGAGCAACCGGCTACAGCCCCGTGGCCCTCCGCAAGAGAGGGGCCCCCACATTAGAGACTTATTTTTTGGAAAACTCGATTGAAAAAAATTGTTATTTTATTTGTTATGGAAATTGATTCGGGGCCAAGGGGCCTCCACTCCTTTGTTGCCCCGACGCCCCCAGACCTCTAAATCCGGTCCTAGTGATCATGACATTATACAGTCATTGTACTGTCTCACAATGACTGTATAATTTATTAAGCTTATTTTTTTTATGCGCAAGTTGCCAAACGAACAGACGGTTCACCTGATGTTAAGTGAATACCGCCGCCCAAGAACATCTGCCACACCTGAGGGTTCCAGATGCGTTGACAACCTTTTGGAAAATTGGGCTCCGGCCACCTCACTCACCAGACGAAACGCGAAAATATTATACTTCCACTTTACGCCAGTCTTCTGTGAGATCGTGGTACTTACCCGGACGAGCCTACCCATTCGTGCAACAGCCGAGGCTGCTGCGTGGCCCTACCACCGTTAAGCTATAGTAAGGAGTCACTGAAACAGCACAAAATATTTTTTTTGCATCATCTGATACTGGCAGCGTTAAAATTGACTGCGCTATTCCTATGTTGTAAAAGTTTATGCTTCGCGGCAGTCAGTGGGGGAGGCCTATGTTCAGCAGTGGACGCAAACAGGCGATGAAATGATAAGAGTGTGGAATGTTGAACCAGCTGCCGCCGGCGGTCTTTCCGAACCGTTACGACCTGGGAACCTTCAAGAAGAGAGCGTACTCTTTCCTAAAAGGCCGGCAACGCATTTGTGAGCCGTCGGGTGTTGCAGATGTCCATGGGCGGCGGTGACCATCAAGTGAGGCTCCTGCTCGTTTGCTGCTTTTTTCCCATAAAAAAAAAAAGAGTTTATGTTCAAGGCTGTCATTATTTCCTCTCTCTCCTTTTTTTCCTTGACGCGTTCCATCAAAACATGGTGTCCATCCTCCTCTACTCCACACAGGTTGTGATAGATTAAATTTTTATGAATTCTACTTTGTAGAATGTATTGAGGGCGTTTCGTTTTAACTGGCTAAATATTTATATAGTTTGCACAAAAAATATTTTTAATTTCCAATACTAAATGAAAGGAGGAAACGTCGATCTGATTATATGGAGACTCTTGCTTCATAGTTTTTTTTTCTATTAAATTAATCTCACATAACATATTATGTAGCCGTAGTCAAATTATGCCTCATTATCTAACTTTTGTTTCCATTATATACAAATACACATATGTAGATATGACACTGGCGCACCAAAACTGAGGCGCTCAAATTACGCCAATTAGCGCAGATTGCAATTCTATAGACTGCTATCTCTTTCCGTTATCTATATCTGTCCATTCACTTATATATGTCATGTAATACAAAGCGGAACAATTTTTAAATGCCGCGCAGTATGAACATGCGTCTTATATATTAATAAACGTCATTGCTCACCGTTATGTTATCGTCGAGAGGCAAGAGTGAGATACCATATCCGCTGACGTAGTAATTGGGGTCGCCACGATTGTACCTACGGGCGGTCACATTTAGGTATGGTACGTATTTCTTATTGAAATAAGATACCACTGGACGCTCCAAGCTTATATATTTTATCTGTCGAGAAAAAAGCGCAAAATTCAACATATCTCCGTTTAAAAAGTTATAGTTTCGAAAAATCTGATGTAATCTTCTTTGAGAAATCTTATTATCATTAGAAGAAAAATACCTTTTCCAAAATGCATTGATTCAACTGTACGACGAACCAAAGCAAAATATAATATATCAATAACAGCTGTCGCTGCGACATCGCAATACCACTCCACTCCAAGGTTAAACGCGATATGTGATTTTGGTACGTAATTTAATGGTCATTATTTGTAACGAAAATATAAATGATCCTCGATTAATGTCGAATGGATGTCACTGAAATTGTTGCTTCAATTTTCAAATTCATTATATATACCTAGTTAACATCATTTTGAACAATCTATTTGAGTCTTCTCTATGTATTCAATGCCCTATATTTACGATTATAATAAGAGGCAGTTACTTTATGAAACTGCGAGTTTAGATATAAAAGGGAAAGGAGATTATTTTAAAAATTAAGTGACAAACGACCAGACGGCTCGACTGATGCTATGCGATTACCACTGCCCATAAAGATACAACAACAGAACAGGAAGATGGACCTCCGGCCTCCGGCTACCTCACTTGTGGACGAAACGCTAAAGTATAAACATTTTCACTATATCCAGACTTCATTGTGAATATGTATTCACTAAAGTATTGCTTGAGAAGCCTATTGAAGAAGATTCAATAGTTAAAGATACCGCTGGCCACTGTGCGATGGAACTCAGCGTCCAGACGCTCGCCTTCAATTCAATATACTCGAGCGTTCAAGTCTCGGTGCCTACGCCAATGAAATTGTTTAATGCAATTTTACGTTCTGTATTATCACGTGCTGAACGCTAAAGGAAAACATCGTTAGGAATCGCTCGTATTTTGGAAAAAATTAACAAAAAAATTTCAAATACGCAGTCTGCCTATCAACAGTGGGGTCGTGTGGTACTAATACCCTCCGTAATACCCTCCGTACAGAGGAGGCCTTTCCCAGCAGTGGTACATATATAGGTAAACTGTTACTTTACGTTGCGACATGTGTAAACTGTTACTTTAGTTTACATTTCGGATACTGGCAGCATCTGGATGGAAGCTGTAACAACAGAGAACCATCGACCTTCTACATCTTTAGAAAATGTACTATTATATAAGTGATTACTACTATTATATTCAGTGATAATGGAGAAAGTGAAATTCTTGTATTTTTATGTATCCTTTATATGCTTCAGATAAGAGCAGCTTTTCAAAATCGTACTACTTTTCAACTTGTAATAATCGACAAGGTTTTGACGGTTTTTGCAGTGCTATTTGAAAGTACTGGATGCTTCTTACTGCCCACGTTCCCAATTATTTATTTCGCCACGGAATAATTAATGTTGTATAGTAAAAATTACTTGGTGACATAAATCGGATTGTATTAAAAAACAAATTTTCTCCGCTGGCCATATGGAAACGTGTTCTTTCTATGAATGTTTGAAAAATTACGCGTCCCAAGGTTTTTTTTATGAAGTTCATATTCATTTTTTTATTCGTGCTTTTAATTTTAAGTATCTGCAAGATATTAATGTGCACCAATTCAAAATGAAATGACGAAATACGACTAGGTGGCGTAGTTGCTAAGCCATTGGCTTCGGCGCCCGGTGGCCCGAGTTCGATTCCCACATGGAAATGCATTAGTGTGACTCATATATGATAGTGATGGCGAACGGTTGTAAAAACCTTGCCATTACCATTAACAACATGATTCACATGTTGTGACGACCCCACCTATGTGGGCAGTATCTGTGAAAATTTCAACTGTCTAACCTATAACAATTAAGGGTTCATGAGATAAAGCCTGGTGACAGAGGGACAGATAGAAAGGCAGCGAACGTAGTCTTAGTAATAGGGCCCCGTTTTACCCTTTGGGCACGGAACCCTAAAAAGAAGAAGAAGATAGATAGCTATTGGATGTGATGGTTAAATTGTTTCAATGATAGTTAAAATATATCTTAAATTTTCATCGAGTGCAATCGAAAAAAATGACATTCAAAAATTAAACGTAATTTTTGCATTTTATACGAGCCATTGTGTTTCCGTCGACGTAATACAATTAGATTTAATGCATACGCTTCCTGTGATTACATTTGTATTCAATTATTTCACAGTTCGACGCACACTGCGACCCTCTCCATGTCTTTATACATAAATGTTTTTTTTTTCGAGAAGGTAGCAAAAGAGCCGACGGTTATACGATATTGACGTCGGAAGAACACAACAGCTAGATTGTCGCAGACGCGACCTTTAAAACAGTGGACCCCAGTTATCTCTCACTCAACATACTAGTAGTAAAAGTAAAGTAAATTAACAGCCTATACATATCCCACTGCTGGGCAAAGGCCTCCTCCGTATACCCTCTGTATTAGGGTATAGTCCACGGACTCTGCACCACGCGGCCCCACTGCGGATTGGCAAACTTCACATACATTCAAATTTTTTTTTTATTTCGAAAATGTGCAGAATGTTTTACTTCATCATTATATATTATGAGATTTTCTAAGACTTAAATGTAATTAGAATTTAATAAATCAACTTTTTACTCAAAAAAATTGCAACAGTCCAATTTTTAAAAATATTTTCAAAAGTATTTATGTAAATCGTACTATTGAATTATAAATACTTCATATTGATGTTTGTATTTTCTGAGAACATTTACCGTAGCATATTTTTTTATACCTTAAGAAAGTTGAGATTTCAACGAACAAAAAGCCCACCGACTTTTTTAAAAAAAAGCTGATATTTCTACGCGAGTATTTTCCATTGAAATGAAAATTAGTGCTCTTTCGATATTAAGTCAAAATAAGGTGAAAAATAAAATTTTGAAATCATTTACATTACAGTGTATTTGGGACATAAAAAGGAAAGTTTACAACAAATTTCGTTGAAAAAAAAATTTTTTTGTAAAAGATTTAAAAAAAAACCAAAACGGTTGTTTGATTTTTTCACATAATTTTTTTTCACCCTACTGTTATTTTTTTTAGTTACAAAAATTAATCGACCCTGGTCTATCTCTTAACGTCTTGTCTACTTTTTTAACGACGTTTGGAGCTTTTTTGGAGTTTTTTTAACTTTACTGTAAAGTAAGAACAATAGATTGTTCTTACTTTACAGTAAAGATCCACACTTCCTAAAATTTTTCAATAAACATTTGTAAATAACATGGATGTCATTTTTGGTATTAAAATATAATTTTATTTTAGTGCACTTGAGATGAAAGTACCTATTGAGTAGATAAGTTACTTATTCCATCTTAAAAGAAATAGTAAACAATTTTTAATGGGGTATTATAAAGGGATTATAAATTTAAAACTGAATCTTCAAGGACTTCAGGGCAAGTCGTTTGTCTAGCTTTGACGAGACACTAAGAGTTTCCGCTCATAAATATTATAATGAAGCTACGATTGCCATATGACCGTTAAAAATAGGAAAGTCCTGATATAGGTAGAGTGGTAATCGGTAATCTGTAATACTAATACCTTGTTGACTCGACACTTCATTATGTTCAATGTTGCCATAAACGGTATTTTATTACCTTTTTCTGCAAAAACATAAACTGAGTAAAGCTTACAATTTATAAAGCCAAATTATATAAAAGCATTTAGGTATAACATTTTCCTTAATGATTTATTTTCTGTTTTCTTAAATGACCATTCGGCTCGAATCAATGCTGAGGCATTAGGGCTTAATCTTTACGCTAACACCAAATAAGTCCCGTTATTATGCGTCAGTAACGGACAACCTTTTTTGTTGTTTTTTTTTTTTTTTTTAACATTGCCCTTACTTTAGGATAACATTATACCGTGTTGTAAGGACGTTTTACAAACATAAATTTCACGTGGACACCTTAAATGAAGCGAAGTATTAATCATATTGCTTTTGCACCGTTTCTTTTTAAACATTTTGCACTTTAAACAGATCGGTCCTCGAGGTAGATATCAAAGCTTCTTTATGCAGAAGTAATTAAAATTTTCTTTTTAACCGCTTTCGCCGCGGCACTATTTTCCTGACTTGGAGAAATTGAGTATCTCGGATGTAATTTTACGGACGGACAATTGGACTTTAAAATAAGTTTGAAAAGTGTATTACTATGCAAATATTTTGGATTTTACACAAACTTTTGATTACTTGATTATAATAGAAGCAGCGACCGATTCCGGCTTCGCACGGGTGCAATGTATTTACATTGTATGTACAATATACAGTGTGTCGCTATTAACGCGACCATAAATCAATACATATTTGGAGGATAACTTATTATAATTGTATTAATCATTTACATTCTTCAAACATCAATATTTACCGAGTTATTGAATTTTCCGAAACAAACAATTTTAGAACACTCTTACGTATAAAACTGTAATGTAAAGTTCATTTGTAAAGGTCACAAATCATATGAATGAGTTGAATAAATTTGAAAGCGATATAACATACTGTTAGAAGGAGAGACTTGTAATGCGACGTTTTGGCACCGAATGAAAAAGTCTCTGAATGTATGAATAGATGTATGATACAGTTGTAGCTGTATAGGATGTTAAAAATTTTGTTTCTTTTTTATTTAATTCGTTTGTTTGAAAAATATATCTTTTTAACTATGGATTTTTTAACGTTTTATATTTTTTATGCTTATTGGCAAGTCGCGTTAGACGCGTTCATTTATTGTCGCGGTGTAACGACACGCTGTATATACATATAAACCTTCCTCTTGAATCACTCTATCTAGTAATAAAAACTGCATCAAAATCTGTTGCGTAGTTTATTAATTAAATTGCTTGATAAGTTTAATAAACATTAAAACATGTAGAAAAAGTACGAAAAGATTGTCGCCGCTGGGGGGGGATCGAACCCACGTCTTCGGCATTCGCGGCCTGACGCTCTAGCCACTGAGCTAAACGGCTGATAGCCACAGCAACGAAAATCTTAACGCCTTCTTTCTTCATTGTTATTTAGCATTTGAAGCAATGCTTGGCGCATCTATTGTTATATCCTTTCCAGCATACAAACAATTTCGAATATCGTTTTGCAACGATATTTCGAACGAGAGATGTCGCTATTGCTTTTTAGAATTTTTTAAAAAATTTCGTTGTTTTTATAGAAAGCGAGTCTATAGTACATACGATCCTTCCTCGATTTTTTATTATAGCGCGATTAGCACTATAAAAAACTTTAAAATTTATAAAGTTTAATAAATCCCGTGTAAAGCCGTTAGATATTAATTAATACGCAATGAACGGTATTTGAGCACGCAATTAGGTCGTCGCAAACAATATAATCTATGTAATCTCTCACAGATTAGAAGCACTAACGATTTTAATAATGGCTATTAACAATTACAACATATATGCATTGTATTCATGTATTACTAAAAAAAATTTTGCAAATCCTTACTAATATTATAAAGGCCAAAGTTTGTATGTATGGATGGATGTTTGTTACTCTTTAACGCAAATACTACTGAATGGATTTAAATAAAACTTTACAATAATATAGGTTATACATCAGAATAACACATAGGCTACAATTTATATACATATTTTTTGTCTTTTTGTCTGAATGTTACGCCTTCAGCCTATTCTTCGCAGACTAGTCGAAGGCAGCAACTAGTTCGTGTATACATCACGGAGTTAAGCCCTTCAACATCCTACGTCGCTTCAACTCCTAAATCTAGCTATCGCTTATAAAGCAATTCGTATTTCGACTTATGCACATGGGTAGAAATGTTCGCCGAACATTGGGAGAGTCAATTCGAACTGAACCGCCTTAACACCACAGACTAGTAGACAATTGCGTATAGAAATTTCTGTCAAGCCCATCGCCGGAACTCGGAGAAGCGACAACTATGCCACCATCTGAGGTTGCGAATTGTGTTGCGCCTACCAGCTCGCAAAGCCCCTGGTCACCATGATATTCCGAAATCGGCTGTAAAAAAGCCTAAGCGTAGTTTTTATGGTTCCTACACAAAGAGTAAAACGCGTACTAATAGAGTAAGACTCCGCTGTCTGTCTGTCACCAACCTGTATCTCATGAACCGTGATAGTTACACAGTTGAAACTTTCACAGACGATGTATTATGTTGCCGCAATAAGAACAAATCCTAAAAAACAGAAAAAAAAATATTTAAGGCGGCTCCCATACAACAAACGCGAGTACAACATAGTACTTACCAATTAGTTTATTATAGATAATGGTACGGAATCATTCGTGCGCGAATCCGACTCGCACTTGTTTTTCCATGACGCGCTATCTAATGTCATCCTTCACACAGGACTTTTCATTTTATCAGATCGGAAGTGCCCTCAGCATAATTACGTATTTGGCTAAATTATTTGAACGACTGTTCTAAAAGGGTATGGCCGCACATTGATTTAAAACCGGGGGAAGTAGGAACATGGCCTTCCGTTGCAGTCATTCAACAACCGCGTGTTTTTTGTTTATCGAACACGAACTTATGTTAGACACACGCAAGTTGCCATTCGGGGTCTATCTCGATCGAGCCTTCGACCGTGATCAATCAAACGATTCAAACGTCAACCTAAGGCCATAATTTAAACGATCTATTTCGAATATTCGGGGAGTAAGTTCTGTTGCGGTTGCGGTTTCGGTAGTACCGTGCATCGTACACAAAGGGGTTCATTTAGTACTGTACGGCTACAGACAGTGCGCATTTTACGTCATCTCGTCGGCTAGAAGTGGCAATACGTACAATGCACGCCGTTGGACCTGTTTCCTGAATGGTTAGATAAATGGCTTCTTATTCTTCTTGAGTTCCTTCCCATTTCTCGAGGTTGGCCGTAAGCTTCCCAAATTCCTCTCTATCCATCGCCAGTCGAAACAGCTGTTCTGCTCTCTCGATTCCGGTCCAGTCTCTTATGTTCTTTGTCTACACACTTTTTAGTTTGCATCGCATATCAATTACTACTAGGTTATGATCAGATTTCATGTCAGCACCAGGATAAGTGCTTTAAATATCGGCAAGACGTCCGCGTATACAACCGCCTGTATAACCGCAGTAAACACGGCGGACAAAATTCGCCAGGTAGCGCGCGTTCGACTTCGCAGGCGAGACCTAAATCTTCGATTCAAAGAATACACGCGATATGCTCGTGAGCCAGGCCGCTTTTGAGTCGCTTCCATCGTATAGTTATTAATTTTTTTTGTAGAAAAAATCAACGTAAGGTTTTTTCGCCTCTTTGGGAATGGAATCCACGTCTTCGGCATTCGCACCCAGACGCTCTAGCCACTGAGTTAAACGGCTGATTGCCACACCGACAAAAATCTTAACGTCATTTATCTACATTGTTCTTTTAGCATTGGAAACAGCTTGAACGCTTGGCGCATCCATTGTTACATACTTTCCAGCATACAAACAATTTCGAATATCGTTTTACAACGATAATTCGAACGAGACGTGTCGCCATTGCTTTTTAGAATTTTTTTTAATTTCATTATTGTTATAAAAAGCGAGTATATAATACATATGACCCTTCCTCGATTTTTCATTAAGAACGAAACTTTCGACTTCTAAAATAGAAAGTTATGTAGCGTTAATTTATTCAATCAATATTGAGTTTGTGTGTAAGTAACTAGCTGAACCGGCAAACGTTGTTTTTTGGAATTACGTAAAATCCGCTGACCGCTTAGCTGACCTCTACTCGGCAAAAGGAATATTCGTAACAAATTTCAATTCTCTACGCCTTATGGTTCCAGAGATATCATGATGAGTCCATTATCGGTGGAAATCTCTCATAAAGATATATATAGAATTAATTGGCGTTTGCGATCTCTAGATAAATAAAATAAATAAATATTTAGGACACATTTTTACACAACGTTCTCTAGGCCCTAACTAGGCAAAGCTTGTACTATGGTTACTAGATACCTGATAAACATACTTAAACGTATTTTTATTTTGTAAATAAATACATATTATAGATATATAAACACCTAGACACTAAAAGAACACTATGTACATCACACAATATTTTTCTAGTAGTGGGGATCGAACCCACACCCTCTGGCGCAGAAGGCAGGTACACTACCCACTACGCCATTCGGGTCCTTTTAGATAGGTTACACTATAGCCTACGATTCAATCCAAGCCCATTAAACCTCCCTTGTATCGTGTCGTGCAATAAAATTGTTTAAACTTAAATAAACTTAATTTTAAACTTTTTTTTATATATATAAGTTTAATTGCATCACAAAAAAAAGAGATAACTAGAACAGAGTTTCTTACCGGTTCTTCTCTGTTCAGGTCTAGTTTAGTGAACCGGTGGTAGTTTTTTGACGTTCAATAAGTAATTCATGTTTAAAATAACTTAAGCCTTTATTGAATAAAGAAATTTTGAATAGAATTTATTCTATAATATAATAGAATCATATAATAGATAATAATATTATAATACAATAACTATAATATATATATATATTAAAATATAATAGAATAGAATCTATTGTAATAAAGAATAGATTGGTTCCCCGGGATAAAGAAAAGAAGTGGAAGTGCTATGTGGACGTAACCCGGCGACCGCCGTTAAGCGAAAGTGTCACTAAGTGATGAAGTCAATATGAAATTGAAATTATGAATTATGAGCATAGATAAGACATATATGCTGAAGTGATGAAAAAAATACAATACGATTTCACCGAGATAAAAAATCAAATGAATATGATTTTTTATCTCGCTGTAAGTCATATATCTATGAGTATGATGACCTCTTTGATTATAAGTGTTCTGTGATGATGACGCCATTTTCTTCAGTTGTCATTTCTCATTTATCTGTAACTGTTAGTCTTTTACAAATATAAATAATAATTGGCATATCTAACTTATTTGAAGTTGGAGAAATAAGAAATAATGAGATGGAACGAGAGTGTTACATTAGAATTTGTGAAAATCTATTTAAAACACGAATGCTTATGGAATCCTTCACATCCCGGATATAAAGTTAAATATCAAAGAAATATAGCCTATGCAGCAATTTGTTCGGAATTTAAGCTCGCTACAATGAAAGCTTTGAGCATACCTGAAGTTAAGATAAAAATTAAAAACTTAAGAACCACTTACGCACAACAAGTTCACAAAATACTCCAGAAATCGAGCCCCGACTCTTTATACGAACCTTCTTTAATTTGGTTTCAAGAAATGGATAGATGTATGAAACATATTCCGACCAATCGTCATACATCTTTAAACAGTAGTGGAGTGAGTATATAAAATCTTTATTTTAAGTGTGTTTTAGTGAGTGTTTGTGAATAAGTATAAGAGATGATAAATAAAGAATCAAATCAAATGAAAACTTTTTTAATTTATTTTAAAAAATATTAAATCTTTCATTAAATAAATTTTCTACCTAATGATCTTGACTATAAATTGGGTTAAATGGTTTGATAGAAATGAATCTATTTAAAATATAACCCTAAAATATCTTCCTATTAACCGTTTTCCCCAGACATATTCCACAAATATTTTAAACATAGAAATAGAATGATTTAATATGTATTTATGTAGCACAAAAAATCTCTGCATTTCTCTTATCTGCCACAAGGCAAAAAAATTAAATAAAGCATTTACATTTAAATCTTTCTCAAAAAATAATATCAATGATTTAATATCATCATATCAGACACTGGCCTCCCCCATTGACTTCCAGTTTTACCGGTCCGTAGCAGCCTACATCAAACAGTGATAGGACCATGCAACAGTGTTCACTATTGCACGAATGGGCAGGTCCATCTGGGTAAGTATCCTGACGGATCTGCCTGTGGTACTAACCACATCCTCACAGAAGAAAGGCATAATGTAGAAGTGTTACATCTCTGCGTTTCATCTGGTGAGTGAGGTAACCGGGGCCCACTTTATTTAAAGGGCAGCTCTAAAGGTGTTGCAAATGTCCATGGGCGGCCGTTGTCACTTAACATCAGGTGAACCACCAGCTTGTATGCCACTTTCTCACATAAAAAAAAAACATCCAAGAAGTCCGCGATCTTTACTAGGTCCTCCGTCCACTTTGTAGGGGGCCTTCCTACACTGCACTTGCCGTCACGATTAATATGCGATGTAATATGTAATCATATAATATATCAATAAATAATTTACAGTCGCAAGAGGCACCTGAAATTGATACGTCTTACCTAATATGGGTAGACCAAGAGCACCAAAACAACAATATAGAGGAAAGTAACCCCGATCCACTAAATTCACAAACTGATACTGAATATGATTCATCAAAGCCAGATGATTCACTCTTGTGTATAAAAAAAGAAAAGGAGCATTCATCTCCAATATACAAAAAAGTGAAAAAGAAAAAAGTTAAACACAGGTCCCTAGATCGAGATTATTATACAGACTCCACCTCAGAGTCAGTGACTACAGAAGATGAGTTTGACATTTATGGAAAGTATATTGCCTCGCAACTAAGAAAAATGAATTTGCATAAGGCTTTGAGGCTACAGTTAGAAATTCAGAGCTTAGTGAGTGAAGCAAGGCTTTCCGGTTTAACCAATGATTAGCAATGGGTGAAAGAAAGATTGAAACTTAATTTAAAATATGTGAATTACATTTAAATACCAGATTTTTGTACATATTTACATTTTTTCCCCGTAGTATTGTGCTTATTACCAAAGATAAAAGTAACATTTCTTATTGAAATATTAAAAATGTTACATATTCTGCAGACTTTTATTTATGAACTTGACAAGTGGCTTATATTCCTGTGGCTGTATTTTTGCTAAATTTTTACATTAAGGAGATAGCACATTATTTTCATTCAAAATAAAAAACATGTACTCGCTTGAGAACAAACGGGTGAATCTGATGGCAACTGTAACCCAAAGGTAATCTAAAAAATACTGAGATTACCATGAATTAACATAAAAAATCTAAAATTATCACTTACTATTAATGAATTTTATAGGGTTGACAACAGAGCAAGCTTTTCACCTTACTATAAGTGAGAAACACCATACATAAACACAATAACAGAGATGTGGACATGCTGCCAACCAATGATATTGTGTGCCTCCAGTAATCTCACTTAATTCATACAATTTACATACTTCTTATAGTCATGCTAGTAGAGCTACACTATCAGTGCAACAGGTGAAATCCATTACCTAACTCATACACACTTAACCTGATGGAAAATCCTACATAGTACAGAGGCCTTAAAGTTTTATTTGAGGTCAAATAGCTTTACATATGGGATTTTGTACAGTTTCTATTACATTAATTGTAGAATCGCACTAGAAAAAAGTGTAAAGCTTCATGTGTTCACTCTCTTAACTGTACCTACAATTCAAAACTTCCATATTCTTCATTTTTCCATGGTCCAAATTGGCCAAATTAATTAAGTGAACAGGGCCATGCAAAAGATGCTGTTACACATGAAAGAAGTTTTAGAGTCAGGAAAGCAAAGCATAAACTGATCACGATCCTAGGTGCGACACCAGATAAACCTTAAAATCAATTAGAAATGGACCTAATAACATAACTGTGTCTAAGATTATACCGACACAGCCAGTGTCTATATTTTAAACTCTCTAAAATGTGGTTAGCCGTTATCTGTTGTTTCAAGTTTTAAAATTGTTAGAATGCATCTTTTCTAGGCCCGAAAGGCTTATGCATTATCGTGCTGTTGCCCCAAAAGATAATTCCATGTCTAAAGCCCGATTCTGATTTACAGTGGCGAGTCAACTTGGCTTGCAAGCTGCTTACAACCAGACCCAAATTGAATTGCTTTTTTTGTGTGCGAGTCTGCACGTGCACTCCTCGGCGCACACCAGTGTTTCCACTTTAATTAATGATTTCCTTTCCCCACGCCTCAATTCTTTCCCCTTCTCGGCGCTTTTTTCCCCTCAAAAACTTTTCTGCTGTAGTTTAAACTTTTGGCCCTAGTGTATTAATTAAAAAAAAGGTCTTTTTTATAAGTGATATAAAAATATCAAAACAGATAAACGCAATAGGCTGGATAATGAAACGGTTGCATCAATCCTGTGTGTAAAATCTGGCTTGAAAATAACGGGAACAACTTCTGTACAACTAATGAAAAATCAGCTACCACACCTTAAGTTTGTACAGTCCAATGAAACTGCAAGCGAATCTAAAAAATTAGACTAAGCTAATGAATAAATTATAATTAAACGATTCGTATTTTATTTATAGCCTCACCAGATATCTATAAAACTTGGGGCTATATACTCCTCTTACCTCTTATTTCAAGTCAGTATAGGCAATCAGCACATACATTTTAGCACAATAATATTTTAGGCCTTAAACAGAATAGAAATAAGGGTAAGTATACGCCCGCACCTGCACTTGTTGTCACTGTTTCTTTAATACGGCAACACGCTAGTCCACGGTAGAGTCCATAAAAAATAGTTCCGAAATTTACCGCAATATTTTAAGCTAGGTTTTACCCATGATTTCCCGGAATTTATCCTTTTTCTCCCCCTAATTTCCCCCCAAATGGGGGGAAATTAGGGGATTAGTTTCCCCACATTGTGGAAACACTGGCGCTCACTTAACCTCCCGCGGGGTACTGACTCGTTTCTTGCCTACTATAAAAAGTGAAATAAGTACAATGGACGGCAACAAAACTGCACGTATTTTTGACGTTGCCCGGCCATTTCGACAGAGAACTGCCACTGGACTTGCTATAGGTATAGTGTAAACAGTTACTTGTCCGGTGCCCGCAACCAGCCACTGTAAGTACTTGTATTCGCTACGCGCCACTGCCCTTGACCAATGTAATCGAGCTTAACATTTATTATCTACGAACGAGTGCTTATCTATCAAATCTCAGTTTTTCAGACTGTCAATGTCAATCTATCAATTTTCCTGTATAATAATGATTTAATTTTGTTGATTTTATTATTGTTTTGAATATAAAATTGTTGCAAACAAAATTTTGACAAAAGACCAATAATGAGATGGGGTGAAATTGAGACTTACAAATTCGTGAAAATTTATCTAAGCCATGAATACTTGTGGAATTCTGATCATGAAAACTATAAATTAAAAGATAAAAGACAGATGGCATACCAAGCTATAATTAAGGAATTTATGTCTTCTACTGGTATAAGACTCAATGAAAGTGAAGTCAGAATAAAAATAAAGAATTTAAGATCAACGTATATTCAAGAAATTGCTAAAATACGTACAAGATCTAGCCGGAATACATCATACACGCCTACAATTAAATGGTTTACGGATTGGCACAAGTGTTTTAAACATAGATCGAAGAAATCGATAGTTGATGAATTGGTACATGATGTTAGTTAAATTAAAATTATATGAAACATTAGAAACGCAAATTTTTTAAAAGCAATGTGTGTGAGCAAATATATTGAATAATAGCACAAGTAGCACAAATTAAAGTCTTAATGCACATGTATGCATGTATCTTTCACGTAACACATTTATCTTTCTTTAAGTAATTATTTAGCGCTTAAAATTCATTATATAACTATGGGAGTACATCTATTATAGCACTTATTATATATATGATATATTGGAAAAGAAAAAAATTTTTCAATAATTTTAATTCATTCAGTTTCAAATTATTAAGTAACTTAATTGGCTTTATTTTAAATATAATGTTTGACTGAGTCTTATAATACTTACAGGAGCATACGGATGAATTACTTAATCAATCGTGGATAACAGATGATGTGGAAAATGTTAACAATGAAAGGAATATGGAATTGTCTGAAACAGAAAATAACAATTATAGACTTATTGCAAAATGTGAGCCTGATGTAACACAATCAAACAGACCTGTAAACCTTAATTCATATAACATGAAAAGAAAGCGGAAATTACGAAGTCCTCCAATTGTTACAACATTTAGAGGCAGCCAAAGTTCAAATCTTAAATCAATATCCCAAGAAGATGAATTTGACATCTATGGTAAATACATTGCATCCCAATTAAGGAGAATAAATTTAGAGAGAGCTTTAAGGCTGCAACTTGAGATTTCAAGTCTTATGAGTGACGCAAGAATTGCAGATTTGTCAGGAATAGACTGATATATTTAATATTATATTATATATGGAAACCTATGTAAAACAATTACAAGAATGATTGTTGTGTTAACTGACTTACTAATAAATTCTTTACATCACCATTTCTAATAATTTGTCGTTAATACTTTTAACATGTTTAGTGCAACTGACTTGCCCTGCAAGTTCACTTAAGTTATTCCAGTGCCAGTGGCATAGAACATGTTAAGTGGTCAAGATGCTATTTCTGTATTTTCAAAACATTTTCATTATTTTTTGTACTCTCACTATCTCTGGTAGACAATCTTAGATTGTTGTGGCATTAAAATATCAGGGCTTACAGTTATATGCTTAAACTTGTTTGATTCTGGGTAACCTAAATTTGACTACTTTTTTACTACTATATTCAAGAAGATTGTATGGGAAGTCCTTTTAAAAAAAATATTTGGTAATTACCAGTAAATTTAAACATTTTATATAATTTGTAAATGAATGGTCGTAAAGTTTTTTGCATCTTCGGGAATCAGAACACTATGCTAAACACCTGATCGCCACACCGACGAATATGTCAACGTATTTTAGCTGCATTGATTTTTTCCGCATTTTATTGGCAATTGATCTAATTTTTCCATTGTTGGTCTAATAATTTGAAACAAGGTCTAATTGAATTTTACTAATGTATTTTTAATATCTCTGTATGTATATTATTTATCAATGACGTTTTTTTAACACAACATAAACACCAAATTCTATATTTCTTCATCAAGTTTAATGATTCAAACACTAATTTAAAGCCTATGTTATATTTGCCATTTTCAAAGAAATATATACGTAAGGTTAGTATTTATGACTAAAACTTTGAAAAAGATTAATTTAATTAATTACAAGGTGTTTACTGTATGACAATTTGGAATGGACTCATTTATAATTACAATAATTTTGAACAAAAAAAAACAGACTTCAAACAGGAAACTAAAAAAACATACTCAACGCCTATAACATTTGAGGATTGCCCTCGATTTCTCTGGGATTCCATCATCAGATCTCGGTTTCCTTATCATGGTACCCTTGGGATATCTCCTGGATATGACGAAGTTATCCCCGAACACACATAAATATAGCTGTGTCCGCTCGCCTTTAATCCAATATACTCGAGCAACCTGAGTTCTATCCCCGGTGCCGGCACCAATGAAGTTTTTAACTGTAAGTGCTGTCTTATATCGTGCTCCGCGGTGAAGGAAAACATCGTGAGGAAACCTGCATATTTTCGAAATAATAACAAAAAAAAATATATTTCGAAGATATGTGAAGTCCGCCAATCCGCAGTGGGGCCGCGTGGTGGACTATGCCCTGATACCCTCTGTATAGAGGAGGCCTTTGCCCAGTAGTGGGGCATGTATAGGCTGTTACTTTACTTTTTTTACTTTTTACGGTCGAATTGAGAAACCTTTTCCTTTTTTGAAGTCAGTTAAAAATGTCTCATAAAGAATGTATGATAGTACCATCTAACAATTTTATTATTTAAAAAGCACTGTTACATAATATATTTTGAGTCTGACCTATCTTTGGATACTAATTTGCACGATTAACATGTGGCAATTTATCATGTTACTGTGCGGAAAATTTTGTACGGGTCAAATTTATTTATCTCAGAGGTGGAAAAACCGCAATTGATATGTCGGATGAACATTTTCACCAAGATTCTCGAGTATCTGTTCATACTAAGGTATACCTGCCACTAATTAAAAATTTTAGCAATTATGCGGTTGTATTATTTCCATACTTAACATTGATAGATATCAAATTATAGTAAATTCTTAATAACTCCAATTTGTAGTTTCCGAAGCCTCTGTTGCCTGTTGCGGAGCAGGAAATCACTTAGGTCAAATACTTAGACTAGGGAATACTTAGAAAAGTGGAATGAACACAAAATGCAGGTCTGATTTTTTTATTGCTGAACCAGCATCCGTTTACAATATAAACAAACATTATCGCTTACGTTTCGCTAGTGAAAGTTCAGATCATTTCGCTTGTAACAATTGCTCTTTGTCAGTTGAATCCCGGATAAAATTTTCATGAAAATATACATGCTGCTGACATCTCGGCATCGTCTAAATTCAATCAAAGTTAGTGGGTAAATCACATCCAAATCTATATACTAGATTAAGTACTTTCGAGTTCCTTTCGACGATCTTCTAAAATTAAAAACAACGGAAGTCTGACTTCGAGGGCAGTGCGAATTCAGATAAAAAAAAAATTAAACGTCTAAAAAAACTTAGGTTATAACATGGACATGTGGAATGGCCTGGCCGTTGGGCAGTAGATTCCGTAGTCATAAGGGAGACTGAGCGTCCGGGTGGCCAATACAATATTGGACCTATCACAATTCTAGAAAGAGACAATGACTCAGTCAGATACACTGCCTCCCTCGGATTACTTCACCAATCACAACACAACTTTGCACTCAACGGCCAGTCCATTCTATCACATGACCCTGAACATATAAATAACACAAAAGGCGGGCCGCAAATAGCGCACGCGAGAAAGATAAAACGAAGACGCGCGCCACTGCGAACTGGCCTATTTATGGACTAGAGTAGACAATGTGTCAAATCTCAATATTAATACAACAACTTTAGTGTTACAAATCCCATGTGCGTTTCACACTGTGATGTAAATTTAACCGTAAAACAAATGGGCGGAGTAATGGAGTAAAATGAGACATGATCTCCAGATTATGTGAAAAAAACTGCTAGATACTTTTCTATGTTACCATAAGACCGCCAATATAATAAGAACATTGAAATGTAATCGGCATCTCCATAAAATATTAATAAATCAATCTTTAAATATTCACAATATCTGGAAGATCTGATTGGTATCAAATGATTTACAATGTATTGAACTACACAAAGTGATGAATACATTTAATTTGCTCAAATCACAGTGTGAATATAAAAATTTTGAAATAAATACAATAATGGTGTTTTAACCCAAAGTGTTTTACGAAAACAGCCAAGTATATTCAAAGTAGACCTGAGTGACCATGGCATTGATTTTGAAAAGAGATGGAAGCATCACGGAAGCATATTTAATTATTACAATTAAAGACAACATTTAACTCTATAACAAACTGATGGCTAATCACTTTTAGAGTACATACTTATGTATCAACACAGATCGTCTTTTGAAAGTTTTTCATAACATTTCACATTCAGAACTGAAAGTGCTGTTTTTAATCTTATTATTAATGGAAAATTTTCTAATCTTATAAATTTTTTGATAAACCAATATCTTAGAATGACGTATGTGTTGATATTTAAGTAGATGCTTTTGCAACCATTTACATAATACCTACTGCTCCTACAAAAGGAAGCAATTGTGGCGAATACTTTAACAGTATAACACAATACTATCACAAAATTTGTGAACACATGGGAACTTAATTTAAATATGAAACAATATAAACTCAATTCTAACACGTTATATGTAATAAAAAATACTAAATACGAAAAGAAAATGGCACGCAACTTTAAGTTCTAAAATACTTACAATACACAACAGAAATCATTCTCCACATCCACAACTCATAAAGTACTGGCAAAAAAAATTTTCATGAAACCATTACTAACTAAGTAGACAGATTATTATGTTTATTTCAATTTATAACAGTGGTTATTGATTAATAATATTCCTGAGGCTATGAAAGATAGAAAATTAGAAATATTATTATGACAAAATTATTATTTCTATCTTTATTATTATAATTATAAGACTAGATAAAATTTTTAAAAATAATAATACAGTTTACATTTACATAAAAAAATTATGAATTAAGAAACTTCCAAATTTGCTTAAAATCAATTTGGTGTATTAAAAAAAATCTTGGACTAGTTGAAACTGTTTCTAAGTCCATGTAGACGGGACAAAGATATAGAATTAAAGTTGCGTGCTTAGTTTGCTTATCAGAAAACTGCCAGTGTTTGGAAGTCAGTTAGAGAATCACAAAAAGCACAAGTGTCATGGTTTAACAACTGTCAAGTTGCATGTCCGCCATAATTTGTTTTCTTATATTTTTTTTAACAAGATACTTGTGTTACACCACGCAATCGGGGTACACTTTAAAAACCGACAAATTTGACTAAAACATTAATAGAACTATAATTACACAATGAAGAGGACTCGATCAGATCTCTCATATTTATTTTTGTACAATTTATCACATAAAATTTAAAAAGGACACGCGTTTACTAGACTGCAGCAGCAATATATGCGAATGGAAGGACTGACCGTGTTTGTTGGTGGATAAAATTATGTTGCGTTGCATGGGTTACAATTTATGAAGCAATTTGTTTTACGAGTCAGCGAGGCTCAAGGGAATTTTGAGTTACAAGCCCATGTTAAATTGCTTGAAACCAGCAGCAAACATAAATGAAGACACAAATAATGTATGAAAAACTAACAATAGAAATGACAGGTAAAAAGTAAATGCCATTTGCGTGCGATTCAAAAGTGAACCAACAGACAAACAAACAGTGTGCGTTTAATATGGGACCGCTAGTAGGGGAAAATGCAAAATTTTATCAACCAGCAAACTGTTACCGATTTAACAGGTATCAGGTAGTTAATCCGAATGCCTTTACTAGATGAAAAAATAAACACTCTGTATGTAAATAAACGCCTCGGCTCGCACTGCACTATACGTTGGCGGTCCGGTATCTGCCGACATTTGTATGGACGTTGGTTTTAATGATGCGGGGGTTGATGCGACAGACAAGTGGAGGGGACTGAAGACTGAGATCAGGCAGTGCCCATACAAAGGTCGGCGTGGAGGCTCGGTCGAATGCTCAGGTCGGTCAATGCTCAGGGCGGAGGTGAGCGGGTTCGCTCGGCCGCGCTGAGCGTCGCTCAGGCGTCGGACATGAGCTGCTTCGGCGTGTAGACGGAGGCGTTGGGGTCGAGCGGGGAGCCGTCGGAGAGCCGCAGCTTGGACCTCGAGTTGCTGATGGGCGTCACGAACTCTGCGGGCATCACCGCCAGCATCTGCGCCTTCAGTTCCTCCAGCTCCTTTTCCTGCCTCGATATAACGCCTGAAACATATACGTCTTGTAACAAGGGATGCTTCGAGAACTCGTGCAAGTCATTATAAATACATAATCCTTGGTCTGGCCCCATTAAATGAATTCAATGCTCTACTTAATTAAAAAGATAATTTAGAGCTACTGTTGTATCATTTAAATCTTATAATCTAATAATAATTTAATAATATACTTATATATCTATTATTTTATAATCTACTAAAATAAGCCCTCAGGGCTTATTAAAACGTGCTTGCAAACAAAATGGGCCAAAATAGAATATCTTTATTCAACATACAAGCATTACACTCTATAGATTGTCAAAATACTATTACCAATACCAATTATAATAATATTTAAGTAGGATTGAGATATCACAGACACATGAATATGGTCATTCCGTCTCCACGAAATGATGATTAAAATAAGATGACGAAAGTTGAAACCCTAGACGCCAGAAGCCTATGTCTACCTAATTATTTATTTATTTATTATATACTTTATTGTACACCACAAATAATTTGATACTATTAGTGTAAAATAAGTCTTAAAAGCTAGGTACAATAAGGCGGTCTTATCGCTAAAAAGCGATCTCTTCCAGACAACCTTAGGACGAGGAAAAATAAACTAATGAATAGTGGGAGGTGGTGTGGTCAATAAACTTGCTTAATACCAAAAAACCAAATATATATAATATATATAATATAAATATATATAATAAAATAAAAAAATTATAATACACATACGTTAATAGATATATAATATATATGAATAAAATAAATAAATACACGAGAGAAGAATTAAATCAGAATATTGCCATTAAAAACTATGGATTACAAAGCGATAGATAATGTTGTTTTACGTCATTTTTAAACTTGTCTAGCGTCTTCGAACGGCGAATTTGCTGAGGAAGTTCATTCCACAAGCAGATGGCCTACTGCTAAATGAATATGAATTACTACTGTGGGGCAGCTCTTTGCCAACAATACGAAGAATTTTAGTAGCAGTGTATACAGTACTTACTCTCCTGTATATGAAGCTGGCGTTTCGCGTCGCCGAGGGCCGACAGCAGATCCAGTTTGACGCGCGTCTCCGACGACAGCGAGTGCTCCAGGTGGGTGGCGCGCTCCTGCAACGCCTGCCATGCTTCCGCCAGCCGCAGCGTCGGCGAGCCGTTGCCCTCTTGCCTCGCCTCCAGCGCCCGCACCTTCGGACACCAAGTTTAGGTAAACACACGCCAGCCATAAGGGCATCCTTGAGCATTTCTATGCACATCTCTTTTTTTTTCATTCGTAATCCATACAAACATGACATTGTAATGAGCTCATGATAATAAAGAATTTATATTTATAAGAAGTCATCTGTGGGGGACAGATGGTTGTTAAATGCGCGAGGGGTGCACTTGCACCAAAAAATAGAAAGCGATTCTATTTCGGCCAAGTTGCAAGGCAGCCCGCAAACCAAGTTGACTCGCAACTGTCCGATGGTTTACATTACTATACTTTCTCACTGTACTTGTCTACTGTAACACTTGACCAGTGTAAAGCAGCCTTCAGAGAGGTAACCCACTGGCTATCCCTCAATACAAGGCAAGAGTTTCAGGGTAGTGGCTGGTCGCTTGTCTTCACATCATTGGCAGATTGCAGAGTGCTTGGCTCACCTGGTCGGTGGCCTGTTGCAGATCCCGCTGCAACTGTGCCACCTTGGCGCACGCTTGTTGCAGCTCGTGGCGCAGCGAGGCGCCCTCGCTCTCCTGCGTGGCACGCCGCGTCTTACACCACTCGCTCTCGCACTCGCCGCTGGGGAAACAAATGGATTTGGCGACCCAATTGGCATAGTGGATAGTGACATTGTCCCTTGCGCCAGAGGTTGTGGGTTCGATCCCCACTACCGGAAAAAAATTCTGTGATATACATATAGTGTAAGTTGTGAATCTTGTTGCAAGCCGGTTTTGGCTATATTTTTACGACCTTTTCCTAGGGAAACAAAATCTGGAACAATTATCTTCGGGTCACACAAATATTTATCCCGTGTTGGAATCGAACTCACGACCCCCGACGCCGAAACCAATAGCATAGCAACGGCGCCACCGAGTCGTTGAAGGTACAATAGAATGAATTATAAGGAATACTTGACATGCCTTGTTTTTTTTTTGGGCAACGGTTACTACATCCGATATATCGATATTAATTCCTCGATATATCGAGGTCGACATTGATACTTTATAAACATCGATACATCGATTTACTTTTTGGACAAGGGTTTCTAGGACTATATCCGACATATCGATATTTCTTCCTCGATGTATCGAGGTCGACATTGATACTTTATAAACATCGATACATCGATGTACTTTTGGATAACGGTTTCGAGGAAATTTCGACATCCGTGTCACTCCCGACACCGACGAGGAGCAAGTGCAATGCGCACCTGGGCGCGCGCGCCGCCGCCGCCGCCTGCTTGGCGCGCAGCAGCTGCTGCTCGACGCTGACGCGGGCGCGCCTCTCCTCCGACAGCCGCCGCTCCAGCGCCGCCCGCTCCGAGCTGCGCCACGTCGACACCCTGCACATCGGGACGTTTCTCTTTTGGATTACGAATATTACGGGAGATGCTTTTACACGACGCACAGTGTTCAGCGCGGTTGAGAATCGAGGGCCGTTGGAGTGATTAAAGGGCGTCGACTGGTTGATGGGGCATTGGAGTTGTTAAACGACGTCGGCTGTTTTATGGGCGTTGGAGTTGTTAAAGGGAGTCGAGCGGTTGATGGGGCATTGGAGTTGTTGAAGGGCGTTAACTGGTTGAGGGAGCGTTGGAGTTGTTGAAGGTCGTCGCCTGTTTGAGGGGGCGTCGAGTTGAGGCCAGGCGTACTTGTGCTGCAGCGCGGAGTGCGCCTGGCGCAGCTGCGCGTGCTCGGCGCGGCGCTGGCGGTCGGCGGCGGCGGCGGCGGCCAGCGCGCGCTTCGCCTCCGCCTCGCCCGAGCGCGCGCTGGCCAGCTCGGCGCGCGCGCGCTTCAGCTCCTCGTGGCACTCGCGCGCCCAGCGCTGCAACGGGGCGCACGGTGAGCGGACAGCGACAACAACGGCAACAATGGCTCCTCTTATGGCCGGCGGCTCACCCGATGTTCACCGATAACCGCCGCCCATGGAGATTTGCAACACCCGTAGGGTTGCAGATGCGTCGCCTAGCTCACTCACTAGACGTAACGCGAAAGTATAACACGTCCACTTCACATAGGTCTTCTGCGAGCTCGTGGTACTGCATGTGGTACGCACGGACCTGCCCATTCGTGCAACAGAGAAGACTGATTCGTACCACACGATACCGTACCACAGTTAGTTATATGAAAATAAAGGTACAATGCTTTAATAGTAAGTATAAGAACAAAACTTTTATAATTATCAAAATTGTACTATTAAAAAAATTGATCCGGTCGCATAGTTACACGCCTTCTAAGTATAAAATTTCGTATCTCAGGACATTTTACACATTTTTAAACATTTTCTTAGTCAATTGTATAATTTATTATTCACCTGTTCGCGTTCTTTTTCCTTCTCGCGCTCCTTCTCCCTCTCCCTAGTCTCGCGATCCTTCTCTCTTTCCCTTTCTTTCTCCTTATAACTGCTACTATCTTTGTAACTTTTTACATTTTCTTTTGTACTTTCTACATCCTTAACTATTTGTTCTCTCGCTGAAAAAAATAAACGAATATGTTTATATGCTTTATTGACAACCACAAAAACATAAAAAGGAATGTTACAAAAAGAAAAATATAAACTTACTCTGTTCTATACTCTTATGACTATCACCACCCTCTTTCTCCTTATCTCTATCTCTATGTCTTTGTTTCTTTCTTTCTTCTCTTAATATACTAGCATCTTTCTTTTCATACTTTGAAGACTTGGCACTACCTAGAATTAAACAATATACAAGTTTATAAAAGCAATGACACAATCCCAGCACAAAAACTTATACAGTTTTGATTCATTTACATTTAAACAAAACACATTTCAAAGTTACCTATTTTACCTTAGAATTTTTGGTTTTTTTTCTGTTACTATTTCGAAAATACGCAGGTTTACTCGCAACATTTCCTTCACCGCAGAGCACTTGACAAGCGAAGATGAAACAGTTTATTGAATTACAAATTGAAAGCGGGGGAAGATTAAATATTCGATCGGCGGACTTGACGTATCATCGAAATATTTTTTTTTTATTATATCGAAAATTTACAGGTTTCAATTCGTAATTCGATATACTGTTTTTGTAAACAGTATATCGAATTACGAATTGAAAGCGGGGGAAGACGGATATGTTCGCAATGTGTATCAGTGTGTGTGTTCGTACCTCTGTCGTGTTCGTACCTCTGTCGTGTTCGTACCTCTGTCGTGTTCGTACCTCTGTTGTGTTCGTCCCTCTGTCGTGTTCGTACCTCTGTTGTGTTCGTCCCTCTGTCGTGTTCGTACCTCTGTCGTGTTCGTACCTCTGTCGTGTTCGTACCTCTGTCGTGTTCGTACCTCTGTCGTGTTCGTACCTCTGTCGTGTTCGTACCTCTGTTGTGTTCGTCCCTCTGTCGTGTTCGTACCTCTGTCGTGTTCGTACCTCTGTTGTGTTCGTCCCTCTGTCGTGTTCGTACCTCTGTTGTGTTCGTCCCTCTGTCGTGTTCGTACCTCTGTTGTGTTCGTCCCTCTGTCGTGTTCGTACCTCTGTTGTGTTCGTCCCTCTGTCGTGTTCGTACCTCTGTTGTGTTCGTCCCTCTGTCGTGTTCGTACCTCTGTTGTGTTCGTCCCTCTGTCGTGTTCGTACCTCTGTTGTGTTCGTCCCTCTGTCGTGTTCGTACCTCTGTCGTGTTCGTACCTCTGTTGTGTTCGTCCCTCGTCGTGTTCGTACCTCTGTCGTGTTCGTACCTCTGTTGTGTTCGTGTCGTGTTCGTACCTCTGTTGTGTTCGTCCCTCTGTCGTGTTCGTACCTCTGTTGTGTTCGTACCTCTGTTGTGTTCGTCCCTCTGTCGTGTTCGTTACCTCTGTTGTGTTCGTCCCTCTGTCGTGTTCGTACCTCTGTTGTGTTCGTCCCTCTGTCGTGTTCGTACCTCTGTCGTGTTCGTACCTCTGTTGTGTTCGTCCCTCTGTCGTGTGTTCGTACCTCTGTTGTGTTCGTACCTCTGTCGTGTTTCGTACCTCTGTCGTGTTCGTACCTCTGTTGTGTTCGTCCCTCTGTCGTGTTCGTACCTCTGTCGTGTTCGTACCTCTGTTGTGTTCGTCCCTCTGTCGTGTTCGTACCTCTGTTGTGTTCGTACCTCTGTTGTGTTCGTCCCTCTGTCGTGTTCGTACCTCTGTTGTGTTCGTACCTCTGTCGTGTTCGTACCTCTGTCGTGTTCGTACCTCTGTCGTGTTCGTCCCTCTGTCGTGTTCGTACCTCTGTCGTGTTCGTACCTCTGTCGTGTTCGTACCTCTGTCGTGTTCGTACCTCTGTCGTGTTCGTCCCTCTGTCGTGTTCGTACCTCTGTTGTGTTCGTCCCTCTGTCGTGTTCGTACCTCTGTCGTGTTCGTACCTCTGTTGTGTTCATCCCTCTGTCGTGTTCGTACCTCTGTTGTGTTCGTCCCTCTGTCGTGTTCGTACCTCTGTCGTGTTCGTACCTCTGTTGTGTTCGTCCCTCTGTCGTGTTCGTACCTCTGTCGTGTTCGTACCTCTGTTGTGTTCATCCCTCTGTCTGTGTGTTTCGTACCTCTGTTGTGTTCGTCCCTCTGTCGTGTTCGTACCTCTGTCGTGTTCGTACCTCTGTTGTGTTCGTCCCTCTGTCGTGTTCGTACCTCTGTCGTGTTCGTACCTCTGTTGTGTTCGTCCCTCTGTCGTGTTCGTACCTCTGTCGTGTTCGTACCTCTGTTGTGTTCATCCCTCTGTCGTGTTCGTACCTCTGTTGTGTTCGTCCCTCTGTTGTGTTCGTCCCTCTGTCGTGTTCGTACCTCTGTCGTGTTCGTACCTCTGTTGTGTTCGTCCCTCTGTCGTGTTCGTACCTCTGTTGTGTTCGTTCCTCTGTCGAGTTCGTACCTCTGTTGTGTTCGTCCCTCTGTCGTGTTCGTACCTCTGTTGTGTTCGTTCCTCTGTCGAGTTCGTACCTCTGTTGTGTTCGTCCCTCTGTCGTGTTCGTACCTCTGTCGTGTTCGTACCTCTGTTGTGTTCGTCCCTCTGTCGTGTTCGTACCTCTGTCGTGTGTTCGTACCTCTGTTGTGTTCATCCCTCTGTCGTGTTCGTACCTCTGTTGTGTTCGTCCCTCTGTCGTGTTCGTACCTCTGTCGTGTTCGTACCTCTGTTGTGTTCGTCCCTCTGTCGTGTTCGTACCTCTGTTGTGTTCATCCCTCTGTCGTGTTCGTACCTCTGTCGTGTTCGTCCCTCTGTCGTGTTCGTACCTCTGTCGTGTTCGTACCTCTGTTGTGTTCGTCCCTCTGTCGTGTTCGTACCTCTGTTGTGTTCGTCCCTCTGTCGTGTTCGTACCTCTGTCGTGTTCGTCCCTCTGTCGTCGTTCGTACCTCTGTCGTGTTCGTACTTCTGTTGTGTTCGTCCCTCTGTCGTGTTCGTACCTCTGTCGTGTTCGTACCTCTGTTGTGTTCATCCCTCTGTCGTGTTCGTACCTCTGTTGTGTTTCGTCCCTCTGTCGTGTTCGTACCTCTGTCGTGTTCGTACCTCTGTTGTGTTCGTCCCTCTGTCGTGTTCGTACCTCTGTCGTGTTCGTACCTCTGTTGTGTTCGTCCCTCTGTAGTGTTCGTACCTCTGTCGTGTTCGTACCTCTGTTGTGTTCATCCCTCTGTCGTGTTCGTACCTCTGTTGTGTTCGTCCCTCTGTCGTGTTCGTACCTCTGTCGTGTTCGTACCTCTGTTGTGTTCGTCCCTCTGTCGTGTTCGTACCTCTGTTGTGTTCGTCCCTCTGTCGTATTCGTACCTCTGTTGTGTTCGTCCCTCTGTCGTGTTCGTACCTCTGTCGTGTTCGTACCTCTGTCGTGTTCGTCCCTCTGTCGTGTTCGTACCTCTGTCGTGTTCGTACCTCTGTTGTGTTCGTCCCTCTGTCGTGTTCGTACCTCTGTTGTGTTCGTCCCTCTGTCGTATTCGTACCTCTGTTGTGTTCGTCCCTCTGTCGTGTTCGTACCTCTGTCGTGTTCGTACCTCTGTTGTGTTCGTCCCTCTGTCGTGTTCGTACCTCTGTCGTGTTCGTACCTCTGTTGTGTTCGTCCCTCTGTAGTGTTCGTACCTCTGTCGTGTTCGTACCTCTGTTGTGTTCATCCCTCTGTCGTGTTCGTACCTCTGTTGTGTTCGTCCCCTCTGTCGTGTTCGTACCTCTGTCGTGTTCGTACCTCTGTTGTGTTCGTCCCTCTGTCGTGTTCGTACCTCTGTTGTGTTCGTCCCTCTGTCGTATTCGTACCTCTGTTGTGTTCGTCCCTCTGTCGTGTTCGTACCTCTGTCGTGTTCGTACCTCTGTTGTGTTCGTCCCTCTGTCGTGTTCGTACCTCTGTCGTGTTCGTACCTCTCGTTGTGTTCGTCCCTCTGTCGTGTTCGTACCTCTGTCATGTTCGTACCTCTGTTGTGTTCGTCCCTCTGTCGTGTTCGTACCTCTGTCATGTTCGTACCTCTGTTGTGTTCATGACGCTCCTCGTCGTGAGGCGCGCCGGCCCCGCCCGCGGAGCCGTTGCTGAGCGAGTTCGCGCTCGCGGATGCGCTCGAGCTCGCGGGTGCGTTCGCGCTCGCGGATGCGCTCGAGCTCGCGGGTGCGTTCGCGCTCGCGCTCGCTTGCGTCGTCGCCACCGGCGGCGGCTGCGTTTGCACGCTCGTGCTCGTGCTGGCGCTCGTGCTGGCGCTCGTGCTGGCGCTCGTGCTAGCGCTCGTGCTGGCGCTCGCGTTCGCGTTCGGCGGCGACGTTTGCACGCTGGCGGACGCTTGCGTACGCTCCCGCTCGCGCGCGGCCGTCTGCCGCGCCAGGTGCCTCTCCAGCCTTTCCAGCTGCAAGGCGGATTTGACCGTATGAGCGAATTATGTTTTTTCAAAAGTAGAACTTCTATACGCACGGTTGACTTGGGGAGTAAGCGCATTGAACGCGCGACGAGAGCGTTATGAAAAGTGTGATCGGCGCTACTAAGTGTTGTCGTTACGCGAACGGTGATTTCATGATATTTTCGTAGTTTTATTTCGTTCTTAAACAACTTTTTAAATGTATATTTTGTTCAATACATTAAATATTCTACGTTTGAGGTGAACAAAATTGTAAATTCATACAGATGGAGATACAAATTACATATAGATACAGCTATCTAGTTTTTGCTTTATTCGTGTGGTCTAAAGAACACTCGTTTTTTTTTTTATGTGAAAAGTTGTTAAGCGAGAAGGCGGTCAGCGGCAGGGGATCCACAAAGGATTTTTCCCACCAAAAGAAGAAAGTGACACCTATGTACACGCGTGTAGAAAGAAGAAAGTGCACAACAGCAGCCCACCTTGAACTGGAGCTGGGCGTGCTCCGAGCCGCAGAGGCCGTTGACGCGCGGGTAGCGGCGGCGCAGCGTGCCGTTCGGCGGCCGAGCCTCCGGCGGCACCTCGGCTGCGCCCTCCTCCTCTCTGGGCGTCTGCTGGCTCTGCTGCCACGGACAGCGCGGGGCGTTTAGAGAGGTGAAGGGCATATGGAGTACCAAAGACCTTTTCAGTCACGACATTTAAACTGTGGCAGGACCGCGCAACAGTTTTCGCTGTTGCACGAATGGGCAGCTCCGTCCGGGTTGGTGCCACGACCTCACAGGAGACCGGCGAGAAGTAGAAGTGTTACACTTTTGCAGCCCGTTTGCCACTTTCTCGCATAAAAAAAATATTCGATTCTTTTGGTTGTTTCAAGTGGTCTATAATATACATATTCCATTGTCAAATAATGGCCGCTGAGTTTAATTCAACGGTTCTTTTTGGGTCACAACTGGTCTGGTCCTTTCCGAACTGGTAGTTGTATTTCGCCAATCAATAACTGAATATAATGCTTCTATATTGAATAAAGATATTATATTTGGGGTATCACTATCATCCATACATTTTTACAATGCAATATAATGGAAGATGAAACGAAACCATAATAGGGACGAATCAGAATCAACTACAAGATGCGTTTTATGGCCAGAAACATCTCTAAATTGACATTGGATTGTTAAGAAATGAATCCGAGGTGCCTGATAAACACCGCTTACCCGTAAAACGCCAGTCTCCGGTTTATATTTATCCCGCGTACACCAACTTATAGTGCAAGCGTGACGTCACTCCTTAATAGCTTAACAGAATGTATCATGCGCAACATTGGACGTGATTACACGATCCGGAGATAACGATTACAACGTTACCGATAACGTTTGATAATAAGTTGCATAACGAGTTGCTTACATTGCTTGCATTTAATCAAGATAAAGGATCCTTATCGTCGAGAAGATAGTGTTTGCTAATCTGTTGTTGGGAGAAATGACATCTGATTTCTTTTACGACTCATGAAGACACGTAAAGAAACCCAACGCGCGCATTTGTCTATGAGCGAATGAATATTATAAAACAACAGTAGTTTTGAAAGATTAATTTAATAATGGAAAAATATGATTCCCGACTAATTTCACGAGAAACTTTGTAACGTACTGATTTCTTGTTTTTACGCGAATATTATTCACATTTAAGACTGTCCATCTGTCCCGTGACCGTGTACGGGTGAGTGGAAAGGGTTTGAAACGTCGGGAATTGAAACGCGATAAAATCCGTAAATTAAATACTTCATTTTAGGGAATAAGAAAACTGATATGTTTGATTCATTACATTGGTATGTTTGATCCGTTATAATTTATATAAAATTAGTTCCTCATGAAATTTTTAAATGTTTATAGTTATAATCTCTGCACTTAAGATGAAACATTAAAATTTGTAGAAAAAAGCACGATAAGTTTTTTTTTTTCGCCGCTGGGGGGCCACTAAACTTAATGGCTGATTGCCACACCGACAAAAATCAAAACGACTCTGAACCGGAAGAATAGGGATCGAAATCGGCTCAATATTTATCTAATGTGCGTTGATCGTGATATCGTTGTTGATATCTACTCCGATAATATAAATTTAACATAGTATACACAAAAAATTGAAGACATTTAAATTTTAAGTATGATTTAGTGGCATAATTACGTTTTTAATTTTAACTTAATTATTAGAAAATTTTGACAGAGGTTTTTTTTATTCATGAAAGCTATGGAAATTTTTTATGTTAGATGGTGGCAATGGATCCGGCGGTTCAGTCGATGTTTTAATAAAGCGGGCCGGGCTACCTCATTCACCGGACGAAACGCAGAAGTGTTACACTTCCACTTCTGCGGTGAGGCCTTGGTACTCACCCGGACGGACCTGCCCAATCGTGCAACAGCCGAAGCTGTCGCGGGGCCCTACCACAGTATAATCACCAAGTAGTGTACGAGGTGCATCACTGAGACATCAGAGGTACTTAACCCTACTCCGGGGCGTGCTCACGCCCAGTACCGAGGGTAGTGAGGTAGTCCCTCAAAACGTACAGAAGGTGGCCACCGAGGGAGTTTTAGTGGGTTTCTTTTCTTACCCACTAACCCTGTCTAGTGTTGCATATCGATAGACAAGACAATCGATAATCTATCGATAGTTAAGGTAAAAGCAATAATATCGGTAGTCTATCGATAGTATTGTCACGTGTCAATACTGTCGATACTAGCGATATTACCGATGGCTCACCAAGTGCCATTACTATTGATAACGTTCTTATGAAGATTCCCCCCCCCCCCCCCAAACAAAAAGAAAAGGTTACCTCCAGCGCGCTCTCGGGCAGCGCGTCCCTCATCAGCTGGAAGTAGAACTCGTTCTCGGCGCGGACCTGCCGCTGCCTGCGCATCCTCAGCCGCCTGCCGACGTACGCCTTCACGCCGAAGCCGAGCGACACCGCCGGGTAGCCGACGCAGTGCGCCGCCAGCGGCCGGCACAGCTCCAGCTCGCGCGCGGACCGCAGCGCCCCCTCGAGGTACACCACCGCGCAGCATATCACCACGGTGGGCAGGCACACGCCCTTGTCGGCGACTGCAACAGACGCCGGCGGTGACCGGGGCCGCTCTGCCCGGATAGCGATCGGCGCGAGCGCTTAAGTACGCGATTTTTCGAATATGGAACGCTGCGGCTCGATATTCGCAAAAAAAGAACGCGCCGATGCATCTGGCTGGCCGAGCGTGAATTTAAAAAAGAAAAATAAACTTCACATTCGAATTTGGAGCGTTGTCAATAGGAAAACAAAACACTAAAGCCGTCTATTTTTTAAACCGCAACCGCACCCTATCCTGGTACATCAAACACGCGAGTATGGATGGATGATTTATCGGAGCGTTGTTAATATAAATATGAAATCACTAAAGGCATGTATTTGTTGCATAAGCTGAGACCGCAGCGCACCCTTGTCTTGGTCCACCAACACGCAACATGTCGCCACGGTCGCAAGTATAATACGCTTTAGTTTGGTACTGCAGGAGATGCCAGCGCTGACTCAGGATGTTCTGGACTATGCACGTTTTTGAAAATGGAACGCTACACTTCGATACTTGAAAAATAATCTAGTAGGACGAGTGTGAATTTAAAAGAAAATCACGTATACTTGGCATTCAAAATTGGAACGTTGTGGATAGAAAAACCATATGACTAAAAACATTTATTTCAGAATGCCGATTGGGTTTATTAGATATTACGCTATTATATGTGTATGATTTTAGTCATAAATTAACGTAGTTTTAGGAGAAAATTCAATTAGTGATAATGCGAGATGTAGGCAATCTTAAATATTAAGAAACCGCCTTAACAAGTCTGTGTCAACGCTGATCGTGGAATATCACAGCGCACTCGCTAACTACGGCCAGTTCAGAAATTATTTCTGCTTTGCTTATCCAACGTAACTAATGGGATGGTTCTCTGAACGCATCGGAAAATGTAGCGTTGATTTGACTCATTTAGTGCGAACATCTGATTCACGCAGTATTAAGCGATCGTCGTGTGATTTAATTTATATCGGGAAGAGTCTCGAAGTCGAATTGTTAAGACATTTGGAACGCCAGAGGAGTTGCGAAAGCCTTACCGGATTGTAAGGTATTAGGAACGGGCTTATTGAAGGTCCTTATAGATAATTAGGTGCATAAAAAGTTAAATTACAATATATTTATACTACGAATGGAATATATAGGTTAGCGGACTCGACAGACGTTATCCTGTACAAGCGTCGTAAATGTGAAAATTTCAAACTTTTTTGAATACTTTTGTGAATCTAAACAATTCTAGAGTCCGCGTGAACGCACACAAAAAAATTCATCAAAATCGGCCCAGCAATTTAGAAGTAGATCAGTCACATAACATACGCTCAGAAGAGTTATATTGTTAACTAGCGACCCGCCCCGGCTTCGCATGGGTGCAATGTATTATACATATAAATCTTCCTCTTGAATCACTCTATCTAGTAAAAAAACCGCATCAAGATACGTTGCCTAGTTTTAAAGATCAAATCATACATAGGGACAGACAGACATCGAGACGACTTTATTTTATACTATGTAATGATATTAAAACGAAAGATAAATAACTGTTCCACTTTAAATGTTTAGCGAACATCAAATAATTCGCGGGCTGTTAGAAGTCCGAAATCGTGAACGCGATATATATAGAACCGGACAGACAAGCAAACAAACGTATTGCACCCATTACGTGAATCGGCCCGCGATCGATGATTTGAAATGTAAACAAAGCTAAGAGATTAGAGATGCATTTCGTTGTTACAACTAGGGTTGCCAACCATACTTTATAATAACGTATTCTACTTCATTTTTGGTAAATATACTTTATACTTTTGCATAAAAATAAAGTATGTGAATACTCTATTTTCAATATTTACTGTGAAGCATAAAATAGTACACAATGCATTACCTATATTAATAATTACAGATTTTTAATCGAAAGCTTTTACTGTTAATGGAAAAACACTGTGTCACTTGGATAATTACCAATCATTACAATACAGGGTCATAAGAATCAAATATAGAATTCCGTTACTTAAAAAAAAGTTGTGGACTGACCCCAATGATAAATGATTTTCGTAAACTAATGATTTGGGCTTTTAATGTGCAAAAACCACTCTAGTTAGGCATGTACTAAAATGTAGTGTTACCATCTCTATTAAACCTTTAAGAATTAGTAGTTGTGAAGGTTTCTGCTACAATTCCTTTATATAAAATTTGTTGAACACTACTCTAACACATTCATTGCCATTGACTTGGCCTGTGTGCCGCTGAAACTGTAATTTACTTGGTGTCGCATCAAGTTAACTACAGTGCCAATGGCATTGAACATGTTAATATAACTACTGATGTCATAAATATAACATATCAATTTTATCAATATTAAAGTAAACCATATATAAAATTGATTGTTATAAAGTTACTTATGAATAGGGTAACAAACATTAGTGAATAAACTTTATTTAATTATCATCTTAGCATATTAAAAACAAATACTGACACTAGCAACCCTGAGAGATGGGGAATTTTGACTCTACTCTTGCCCATTAAAAGTCCATTATGTCCCATTTTAAGAAAAAGACCGTGTAATTAAAATACTGTTAATTATTCCCTTGTAAAACTTTTTACTTACGGTCTATATTGGTCTTTGGTAAGTAAAATATTTAATTCAATCAAAAAATGTAAATACTCACATGTGTACCATACATACTGTACCCACACATAGGTACTTGCAGCAAAGAATATGTACTGCAGAGGTATAAAGAAGAAACATATCACGTCGGATGTAAGAGCTATGCAGATGAAGAACACTGAGAATGCCTGAAAAAAAAATATTGCTTAATATGAGAAATATAACAAAAACACGCCTTTTTAATAAAGTAATGATAATGACAACATCACAGGTTGTTAAATAAATTGTGATTTCCCAATATGTATCATTCTTATTCTTTATGAAAAAAAACTTAAATAACTGTAATGGAAATATTATAAATACACTGCACATTGTAATGTACTATTACAACTTATCACATTAACCTGAAATTGTAAATTTTATGTATTATACTTTTGCAATGTTAACGTGACGTAAGTTGGGTAAAGATAGAAAAACTGAACTTACAAGTCCTTGATATTTGAATGAGTCATAGACTGATCGCAGCATCATCCAAAATGGCCAAAGGAACTCAAATCTGAACTCCAGCATATAGTCAGCCATGACAACTGTGGTCCATAACATTACGAACCGTAGGTACAGCAAAGAGCTACAAAATGGAGATCAAAGAGAATTATTAGTACATCCAGTGAAATCGTAAAGAATTTGCATCTTGTTTTCTTATCTTATTCTTGCACAAATCTGTAAAATCATTACATTACATAAAATCATAATCATTATTACTAGAACATTTATCTAATCCTTAAAAAAAAAAACAAGAAAAGAATATGTTGCTCTTCACACATACACCTATTAATTTGCGTGAATTTTTTGGTTTTTTCCGCACCGAGTGTGGTTGATTTGTTTCAACTTAAAATTGTTAATGTTTTGTTTTAATATATTCTGTGTCTATTAAGTAGTGTGTTGAATCGTGCCTTTTTTATCTAAGTACTACTTTACCATTGGTATAACTATTTTAAATAATATATTTGAGACAGGCCCACCCAATGAATGGAAGTCTTAAATCATTATTCCTGTTCCTAATCCCAATAAGGCAATTACCATGAAGCATCAGGATTCTGATCCATCATGTATGTTGCCAAAGTTCTTGAGCGTTTAAAAAAATTTGTAGTGGTAATTGGAAAGGCAAAATTGTATACTTAAGAGGCAATTTGAATTCAGAAAAGCAAACTTGTTAGAGAGAAAGAAAAAAAATTATTTAACTTCATAGAAAATAAGACATCCAGAAAAAAAAATTAAGTACATTAAAATTATAAATAATAGACTATACATTTATACAGCGTGTCGTTACCATTGCGACAATAAATGAACACACATATAGGGGATAACTTTTTAAAGTTGTATTAAACATTTAAATTCTTTAAACATCAATATTTACAGAGTTATTAAATTTTCCAAAACAAAGAATTTTAGAACACCCTTATCTATAAAAGCGTAACGTAAGGTTCATTTGTAAAGGTCACAAAGCATATGAATGGGTTGAATGAATTTAAAAGAGACTAAACATACTGTTAGACAGAGGCTTGTAATACGACGCTGTGGCGCGAGTTGTATAGGATGTTAAAAATTTTGTTTCTTTTTTAATTAATTAGTTTGTTTGAAAAATATTTTTTTTTTATTATGGATTTTGTTTAACGTTAATATTTTTTTATGATTATTGGCACGTAGCGTTAGACGTGTGTTCATTTATTGTCGCGATGGTAACGACACGCTGTATATACATTTGGACAGGTGTGACGTTAAATGGGTGTTCACTCGGCTCTTGCTGCGGTGTTAACCACAGCACCGGTTTTCAGTGAAACCTATTAGAGTACGAGTTGGGAATAAAATATATATATATAAATATAAACTGTACGAGTAGGGTAACGATTTACAATCGGAGACATGACATTAATAAAAAGATAAAATAACCCAATAATAACAGATATCCGAATTGGTTATTCAAACAAAATAGCAATTCCTTGTAGGGGTATTTCTAGAGGTTTTGTTCAGCATGCTCTTCCTGTGATCAGATAGAAAATGTTACAACTGAGGATCGTGAAATTTGTTAACTCTATTTTTAACCTCCAGGTCAACTTTAGTAAGTGTTCAAAACTCACTTCTTCCATCAAAAACTGTCTGAAATGGCCTGCTTCAGGGTTTTGTCCTTAGTCCACTCTTCTTTAACATAATTATATACTTTTGACCTAGAGCTTACTGTTAATTAATTTTGTAATGTTTTCCAGTATGCAGATGACCTAGCTTTGTATATTTCCATAGAAAACATTTCTACATGCGTGGTCAAGACCACGCATGTAGAAATGTGGAGTTTACCACTGTGTTTTGCTTGCTTAAGGCTGGTTAACTCCTATTTCCAAAAGCAATATGGTAGTTTTCTCTCATCATAAAAGTGTTACAGATATAAGAACTTATGATATGAATATGCTGGTTTCATTCATGATTCATGATTCAGTTAAATTTTAGGTGTTGTTCTTGACACAAAATTATCATTTGTTACTTATATTGACTATATCTCCAAATCATGTCATTCTGGCATATGGTGGGGTGGTTCTGGCATATGGTGGGGTGGTCACATGTTTTGTCATGAGCTAGTGCCACATTAATTATGGATGCTTTGTTTTCGAAGCATGTAGTAAAACATCCCTTAGATTAGACAAAATACAGTATCATTATCACAATAAAGTCCTCTCCAATTAATGCTCTTCAGGTGGCGTAGGTGTCTCTCGGACAGCTTCCTTTTCAAGACCTGTCAAATCTCAGTCCACCATTTAATTTGTAAGCTACACCACCTATCTGATTGTGTCTTTATACAGATACTGGCCCTGGATTGACTGGTAGAGAATGGCAATAGGCATTCAATAAAGAATAAATAAATACTGGGTCTGTTATCTTGCCTCTGTCCTATTTTTCGATGTAAAACTAACTCTTTATTTGATACTGCTTATGATGCTTCAATTTTTAAACCTGACATTCATTTTGACCTGGGCATTCATCAGTTCTGTCACTGCCCCTCAGATTTAAATCACTACATAGTATAAAACAAAGTCATCCCGCTGTCTGTCTATCTCTATGTATGCTTAGATCTTTAAAACTATGCAACGGACCTTGATGCGTTTTTTTTACTAGATAGTGATTCAAGACGATGGTTTATATATGTAATACATTGCACTCATGCGAGGTTGCAGCGGGTCGCTAATAACAGTATAAAAGATATACAACATAATTATTAGGCTGGCGTGCTACATGAAACATTTTCTTCATAATTTCCTACCTACAACTTATCCAACTTGGCTATAGAAATTAAGATAATTCATATACTTTATGTTCTAGAGCTAAAAAACATCTTAAAGTCAAATAAATGTAATTTACACATTCATTAATGTACTATTTCATTGTTATGTAAAAAGTTCACCCTCGAATTTACCACAAACTTAACCACAATTCAAAGTGTTTCATCAAAATCATAACTAATTATTACACCAATCAAAACCACTCTGTGATAAGGCCTATTAATTTAAACAAATCAAACATTGTCCAATAGGCTATGCTTTATTTTTCAAACCACCTGTATAATATAAAAATAACAATAAATGTGCAAGTTTTTCATCAATATATTGTTTATGTTGCGCGCAAACAATTTAAAATCCGTCCTTGAATACTACTAACATACGGAAGTAGCGACGGTGAAACTGTTTTTAATGAACTTTTAATATGAAGGCAAGAAAAAATAATACGTTATGACTCTAACACGATACGTATCCCTAGAGTAAGAAATAAACGAAGAAAACACATGTGGAACGTTTTCTTTTTTTTTTTTTTGTATTTATACCACACAAGTTACGATTTGACATTGGTATCTACAGATGTTACTTTCTACCCACACATTTCCTTGTTCTAAGCACTATTTAAGAATTTTTTAAATTCAGTTTGTTATAAATAGGGTATAATAACTTTTAAAAATTCTATATAGATACAATTAGTTAATACGAAAAGCTATATTCACTCACTTTCCATACATTCCCTCGGTAATTTTTGTGCGCTTTAAGGGGCGCCGCATTTTGCCAGTATCGGCATTTCGCCTCTTCATATTTTTTCCTCCACGATGTAAATTACGATTACAGGCTGTCGGTTCACAACACGTAATTACATAAAAACATTTAAAACAACAATGATAGCACTTTTTGTTGTCAATCGGCCTATGACCAGAATTTACGAGGGAGATGAAATATCGGCAAGCTCTTTTTGCGTTCACTCATATGGTGTTGCCATGGTATTTATTTTCTTAAGAATACTTAATGTATCTTAGAAATTCATGTCACTGATAATAGATGACTCAAAGTTGAATTAGCTTTCTTTCTATTTCGTAAGCTTTATTTATTTAACCTTGCAAGTGAGAAAGACCATGATAATTATTTATTATTTCTATAGTTCAATAAATTTTTTAGCTCGCTGTTAGCTCGACAACTTTGACAAATTCATTGATAGGAGTCCGTGGGTAGACGCCCAATCAACTCAGGTGAGTATTATAATTTAAGAAAAGAATGAATTAATTAATACAAATTAATTAATGTAAATACGAGGAATACAAAAGTGGTCAAATTAAAAAAAATATAAGTTTTTTTTTAAATAAAAAGTCCCTAATTTAATTACATCACTAGAGACTGATCGGATGAAACCTTAACTAACAATACCAACACGACCAACAATAACATCACGATCAAAACTCCCTAAACAAAACAAAAGTCCCTAATTTAATTACATCACTAGAAACTGATCGGATGAAACCTTAACTAACAATACCAACACGACAAACAATAACATCACGTGTATCATGATTCATAACGAATATCATGTGTAGGCTTTGAATTGGGGACCTCGCCTACAACGAAAGCTTTGTTGCTTATTTGTATGTTTAAAGGTGAATGTGGTGTTAGCCACGGGTGCGGCCAAAGGTGAATGCGTTGTCTGATGGCGGCGGCAGTTTTGCACGCGGTAACTCGCCATTGAGGTTGAATAGAACTTTAATAGGACGGTGCCGTAGCGAATAACAATATCAGAGATTGTATCTCCATTATGCATAAATCCGACACTAGCAAACGTCATTACGGGACGTCTAAATTGATGAACTTAATACATAGGTACTTATCATCTTTGTGTCATTATATCGAAAGACCTTACGTAACTGAGCCGCAATACTTGAGGAAACGATGCGCCCTCTACGTCGATACCCATGTTATGCAGTCCATTCCTGATGCGCGTCTCACTATGGTAATATAAACGCCCCACACGCAAAAAGTTTTAAATGATTACAACAATGAATTAACGCACGCGTTAAACAATTTAATTATTCTACCGTCAAACAATACACACTGTAAGAAAGTGGTGACTGAGGAACTCAAGCCTCAATGACTCACACTTAGCACGGCGCACTCTATAGTTATGTGAATTGATTATTTTGTTTTTGTAAATAATTTTACTCTCGTAAATTAATGTTTTCAAATTAAAATTTTGTAAGCGTTACTAGTCTGGTAATTAAATCGCAATTTTGACCGTATCAATTTCCTGTATAAGTTAAATCACAGTTTAAGCCAAGATTCGAACCTAAATCTAAGGGACCCTTGGATTTTGTCTTACCTTACCTTGTTAGTTGAATTGAAGGGTTCATCTTATCTTAAGAACGTTCGCGGAGATGCAACGCTGCGTACGACGTTATTGTCATCATCGTGCACCAGCCTCTTCTGTCTGTGGACCTTTTTCTAAAAAGCTTCGCTTTCACTGAGTAGGCAAACTACACTAAAAATTAACATTAATATATTTACTTATATTTCAACTCCGATCACTGTACTTTCCCGAGATACACATTTTTTTAAATGGTAATAATTTCACTAATTCACGATATGTCAAAAGATTGTCATTTATCTATTTAATAAAACAAATATAGAGTGCTTTTATATATGTACCTATCTGAAATATTGTACACAATTAAAAAAAAACCATTAGTCTATTAAAATAATAAGCACACGTAATTGTATTTAAATTTATTTGTTAATTGTAATTAAACTTTTGGTATTATTTCCATAGATTGATATTTTACGGACCTAAAAATAATACAATGGATCAACAACCACTTGTCAACTCAGTGAAAAAATACTTGGCTTCACATCATATGTTTGCTGTTGAAGAATGGCTTTCAGGGTTTGTTAGCTATAATCAATTATAATCATAGGATTAAAAGTTTAGTTTATCGTAACTACTTCTACTTTTGTAGAAATTCTGTGTTAAAATAAAAATATTTCTTGGTTGCCATTGAGTTTTTTTTTTATTAGCATAGAATTTACGTTATTAGTAATCTAGGTATTACGTACATTAACCTAGAAGATGTTTTAATTTTTATTGTAGGTTTCTACTACTATAAGAAAACGATTTGCCAAATTTTATCCGTCGGAAATGAATAGTTTCCGAGATATTAAGTTTTGGAATTATTGATAGCATAGCATTGAAAAAGCCGATATTTCACACTGATTTGGTTCACACCACATACTATTTTGGTTTAAAGTATAACATACATGTGAAATGTCCAGTGAGCTAAGCACACATCATACTATTAAAAAAATACTTCCCATTCAGATTAACTTAACTACACTTTATTGGTTCAAATGTGTGTGTAATTTAAAAGTAAATGTGGCCTCACAATGAACTTGAATTCAGAACTGACTATCAAACCTGACACACCATGATCTTAGTCTGTCCTATCCCTAGAGTCTTTTTTTAGAGCCCGTAGTTAAATGAGCTTTAATGAGTTATTTCCTAATTGAAGTTTTTTTTTTTTAAAGAAAGAAAAGGAATGAGATGTTAATGGTTGGTTTTGATGCTATGATTCGACACACCAATTCTTTTTCACAGATTCGTAGAGTATTTAATGGAAAACAATGATGGAAACTATGGAGAGGCTGAAGTACAAAATCTAGCAAAAGAACAATGGCTATTAAATGATTTGAAGGATATCTGCCCTGGTTGCCTTCCTGCAAATTTGAAACATCAGCAGAAAACCATTTTGAATGGGAGATTTGTGCTACAGATAAATGCTGCTGTAGATATAGGTAAATTTATTAATAAATAATTAAAAAAAAGTTAATATAAACAAGTGGGTAACAATATAAACAAAATATAATGTTCACAAAGAAATGTATATGCATCAGGTTTTTTTTACAGTTGAGTATTACAGGAAAACCATAGTGCATATTTCTTTACAACAACATCTTGTTAAATATTTAATAACAGATTATGTTTCCAAACAACTTACCATTTCAATATCTAAAATTCAACATTCATTGAAAAATTTAAAAAGTTAAATGTAACTATATCAAAATTTTAATGACAGTGGTGTCCTTGTGGTTGCAATGTATTTTGATTTCAAAGCTTGTACAGATATATTGATTTCAAATCCAAGAGGTATTGTTTGCTTTCCATATTTCCCATTTGTTACTCGCAAAAATTATAATTTTTCCTAGAATTTAGTTGCCTAGGCAAAATGATGATTTTGACCAGAGCACTAAACTCTAGGCAAAATACAAAAATATGATCTGGACAATTTGAGAATGTATTATAGAACTATTATGATATGTAGCAGTTGCAAGTATGTATATAAAAACATTGTCAGTATGTTAGTCCATTATGAACCTGTTTTAGGGAGAAGGCATTTAATAATAAGAAAAAACGAAATGATTGCAGTTGTTTCATAAATCCTTTTAGGCACGCCTGCTTACCAACAATACCTGAAGCTGCAAAAAATTAATATGGAAAATATAGAAGCAACTACTAACTTTGAGGAGAAAATATCTAGCCACAGGTATTAAAAAGGACTTTTGTCTCCTACATATTTGTTCAATTATTTAAAATATGAAATTAGGATTCAATATAATTACAACTGCCATTAACAGAAAGTTATTGTTAGTTGAAAAAAATCTCTTTTGGAGATGTGAAATCCTTTCTAAGTTCAATCACATTATATATGGAAGTCTTGTTCAAAGTCAATCAGTTGATATATGTCACACTTTTTATTAAGTGGACCCATATTAGGGACTTCCCCAGACAGACCTGCCCATTCATGCAACAGAGAAGATTTTTGAATGGCCCTACCACAGTAAAATGGGGTCATTAATGATTATTTTTTTATTCTTTATATTTAGTCAGCACAAAAGATGAAATTTTAATGACTATTAGATTAGTTGTTGAAATTTTTTTTATATCTATCCTGGGCTCTATCCCGATTTGAACAAATGTCTTCTGAAGATAATGTGCAGAAACTGAGCTTAAGTTAGTGTCATTTCGGAGCAATTAATTTTTCAAATATCTTTAATCAATATAGAACACTTATTGATTGTCAAGAAAAACCACTACATGTAATATATCAAATATTTCATTACCAGCGTACTGTCATATCAACAAAGATGTCACAGCAACCACAATATTTCATTTTAATTTTCAGAATGATAAAGTTGTATCTCACAGATGGCGTGCAGGAAGTGTCGGCCATTGAGTACAGGCCAATGCGCAACCTAAGCAGCGACGTGACGCCCGGCTGCAAAGCGCTAATTAAGGGTGAGCCACGATTAATATAAAATAGAAGAGACTTAGTAAAAGACTAAGACTCCACTGTCTGTCCGTCTGTCATCAGGCTTTATCTTATGAACCGTGATAGTTAGACAGTTGTAATAGTTTAGAAATATTCGAATATCATTTATTGAATAGGTTTAGAAATGTAGCATTTCATTGAGTTTTGTGTATGTTCCAGGTCCGGTGGAGTGTCGCCGTGGCATGATCATGCTGACCGAAAGTAATTTAGAGCTCCTGGGTGGCGAGGTTCAGGAGTTGGCAGACGCAAACTCTCTTGTGGGTCTACTTGCCGCGAAACTAGGCCTGTCCGCCATAGAGTGTGAGTAGAATGATGTTTTTCCTGTTTACAGTAGAATGGAGATGGTGGAAGCCACGCAACAGTCTTCGCTGTTGCACGAATGCAGGTCCGTCCATCGGTAATCCTATGGGTATTGCAAAATGGGCGGTGGTTACCTCTTAACATCAGGTACACTTGACAATAGAACTAACAGCAGCATTTTTATTTACTTACTTAAAAACTGTATGAGATTTAAAACTTCGCACCCAAATACTTGGGGATTATTATTGAATTTCCTGTGAATCACTGTTGTTTTTCCAAAAAAAAAATTATAGTTAAATTTAATCTTATCATATTTCCAGGCCTTCAGAACGCCTCCAGACAGGCGAATATGGCACAGCAGGCGCCAGTGTCAGCACAAAATGGCGGTCCACCGGCAGAACAAGCGATATTCGTCCAACCAAATAGTGCTGCGAGGGTGGAACCGGAGGAGACCTTCGAAGACGACATCGACGTGGAGCAGCTGGCGGCCATAGAGGCTCAATTCGCGAACCCGTCCAAGAGGCCTCTTAACGACGCCGCCTCCAATCCGGAGAAGAGGGCGAAAACGAATCCCGCCCCTATCAACAACGCCGACGATTACCCCGAGGTCGACGACCTCGTAATGGAGGACGACGACCACGCCAGGGAAATGGAGGCGAGGTTCGACACGCAGGAAAGTGCACCCACGGCCCTTGACAATAGAGCTCCGATTTCCGTGCCGTGTGACCCGTTCGTGTACATCAAACAGATCGCCGAGCTGAGCGAATCGGAGAGGGCCGGTAGAGTCTTCCGCGTGAAGGGCCAGATCATCAAGCTCCTGTCCAAACTGTCCGTGGGCAAGGATGGCTGGAGTTTGAAGTGCGCCATCGTGGACGGCACCGGCAGCCTGGAGGTGGATTTCACCAGCGACGTTCTGTCGCAGCTGGTGGGCTACACGCCCGCCGAGATGAACCGGATAAAAAAGCAAATGGCGACACAGCCCGAGCTCAAAGAGAAGGCGGTAGAGGTTGGTTATTATTTTTTTTTTAAATAATAACTGCCAGTATTTGTCTGTAATTTCAACTCGTAGCCGCCGTATAATGGAAACGCGCCGACTCAGTGAAAGCCTGTTTACTCTTTTTTCTAAGACATATACGATATTTTTGTATGGAAAGACAAATACCGGCAGATTGTTCTATGATTTGGTTTTTATCCTCCTGACTAGATGATGACGTGCGATCTGTTATTGCGGGTTCCCAGTATTGTGGACCAATTTCTGTTAGTTTTACTCGCGAACAAAAATCACAATAAAATACGCATCTGATACGTACTTAATAATCTCGATTGAATGTGACTTGCGTACAAAAATCACTAACAATGAAGTAGGCACCTTTTACATACTTAATAATCTCGATTGAATGCGGATTACAACTTTGGTCGGCCCTTTTAGGTTGAAGAAATAAGAACTGTTAAAGTTCTAAAAGTTCTTATAGTGAATATTATTTTTCTACCCTCAGGCACTGCAAAAGGCGAAGGAGCGACTCCAAGTCCTGTATCGTATAATAGAGCTGACAATGTCGGACGGTCCCAAGATAACGCAACTCTTGCCCTTCGACGCTGCGCATGCAGACCTTCTAATTAAAAGGCGCTTGCCGGGCGATTTGTGAAAAGAAGAAGAAAGGATCTGAACACCGGTTTAGTGTCACTATTTCTAACATATCTTAAGTAATAATGTCACCTAGGGTGCCAGTTGCGTGCGCTGACCTTTAACAACGGTTGGCAAGAGATAAAAATTAAACCTTAAAAAGTTTAGGAGCAATGGAAACATCTCTCGTTACAAATGCTTAACATTGAATGTTCTCTGTAAATCGCTTCTCGGCCTTTTGGCTAAGTTCAAATCAAAGTGTAGAATGTTCTCTGTTAGGTGTTGTTGCTTTAAAGGATGCACACTAGATGGCACCAAGCATTGCTAAAATTGCAATAGAAAGAGAGTTGATAGATGTCGAGATTATCGCTCCGTGAGGTCATCGGCCGCTTAGCTGATAAATGTCCGGGCGCGAAACCAGAAGACTTAGGTTCGAATCCGGCAACGCCAAAAGTTTTTTTGTTCATTTATCTACAAAAATTTATGATAAAAAAAAGCTTAATACTCTGCACATATAAAAAAAATAAGAATAAGTTTTTATAACTTGCATTTCATCGCAATTACTCTGTGATAATAAAATCTCGATGGAGGTTTGGGGTTGGGGGTCATCCATGATTGGATCTAAAAAATGTACTGTCATTTCCCTTACTAACATTTTTAGGTACAATTAAAAATGTAAACAAAGGGCATAATATACCCTATTGTGATAAAGCTTAGTATTTATGATTGATTGTTGTTTTAAGCATAACGTAGTTTTAATATATAAAATAGTCGCTAATGAGCATTTAAGTTGTTGATCCAATTACAGTCTTCTGAAATTTGACTTTTTTTACGCCGTTTTAATATTTTTTATTGGTCAATTTGAAATAATTGCGAAATATGGGACTGTTTAGCTTTAACAAAATTAGACCTGTATATAATTTTATTGCTTCAGTTTTAGTATGTAATCCTTTTAGCAGTCATATGTTCAGGCGTTTGGCAGACGAAATTTGATTTTGTTGCCGACTTAAGTACATTTTGAAATCAAAGTGGCAGTATTGTACTTTTGCACTTAATGAGTGAAATAACGACAATTCATTAATGTCCATTGTCCACCCACGGCCAGCGGTAATCAGTGAACTTCAGGTGCCCACTTGTTTGGGACCTTATTACAGAAATAAACCGCATTTTAGCATCTGCTGGGTCTTAATCCTCTTATCATATAACATATTGCCAGAAAATGTTTGATAAAACTACATTCATCCTGAAATCCATTCTCATGATAAAAAATATTGACAATAAATCTTCTCTTTCGACATGGGTAGTAAAAAAATAAACAGTTTCGTTATACAGCTATATTTTATTTCATACGCCTGTTCATAACTAAATAATCTGTAGTTCAATATACAAAAAAATTATCGAATACATCATATTAACATAACTCCAGCTAACTATCGGCACAATTTAACCAAAAGGACAAACGCAACACTTAAAAGAACCTCTTGAAGCTTAGGATGCAATTTTATTTAATATATTTATGTTAGGGTCTTTAAAATAAATTACACACCTAGTTTTAAAATAAAATGTGTCTCAATATAGGCTATTTTAAATGTGATAATTGTTAATCTACAAGTTGGAACTTAGACCTAAATCCTCGAATTCTAGATCAAAATCTAAATTCAAAATATTTTGCTAAATGTTAAACATATTCCATGATAAAAAGTTAAGATTTGAGTAATAAAATTTGATATACAAAGCTATAGACAGTCACAAAGAGAGCTATAAACACAAGATGAAATAATTTGAAGTTCATAATTAAAGTGTTCAAGATAACTACCATTAAAAACAATTATTAAATCCTTTATCTTATCAAATTGCATATCCTATAAAGAACGCCCTAAGCTTCACTATCTCAACAAAATACAATGTGATTAAAATTGAGCACTCAATGTATCAAAACAATACAAAACAAAATAAACTGTGTAAATAAATATTTTAAACAAGAAAGGGGTTTGCTTTTAAGAAAATACACAGTGAAATAATAAACCTGTAAGTCCTAAGTTGATATGAAAGCTATAGTTGTGTAATTGAATTCATTTTGGCTATATATGTAGATAATTATAAGCTTCCCTTGATTTTATTAGCAAATAGATCTACTAATATATGTGTATAAAAGGAACTTTATTCAATTCTTTAAAAAATACATGCAAATTAGTTCAAATGAAGAGCTGAGTGCCATTAAGCGAAATGGTTTACAAGCTTTGTCATCAAAAACAATAAATAATTTATACTTGCTAAGGTTAAAAGTGAAGAATGCCAGGTTAGAGATAGTTATCTCGCAGTATTACGCTGTTCTTTTTAATTTTTTTATGAAACACATGCAATACCTCAATGTAGGACTATGCTATATATTGAACAAAATTAAATGTTAAAAAAATATTCAAAATAAAGTCGAATAAATACGAGTTAAAATTGAAACTAAGGAGTACCTTGCTTGATACATTTATTCTTAATGAAATCGTCCATTAAAGGACAATAAATAACAATTATCAGAAACAGTCTGAGACAATAATGCAGTTGGCAGAGACTGCGAAGATATGAACCGTCAATTAGAGCTAGATGTATAAAAACACGTCATATGCGGATTTCAACGGAGTAATAATTCAAATGTAATAGTTACAAGCGAAAACGTCACGGATAAAACATTATACGACTTTAAAAATCGGGTGTAACCTGACAAAGCGTCTGTTTACGCGTGGATCTTCCGTATCGGGACGCGATCCTTCGAAAACTACGACGATGTGGTTCACTTCGATAAGACGGATACGCACGAACACGATCAAGAATGAACACAACTAGATCACGACCGACCGACAACAGACACTAATGACGATAATTAACGTTTTAACCGTTCGAATTAGTATGTAGTTAGTGGCGATGGGTGATCGACGGCACGCCCGACCGCGCACACCGAATGGATACAAAAGCCGACGTTGCCGAAACACGTTTAGCTATTTACAGCGCGTCCGATAGATATACGGCGTCGTGCGAGGAACGAAACGACTACTCGTATCCGCCGACTATAAAGCGTCAGTCTTCCACTTAAATGCCATACATCCGTAAGCGAATCCGTTAGGCCAGTGTCGTCCCGCCGAGTGGCTGGCGCTCTACAGGATCCTCTCGTAGAAGAGGAGGTAGGCCTGCGCCCTCAGCACCTTGTCCTCCGTCACCTCGGAGACCATGCTGTCGGAGACGTAGTACCACTTGCCGGCGGGCGGGTCGACGGCCGGGGCCGGGCCCTCGCCGGACTCGTAGCCGGACAGGTCGGACTCCGAGTCCGCGTCGCCTTCGCCCCCTCCGGAGGCCGGTATGTTGGCGCTCTTGGGCAGGAACCACCACCTGGGGTCGCCCGGCTTCACCGGCCGCCGCACCTTCACGTATGCCACGTAGTGCCCGCCGTGCATGCCGCCCGAGTGCTCCACCACGCCGTACAGCGAGTACAGCAGCTCGCTCTGGCCGCGCGCCACGTTCGGCAGCTTCTTAAGCTTGTCCATGGCGCAGAAGGGCGCCAGGTCCAGCACGGTGGGGAAGTCGACGTGCTTCGTCATCTTGCGGAACATGCAGCGCGGCCCGATCTGGAAGCGCTTCAGGTGGAGGATGAGGATGGCCGGCGGGCTGGAGACGAGGAAGCGCTTCGTGGCGTTGGTGTACACGGTCTTGCCGTCTTTCCCGTTGATCCTCTCCGTGCAGGTCTCGCAGCCGACCTTGTTGTTGCCGGTGAGCAGCTCGAGCGCCGTGAACTGGCTGAGGCACGACTGGATGCTGCACTCGTCCTCGTCGCAGACGTAGCGGGGCGAGAGGGGGCTTTGGCGGTTGAGGGAGAGGAAGTCGCGGCTCTTCTCCGCCTCTATGTTGTTCATCTTCGGCCGGGGCATCGGCGGCGGCTCTATTGGGACGCTCTCCGCCGCCACGGGCGAGGGGTAAGTGGGCTTCGGCTTGGACTCCTCCATGTCGAGTTTCAGCTTGTCCAGTATGTTAGTCACGTCCTGGTGTTTGCCGAGGTTGTTGAATGACGCCTGGGGCTCTTGGGCCTTGCTCTCCGGCAGGGACTCGTAGCTGCTCTCGCCGCTGTGCTCCAACAGGCTCCTCGAGCCCTTCACACTGATGCCGCGCGACACCACCTCGTTGGAGTACTCCGGCGCGAACGCGATCCGCGACACAGGTCGTTCGTACTCGCCCTTCACCGGGGAGAGTTTGCTGTGCTGCGGACTGGGTAGGTCGAGGTTTATCTCGCTGGAGAGGGAGCTGTGGCTGCCCAGCTCCTTGCCGTTGACGGGCGAGTCCACGTTGTCCACGGTCTCGGTGGAGTTGTGCTTGGTCGCTTCGGGGCTGGCCACGCCGGAGTCCGGGTTCGACTGGAAGCTGTTGAGGGACGCGAGCGACTTGTACTCGAGCGCGATGACGGTCGTGGACGTGGACGAGTTGACGAACTCCTTGTCCTTGTCGGCGGCCTCTGGCGTGTGGTCCGCCTTCTCCTTGTCCAGGTCCACGGGGCTGGTGCGGATGGAGTCGGAGCTGATCACCTTCTCCGAGTTGTAGCCCGACTCCATGTGGTAGGCGGCGAAGTTGGCGGCCGTGTGCGCGATGGCCTGCGTGCCCACCGACGCCGTGTGCGTGTCTGCGTGTCTGGGCGCGTCCTCCAGGTTGTCTTCCACGTCCGCATCGGACTGCTCCGAAGACGACTTCCCTTCCTCTTTCGCGCCGCCCGCCTCGCTGGCGCTCTTCTCTTTGCCGGTGGCGTTACCTGAAACGATACACACACTGTTACCGATGGCTTACTGGCTAAGTCGAATCTAGAATATTAAGCGATCATATTTTAAGATAGTCACATATTTCCACCATCGTAGAGAGATTGTAAATCATTGGAAGCAGTCATTCGCAGTCCCTTTAACTACAAAACTCCATGCAGGGGTGAGAAATAAAATCATATACGCATACATAGATATTTTTTGCTAGTCATGCTGTTGTTAGTACCACCTTTGTTCTTTCGCGCGGCTTTCCTCGCGGCCATCCTCTCCTTTTTGAGTTGGTGTTTTGACGGCTTATTATCCTCTTGCACATTGTACATATTCTCCTCTGAAAATATGTATTTTGTTTTATATATGAGTAACAGGTGCTAAGCCACAACCCATTTCAAGTTACAGAACAAATTATATAAACAAAAAAAAATGACAAAAATTAACTTGACAACAGTTTCTTACGAGCAATACATTCGCATACAGAAGAATTGTTCAGGTGTGTAACAGTTTATCATACTCATCAAAGGAGACACACGTTGAGGGAAATTCATAAAATAAGCACAAATTTACAGAGTGCAAACTCAACATATAACATACAATCATAGCACTAATTATGACTACGACACCAATAAAAAATGTAAAACATCAAAAGCGTTGGGATACACACAGGTCATAGTAATAATATTTTTGTGTATTGTTATTATAGTAGTGTATATCGGTAAATATGGTGGTGGTTGATCACGGCGGTGGTCGTGATTGTGTGATTGTGTGAGTCATGATTGTGGTCGCGGTCATAACTATGGTAGTGGCGTAAGGTGATCGTGTTCGTTATTGTAATTTGAGGGTGTGCTAGTGTTGATGCGTGAGGAAGGTTGGGCAGTTCCGACGTTCACTGCGATCTAGAAGATCTGTTGTAGTCTGTTGTGGTGGTGTTGGTCGTAGTTGGTCGTGGTGTTGGTCGTCGTGGCGGTGCATACCGTTGGGGGTCTTCCGGCGCACGAGGGCCGGCGGCTGGGGCCGGCTGGCGGCCACCGGCAGCGACAGATCCAGGAAGTACTCCGCGCGGTCCGACTGCTGGAAGCACTCCTGGCACTCCAGCGTCGAAACCAGGAAGCCGCGAAATACCTGCGCGCAGCCGTACACATTTATTGTTATGAAATAACCCGCCTATTTTAAACGACTACATCGGTGCCATTATTTTTTTTAAACATTGCCCTCACTTTTGGATAACATTATCCTGTGTTGTAAGGACGTTTTACAAACATAAATTGCACGAGGACAAACACCCAGATGCGAAACAACTATCTGTGGGTCGCATAAATAGTTGTCCCGTGTGGGAATCGAACCCACGACCCCCGACGCCGAAGCCAATACCTTGGCAACGGCGCCACGGAGTCATTATTGCCATGTTGTTAAATAATGCAACGGTTACCTTTTTCTTTAAAATCATTACATGAACACTAGTTGCCACTAAAAGAGGCACTACGCGCTGGGATTTGAAGCCATTCAGACTGGAAAATTGAGCTACCAAAAACCCATATTTATTATATGTGATCTAAGCAACGTTAACTGCTACCTCTGTACCGTAGAAAAGTATCTAACACGATTATATAATGGAAATTTTAAATACAAACATTGTTATAATTATATGATTTGAAAAATAAGTAATGAGTGTAAGGATTATTCTCTGTTCTACATTAAAACGTTATAGACATATAATAGATGTTACAAAATCAAATCTTTATAGTTTACTCACACATACCTGTTCAGGTCTCAGCATCGTATCGGACGCCTGCTGTCCATAGAACTTGACCTTCTGCTTGACCTCCCCGTCGACTTTGGCCGGGTCCACCTTGGAGCTCATGCCCAGGCTGCTGAGTATCACCGACTGGTAACGGCGTAGGTCCTCCGATCTGTGAATGGGAAGACTCGGTTCAAACACATTGCTCGCGATCCTAGTTCGCCGGTTCGGACAGGTTGGCGCTTGTAGGGGTGTCGTTGTGCGTATGTGCAATCGACGCCCAATGATTTTTTTTGTTATTATGATGAGTTGCCAAGGGAGCAGGCGGTTCACCTGATGTTAAGTGAACACCCCTGCCCATGGACAGAACTACTAGATACAGAGAATGCAACAGACATCCGAGGGTTACAGATGCGTTGACAACCTTTTGATAATTGGGCTCCGGCTACCTCACTCACCAGACGAAACGCTAAAGTATTATATATTATTATTATAGCCGGTCTTCTGTGAGGTCGTGGTGCTTACCCGGACGAGTCTGCCCATTCGAGCAGCAGCCGAGGATGCTGCGTGGCGCTACCACAGTTAAATTCTGATACGAGAGGCCAATAAGACTTAAATTTACCTGTAACCGTTAAAATTGTTCCTATCCCTCTTATCCTCGAATTATGTATATTTAAATAGAATCAATCTCATTACAGTCATTAATTTGATTTGATCCAAGCCCTAGGAAAGTAGACACACAGACAACTTACCTACACAATACTAAGAGCATCGATACATATTATTATTAGGTGTTCATTAAGGGAACAGAACCTGCTGCATGGCTCCATCATAGATAAGATTTTTTTTCATTCCCTTGCAAGTCAATACAAAAGCTCAAAATCGTTAAGGGTCAATGTCGTTAGACCGACTTTTTTTTTTTGTAATTTTATATCTTTCCACCAATTCCTATGAAAAATCGCTACAAATAAGTATTCGAGTATGGAAACAATTCCGCCCCTTTAAATTTATTGTTATTTGCCGTCGGCATTTTTATCTTGTGTATCATTCAGACCATTGTCTATATATTATGATGGTTTGGGTGAGTCACCCAAAATGGCGTAATTTCGTGGGAAAAAAATACTTCCTGAGACCTGAAGACCCCTAAGTTCAAAGGGTTAGATTTTATTATTACTGCAACATTAAACCGTTACCTATTTTTATGTGTAAAGGTTGCAAGCGATCAGACGGTTCAAGACGGTCGAACGGGTTGCAAATGCGTTGCCATCTTGCAAATGTATAATCTTGCAGTTTCACTTAATGCCGGTCTTCTTTGAGGTCGTGGTACTTACCCGGACGGACCTGCCCATTCATGAAACAGACGAAGACGGTTGCGTGGTCTTACCACAATAAGATTTTTTTAGGTTGAATCAGATGTTTTAATTTAGCTCATTGGAAATCATTGTGACATCTCTATAGATGTCCTATCCTATGATCATCAGGGAGGTTTTCCTAAGTGTATCCATTTTTTTAAATTAAATTCTAGACAAAAATAATGATATATAAAAAATGATACATATTTAAAATGGCTCTTAATTAATTAATTACATTCATTTGAACTTATCTCAAAATGTGCGTGATTTATGAGCAACTCATTTATTTTACGCGCGATCATTCATAACTAACACGCTCACAAGTTCGGTTCAAAAGTATACGACGAATTTAAGAATGACTACCGCATTGTCAACAAGTTCTTTTTTTTTTAAAGAAAAAAAATTGTTTCAATAAACGATTATACTACCGAGTTTGAACCTCCTGTGAATTTGGGCACCTTGAGAAAAGCCACCCTGTATAGTTATATGAGAATGACGACATTCGAATGGGGAATAGGATATCGAAAAATTTGATTAAACAAAATGTTGATTTTCATTTGCTACAGTTGGGCATAAAATAATTTTCTTGGACATTATTTCGAATGCGCATACCGCGCATTCGAAATAATTTCTTAATCTTGTTTTCCAACTTTAAAGGACAAAAGGTATGTGTAGAATGCATAATGGAGATCTCGTCCTTGCTTGCGTAAACAATTTATTTCTATCAGTAATCTTGGAATCTCTTTTATTAGCTTATTATACGCGAAGCCTTTTATGTTTAAAAGGTTTCAATAATATTTTAGTCGTATAACGGACTTTTGGTGGCGGTATCGAAGTGATTAAACAATAAAAGAAAACAGTAAGTTCATAAATATAAAATTTTGTATGGGTTTGGGTCCTTTGTTCAGGCGAACTGACGTAGCTCATAATAAGATTGTCAAACTGGTGTGTTTACGGGTCGGCCATATAAAGGGAAATAGGAAGAAAGGTACTATAGTGGCAGCCTCGTATTTGCCATCACATTGTAAGACAACCTCCCATTAGATGGAAGTTGATGGATGCAGGTTGCTAAAGGTCGCGCTTCGTGGCAGTCTGCGTGGGAGGCCTATGTCTAGCACTGGACTTAAATAAACTGAAATGATAATGATGGTCCTCAGTGATTTCCTAAATATCGACGACTTTTGGCCGTAGAAAAAAATTTTTTAAAAAACGATTACATAGTACAGAATTTTTTCATGCCGGGTATTGTATATGTCTTTAATTATTGAATAGGAGGTGAATATATATTTATACTATTCAATAAGAACTAGTACCTCGGCTAACTTGACATACGTAACTCATAAATATACGACCATAATAAACCACCCGATTGCGGCTGCGGGTCAATAAAATACAGGAAGTCAATATCTAATTCCTTAGAAGTTAATGCAAACTATTGTTGATTTAATTCAGCTGTTTGTAATAGAATACTTATAATTCATCAGGGTTCTTTGTATACAAAAATCTGAAGAGAATCCATCCCAACATTTTTTTTATTAATAAACTATCCATTCATGAAAGCTGAACAATTCAAGCCTTTCACCAATATTTAATAAACATATATTTATAAAGGAGTACATATTTGTAACTTACACAATGTAATGATGTGGTTTGCACATCAAAGAACAGAGACTTAAAAAACACCGGCAAGATTATTTTGATTACGATGCAGATAGAAAGTGTAAGGTTGCCTGGAAGAAATTACTACCTAACCTAACTTCTATAATCATAACCCTTATCTACCCCTCTGTGTGACAAAGGTCAGGGTTTGTGCTTGTGAAAACAACAAAAGTTAAGCTCACCTCACTGCCTCCAGCAAATGCCTCAGCAACTCGTGGGCATCATGTTGGTCGCCGCCTCCGAACTGTGGCAGCTTGTTGACTAAAGCCAGCAGCAGCTTCCGTGGCGTATAGACACCGCCCTCGCCTGATATTAATGAAAAGGGCACATTGAAAGAACCACATGGGTATTGCATATATTAATAAGTGGTGTCAATATCATATTATGGTTCAAAAATATGCAGGTTTCCTCACAATATTATATATTTTAAAATATAATATGTACATATTTACATGCGTTATTATTATAGAGGCAAGCATGGGTGATGATGATGACTACTCAAACAGCGATGCAAAAATTTAGTGCTAGTTTCTTCTTTACATCCCTTCATTCCTTCCTCATGTTTTTCAAATGTCCTACCTACTTAATTCCTTGCTTATAATAACAGAACCATTAGCTCTTCAAACAACATTTTACTAATCATCAAGTTATTCCTTGATGGAGCCATCATATTAAAATTGGAATTGGAACATTTTACTTCAGCGTCTTCCCCACAATTCTGAATTTGTCAATTGTCATTGTTAATTTGTCAACACTTCCTTTCCTGTCTAATCTTTTCTTCTGTGCAATGTGCTTCCATTTTAAATTAGGACTCCTGATTACATTTCTTTAAGATTATACAGAAACTTTCTGAATAAATTAGCAGATCTATGTATGTAATGTAATTAGTCATATTAATTCATAATTATTATATCATTGTATTTATTTATACACAACATATTTCTTATATTATTATTTTCTTTTCTTTACTTCTACAAAAACAAACTGTTAAATATTTTAATTGTTATGTGTTCAACAGAGATAGCTAAACTACAATAAATATGTCGCAAAACTTTTACATGAGCAGAAATTTAAATTGTTTATAAAACAGAAATTCATTGTAGTGCATTTTATTAAAAACTCTTGTAGAAGCCATTAGGATTTCACTGGCTTTTTGTTCATGTATGACAATTAAAATTGGCATAATGAATATCGGAGGGTGTGGGTTCAATCCCCAGTATCAGAAAAATTATCAGTGTTTTTATATTGGCTGGATTTTTATATATCTATAATATGTATTTATTTCATAAAAGAAATGTATTATGTATATTATGTTTATCAGTTACCTGGTGCCGATAGTAAAAAAAATTACTTATTTTGGGACTAGGTAAAATTGTGTAAAAATACCTTCTGAAATATGTATTATTATTATAATTCATTTAAAGCTTTAAAATTTCAATAATTTTTTAAGATCAACAAAATAACCCTGTCCCCAGTATAAGATAGTTACATTGCGTTTGAATGATCAAAAATACTAATTACAATAAATAAATTTGCTTTGAAACAATTACTATTCATTTACCTATTACTTCACTTCTTCAGTATTCTGCATAGGGGAATAGGAATAATTAATGAAGTTTAAATTACTGACACACAATCATTGATCATTGATTAGGCAATATGTTAATAAGTGCCATTAAAAAAGTAAATTTACAATTAAGCCAAGACAATATTGTAGCATAGATAACATGTGCAGAATTAATGCAGTTAAGTAAATTTTAATTTAATTTAGTTGAAGTGAAGAAAATGCATCATCAGAAATAATAAACATGGCAGTACTGCTTTTAGAATAGTTCTAAAATACTGTTGCCCATTTGAAAATAGGTCAACTAGCTCATTATATATTAAATATAGAATCGTCAGTAACCTTTTTAAAAGTTTTAGTTTTGTATAACATATTCCATAATGTTTTAAAATAATAACTATAATCTATGATGAGTGTTTACTTAGTACGTGAGCATAGATCTATCTAGTGTTATTATTACAATTATCATTCTTAGCATAGTTAAAATGTTATACAACAATAATTTTCAAAGACATGAGTTCTAAGTTTTATTTATAATGCACATGATGATCTATTAATTTCATAATATTTGTAATCAAAACTATTTATAAAATAGGATCAAGGCCTTAAGCCTTTGAAAATTGTTTTAGTTTAAGCAACATGGAGACAAAGCCTGATTTTATTAATTCAGATGCTAAATGCTATGAATCTGAAACAATTTTGATTTCATCTGCAATTGAAATAAAAATCTAGAAATATTAAAGTACTATGCATATTACTCACCTGCTTGCAATTCCGCAAGTGTTTCTGACAGTGTACGAGTCAAGGTCCCCCACTCGCCCAATTGCCCTGTTATTGGTGGAAGTTCTACTTCCTTAGCATCATCTCCATCCACTTTGAGTTTTAACTTCCCCCCGGGTAATGTAAATCTCTCCCCTGGAGTGGCCATTTCATGTAGAACATCTTGTAAATATGGTGTCTGCACCAAGCACTGCATTACTGAATTAAAGAAGCAAGTATTTCCTAAATTTGAAAGCCCTCTAACTCTCGGTAAACTTGAAGCTTCTGCCTTATCTTTCCCTTTTGAGAACTGATCAGTTTTAATTATAGATTCAGCTGGCAACGGAACATCAAAATTTTTGGGCTGGGAGTCAAAGAGAGGCTCAATGGCAGGTAGTGATTTATTACTGGACGCTTGTTTCTTAACATACTCTATGCACTCATGCAACTTTTTCGAGCTTGAGGCTGTTACTTCATTGTTGCAACTGTAGCAATAGATCTCCCATGTGGCAGTGTTGGCTGTCAATGAATGGCAGTCAGAATGTGGCGTATTGAAATGGTTCAAGGCATGCTTGTTACGTGTACGTCCGCACAGTTGCGTGCCACATCGTAAACACATCCAAAGTGTGAGGTCTTCCTCGAAATTTGGGTCGGGCACTTCAATTTTGTTGCATTTCTTACACTCTGCACATTCTTTTTCAAAGCCCCCCGATTTTAAGGCCTTCTTTAATCGCGTCAAGTCAACAGCTTTAGCGACGTGAGGACATGCGGACTTCACACTCTCGTCGCAAGACTCCGTGGACTCATCACCATTTTCCCCGGGATCACTTTGTCTCTTTTTTTTCACCATTGTTGCGTTTATTTTGACCTATATGCCTGCAATGTAATGAGATACACTCGTAATAATAACCACACGAACACAAAAAGAAGATAATGTCAAATCTGTGTCGATTGCCTTTGCACGCGTGACGACGCACATTCACTAAGAAACTATCAAAGGAAACACATTATTACTATCAAACATACAACATATAATATATAACAAAACTTACTGTTACATACGATGGCAAAAAAATTATGCTAGAATGTCGTAAATGAACAAATTTCTAAGATTTTTTGTCACAAAAGTAAACCACAGTCGTCAGACATCTTGACCACAGATGACAGTAGGCTGCAGATTTGCAGTTTGCAGTGTGTGCAGAATATATATATATTTATATAAATACTAAAAAACTTTTCGACAAAAAATTTCATCTTTGTCCATTCGTTTAGGAGGAGTTCAGTGACATACATACGTACAGTAGAATTATATATATATATATATACAATGGTAACCGCAGAAACTAAAATACATAGTGTGTTTGTGTGAAGACGAACATTGATTGACTCTTTTCCAAAAGACAAGTATCCGAAGCATAATATTATAATGTGGTCATCTAGCGGCGAATATCTGAACTAAATATCTGTAACGTCAACATGACCGTGATGGAATTTGATAATCAACTTGTAATTTCCTATTGATTTTAATATAATAACACTCGTAATTTGCTAACTATAGTTTCAGTTAAACGCACTATGAATGTAATGAGTGTTGCATAAATATGTAGACTATTTATACAGTTACCCCTTAAAACAATTTTTGGACGTTGTTGTTATTGTTACCTAGTCTTAACAAATTCTTCAGAATGTCTCTGCCAGGCAATGGAATATTCGTGGTGCAGGGAGAGATGGCTATGCTTGTAACTGCCATGCGGCGCAGCACTCGCTGGGGCTCTCACTCCTTTCCTAACGAGGAGTATGACGTCCTAATGAGAACTTTCCAGGACTTGAAGACAATCCTGAATCAAGTAGGAGATTTACGGCTTCTTGATCCATCGACATATTTGAGTCCCTTCCTCGAAGTCATTAGGAGTAAGGAGACAACTGGGCCTGTTACAAGTCTAGCTCTATCGGCTATACATAAATTTTTGTCATATGGACTTATTGGTGAGAAATATTGTATTAATTTTTAGCTTTTTAAAAAGTACTACACATATTTTCAAACAGTACTGCTAGTTAAGGAATATTATTCATTATGTTTAAAACCATGGAAGTAATGTAAAATAAATATTAAGAATTTTCTTTTTTTTTTAATAAGAGTGACATCTGGTATAATAGTTTCATATCATAATATGTTGGTGAATATAGCAATATAAATTAAATGAAGTTGTTGAAAAAGGATGCTTAGGACCAGAAAGCAAAGGCTATTACTGACCTAGTCAGTTTATCATCCACTTTTACATAACTACTTATAATTCTTATCATCTTACCTCTCATAGCTTTTAAAAATAAAAGAATGTCTCAATAGTTTCTCACTTGTTTTTTTACAAATGACGAAAAATACTGGTATTCAGTTGGTATATTTAAGTGTAGGACATTCTATAATAACATTGTAGTATTTTACAGAACAGTAGGATTATTAATTTATTTTAAGTTTTTTTCATGACTTATTTTTGCCTAAAATGGCATTGTAGTATTTTAAATAAATGCAATATGTGACACTCATATGATAAAACAAGTCTTATCAAATGTTGATAAACAGTTGGTCCTTATTACACAATATGCACTTAAAAATAATTACTTACTTGACTTTAGTTCCTCCTTTATAAATTCCTTTTAAATATGCTTTGAAACAACACATGATAAAATTTTTTTTGTATCCACTCATGTTTTTACATATGTTATTTTACTCAATATAATTGGTGTAATTTTTCCTTCCTATCCATATACAGTGCTATCCATAAGTTTGGAAGTAACAAAGCAAATCTTAAGTACACATGTTTCATTTAAATCAACAAAACTATCAAAAATTTTATGACTATGAATGATAATCCTTATGCTTTTGTGTAAATAATTGTAGTATTTTGGTAAAACTTATTTTAAATCAATTTTTTACCAAATATAATGGGCATTCTTTTATTTCTTTCCATATACCTACTTCAAAGTTTGTGTACAGTATTGTATGTATATTATACATTCATATAACAAATTATTTATACATAAATATCAGCCCTCACAATTATGTGAGTTGTGCTTGTATATATGTATACCAATGCTTATGTCTTAAAAACTATTAACATAAAAAAATATCGCTCAAGTTAACTATGAAATTTATAAAATTAAATGGCCCAGTTTGGGAAACTTCTTCAATCATTAATTTGGTATAATTTAAATCCACTGACGTACATTCACCAATTCCAGACCCAACTCATCCGAGCGTACCGGCTACAGTGGAGGACATTGCCGATGCAGTCACGCACGCTCGATTTGTCGGTACTGATCACTCGTCAGACGGTGTGGTTCTGATGAAGATATTGCAAGTGAGTTAAAGATTTTCACCCTCATACCATATTTATTTCTTTCTACATGACAAATATTCAAGATTTAATAGTATATGAAAGGGTATCACAAAAACTTTCATTTTATTAATTTTACACTTCTTTTCATAATAAACTTCTCTCTGCACTTAAGACGAAACATTAAAATTTGTAGAAGAAAATGCTTAAAATGAGAAAAAACAATATGGATAAAATGCAAATTTTAATTAAAAAAAAAAACCATTTATTCATGATTTTCATCCCACTTTATGGAAATCTTCTTTTTATATTTGGTGTAAAGCATGTGATAACTATATTATTAGCAAATAAACATATTTATTCCTTGTTAGTCTGACCATCATAACAAATCTAGATAATCTGTGTAAACTAAAATTAATGATAACTTTTGATGTTCACATTTACAGGTTCTCCGCACTCTAATGCTAAGTCCAGAGGGAGTTATGTTGACAGACGAAAGTGTTTGTGAAATTATGCTGAGTTGTTTTCGTATATGTTTCGAAACAAGATTGACAGGTGAGTGGTTTTTCAATACATATTGATTATTTCTGTTAGTATTAACTTAAAAGTAATAACTTAGGAATATGTGAATGTTCAATGTTGTAAGCAAAAGTAGCAACGCATTATACCTGCTGAAATCATTCCTTTGTTAAACTTTTGTATGAAAAGTATAAATAAAGGAAAAATTTAATTAATGTTATTCGTGAAATTGTATTGTACTTTTTCTTTTTTTTTTAACATTTACAATACTTGTTAAGGTAAAAAAAATATTATTGTTGATATTTCTACAACTTCCATACATTTGAATACACATTTCATGTTAGTAGCAGTAGTAGTTTATGTCTCGAAAAGTTTTCATCATTATTATTTAAACACACTACATTTGTAAGAAAACTTTGGAACAATATTGATGTTTCTTTTACAGAACTGTTACGCAAAAATGCCGAACAGTGCCTCCGCGATATGACCCAGCTGATCTTCATGCGGCTGCCCCAGTTCCCGCCTGAAGACGCCACAAGTAGCATGACAACCCTCAACCTCTCCCTCAAGAAGCGAGACAAGGCGACGAAAAAGAAAAATCTGACCACGGCCCACAGTAAGTACTAAGTACATTGTTTTTTTGTTTTTAGTTTGGTAATGTTTGTGCAATGACAATCAGTACCTACAGTCATTCATCCCACAGACCTTGTGGAAATGTTATATTTTCACAGAGAACTGGGCAAATGAAGCATCTTCGGTTCAAAATTGAAAATCACAAAAATTATTCTTGGGTCAAAGTGAATAAAATGTATATAGTATAGAGACATATTTTGAAATATATACAGGATTTTTAACCATAAACTATTCTGCCATACATTATTTCCGTGTAGATTAAGCTAAAGTAATGCAGCATATTTACAATGAAAGGTATGATAAAATACCATAGATGAAATACCAAATACTTTGTTATTGCATAAGTTTATTATTTTACCAATTGTCATCTATCTTCTTTTATTTTAAAAAAAAAACGGGACATGATTTCGCAACTCGATAGTAGATGGCGCTGTCTGACTTTTGAATCGCGATATAGTTTTCCCTTTAGCGAATGTTGGAGCTAGATCGAAGTTGAACGTCTGATCCAAAAAGGGTGTTTGCCGCTTCGATGGCACGCGGCCGGTAACGGTCTGCGGGGTATGGCTATCAAGACATACCCAACACATAATTTTTGTACACACGGGGCAGTTGGATACCACCATGTACCGGCGCCTCGTTCTTTAATAACCGAACGAACAAGGTTGTACCTGCTAGAAAAACTCAACTGATAACCCATTCTGTGCTAAGGTTTGCTTTCAACTTCCCTGCATTTGGTGGTGGGTTCGATTCTCACTCTCTCACGGGACATGTCTTGTTTCTGATTATACTATTTGTCTACGTGCAATTTTTTTGAGTTTTAATTTTATGCTATCTCGACCCGCCCACAACTGAATAATACGTCCAGTTTTTGTAAACTGAATTGACCGGTAATATCCTCGTAATTAGAGATGGTCAGTTATCAATTTATATCAGGTTCAACCTTGCCTTAACAGTGTTTCTAATATATAATTTGTTTGTCTAAGATCTTCATAAATAGATCGTAATGTATTTCTCCTTTCTTAGCCTTATCATAAATGCCGAACTAAATTTCTTATCAATCATGCGTAATTTAGGTTCAACAACTCGAAATGTAAACATTTGTACATATTTCTTCGTTAAGTTAACACAGAGTCGCTTATAACGAGAAGAATGTTTCGGCCCACAAAATAAAAATGAACACCGCTAATAATAGAAATGATTTTTTGTGATAGTTTTGTGTGAAAAATACTGTGTACAAGTGAAAAGTGAACATGAAATCGATTAGAAGGACAGTGCAAATGATATTATGGGATTCGCTTGCGAAAGTCATTCTGCACAATGAGAAGACAGTTATTTATTTGTGGAGGCGTTTTCTTAAACTTTTGCTTTATAGTACTAGTTAGTTTTTTCTGTATCTGTTTTTTTATACATTCCTAAGGACTCATATCCAGTTGTGGATTCTAAATCCAGCCCCGCTCAAAGTATGTCAACTGCGGAGAATTTTCTTAAATATTTTGTTCTTTATGAAATTTCAAGCGTTTAAACTTTGACGCCGAGGGTTCCGCAGTTGTAATGAATGGGTAGGCCATTGTACCGCCGTAAGAAAATTGGTGAATAGTCACCACCGATTTTCTCAGGAACGGGTGGACTCAAGTTGAAATTTATATCAGATACTGAGGTCTATAGTCCCTATTAGGTGTATAAAAATCAGGGTCTTGGTGGTGACACACCGAAAGACAGACGGACAAGAGAGGGATCTTATAAAGGTTCCTTTTTTCGAGTATATTTAATTAAAACCGTGCGTCCGGACATTGAGCTATCTTGGCTAACCATTTATTTAATGAATGTATATACAGCGTGTCGTTATCATCGCGAATAATCATAAAAAAATATTAACGTTAAACAAAATCCATAATTAAAAAAAATGATTTTTCAAACAAACTAATTAAGTAAAAAAGAAACAAATTTGTAACATCCTATACAACTCGCGCTACAGCGTCGTATTACAAGCTTCTCCTTCTAACACTATGTTTCGTCTCTTTTAAATTCATTCAACCCATTCATATGTTTTGTGACCTTTACAAATGAACTTTACGTTACGCTTTTATAGGTGAGGGTGTTTTAAAATTCTTTGTTTTGGAAAATTTAATAACTCTGTAAATATTGATGTTTAAAGAATTTAAATGTTTAATACAACTTTAAAAAGTTATCCCCTATATGTGTGTTTATTTATTGTCGCGATGGTAACGACACGCTGTATAATATCTGTATTTGTTGCAGGCACGAATTCCCTAGATAGGAAATCTTCACTAACCGAACAGTCAAATCCAAGCGCGGTTGAGAATACAACCGAAGCTGACACGAAGGCAGATGTCGTACATATGAACAAGTAAGTATCCAAGACATTATAATAAACCTGCGCACATTAATTGATTCAGACTAAAAAAAAATCAATAATAATAATTCTTCAAACGCTATACCGTTTTTCTGCAGATAATTTATTCGAACACGTTCAAGTTTCACTCGGACATTACTAAATAGGAATAGAGAAAATAATCGTTACCAGAAGAAAATATCTTGCTCCCTGTTATCTGTTATAAATTTGTGTATGCATCCAAAATATAACACTTCTATTCGCAACTGAACTTGTGCACAACGATACTAGTGATGTCAAAGCAGTGATATAAACGGTTACCATTTAAGTATCAGCAATGGTCGTCCTTGTTGAAACTTACGAAAGCAACCACACCTCACCGAGTTTTCGATTTGCGCGTCCTACCTCCTCGCACCAATGTGACCCCAGTCCTAATTCCGTTTCCAGCCGCGACAAGAACCTGATCAACGAGGCTGAAATCACCATAGAGCCCCTGGACAGTAGCAGGAGCCCCGGGAAGAAGCACGGCCGCCACTCCTCGATGGACCTGGCCAACGGCAGCGCTTCCATCGCACAGCTGCTGGAGAAGTGCGTCAGCGGAGCCCCGACAACCCCCGCCGAGGGCGAAGTCCCAGCCGCGGCCGCGGCGGAGCCCGAAGGGGCAGCCGATGCGCCCGTAGGGGGGAAGCCTGAAGAAGGTGCTTCATATCATAAGTCCAAGACTGATTCCACGGTTTTGATGAACGAATTTTTGCCTCAAATCCAGATATTAAATGTCATTTCGATTGGTTTTATAATTTCGTCTGCTTATTCTCAGCAGTGGGGCAAAAATAACACGGTATAACACGGGGAATAAATAACACGCACAAAGTGAAACGTTTGTAGAAAACTTTTAGATTGTTTTTTTTATTTCATTTCTAGAAGAAGCTAAACCCGAAGAGGCTGGCAGGCCCGAAGAACAGAAGGAGAGCGAAGAGAGGCTCGAGGAGTATGTGAACCATCGCGGCATCAGGTTCACGCCGCAGGAGGAGACGGCGGACCTGCAGCCGTACGGGCTGGTCTGCGTCAGGGAGTTGTTTAGGTGCGTCGCTCCACCAGCTACTTGCTTAGCATACGGAACTACCTACTCATCAAATCAATATCTCAACCTTTTAAGAGTTAACTAAACTTTCCCTTCTTTTTTTGTATAAAAGTAACAGCCTATACATGTCCCACTGCTGGGCAAAGGCCTCTTCTATATAGAGGGTATCAGGGCATAGTCCACCACGCGGCCCCACTGCGGATTGGCGGACTTCACATATCTTCGAAATTCATTTTTTTTTTATTATTTCGAAAATATGCAGGTTTCCTCACGATGTTTTCCTTCACCGCGGAGCACTTGATAAGACAGCACTTAAAGTTAAAAACTTCATTGGTGCCGGCACCGGGGATAGAACTCAGGTTGCTCGAGTATATTGAATTAAAGGCGAGCGCCCGGACACTGAGCTATCACGGCTCTTTGTATGTGAAAAATTAATTACACAATTATATTATTATACAACGAAAAATGTACTATGTCTGAGACTGAACGTGTTTTCATCCGTCCAGAGAAGTAGTACTACGGCCTGGGTGTGAAGTAGGAGTAATATATTTTCGCTCTTTGTTTGATAATTAACCGGGACCCACTTTTCTTCCCACTTCTTGGTATGGAAAAAATGACGAGTGAATTATTTTTGCCGAGCCAATACGTTCACCAAACACCTTACATTGCCCATTGATGAGTCCGTGGCCGCAGTCGCCAAGGTGTAAACGTCCGTACGTGTTGTAATGGTTTCCTCACGTGGAACGTCCTTATAACACAGGATGATGTGGGGGGGGGGGGGGGGGGGAGGGGGGAGTACTACAGTAGATGTGGGACTGCACAGAAGGCGTAACTGTTTGTGTCGCGTCGCAGGTTCGTGGTGTCGCTGTGCAACCCGCTGGAGGCGGGCAACAGCGGCGCCATGGTGCAGCTGGGGCTGGCGCTGGCGGCCACGGCGCTCGAGGTGTGCGCCGACCGGCTGCCGGCGCACCCGGCGCTGCTGCGCCAGGTGCAGGACCCGCTCGCCAGGAACCTGCTCAGCGTCAGTACCGCCCCGCCATGGACCGCCTCCCGCGAATCACTCTCACGCTAATCACGTGCCTCATGTGTCGCGAATTGCCAGCCACGAGTAACCAACCTAAAATAATCTGCCACGCATCACCTCCTACGAATAACTTGCACCGTATCACCTACCATGAATAACTTAAAACGAATCATTTGTCATTTATAACCTCCCACTAAAACCCGAGGATTCGAGGACTCGAGGATTTCCTACAAAACGTACCGGTGTCCCTCCGTACTGCGTATGAACATGCCTGGTGGAAAGATAAACCTTTCCCGATTCCCTGGCCATCTTGCAACAGCTCGAGACCACTGCACTGCTGTCAATCCGTGTCCTCTTTTAATTACCTTCTGCGTAGTTACCTAACAGAGCATATCATTCGCAGTTGCTGGACACGGAGCGCATCTCGATATTCGCCCTCGACCTGCAAATCTCGTTCCTGATGTTCGAGGCGCTGCGCCACCACCTCAAGTACCAGATGGAGGCGTTCTTCAGGAAGATCATCGAGATCGTCTCCGCGGACACGTCCAAGTCGATCTACGAGCTGAAGGAGATCCACCACCTGGCGCTCGAGAGCCTCGCGCAGATGTTCCGCATCCCGGGCCTCTGCACCGAGCTGTACCTCAACTACGACTGCGACGTGTACTGCGCCAACGTGTTCGAGGAGCTGACCAAGCTGCTCGCCAAGAACGTGGTCTCGTCGAGCGCGTACAACATCCACGCGCTGTCGCTGGAGGCGCTGATGACCATCGTCGAGGCGGTGGAGGCGGGCACGAGCGAGAGGGCAGACGCGAGCGAGACGGACGCGGCGGAGGCGGCGGAGGGGGAGAGGGAGGGGGAGGGGAGGTGCGGGCACGTGTCGCTCGAGCTGGGCGGGCTGGAGGAGTCGCTGGCCGGCGACCACGTGGCCCACGACATCGGCCACTTCTTGGACGCCAGGCCCGGCCGGCACGTGCCCTCGGCCCCGCTGCCCACCGAGGCCGAGCTGGACAACATCAGGAACATCAAGAAGGCGAGTACGGCTAAATGACCTATGGCTTAGTAGAACAGGAGTCAAACTTGACCAGCGAGCTCTTATCGCCGCGTCAAAATCAAGGCAAAATCACGATTGATGAGAAAGTAAATAAAGTGCGACTCGACAGAGTCCTTGGGTTTAGGGTGAATGGAATGCAATGGTGAATTGATGATTACTTTATATACTTCAGTGGGTGAGCCAAGGCACGGAGCTGTTCAACCAGAAGCCGGAGCGGGGAATCGAGTTCCTGCAGGAGCATGGGGTCCTGGCCAGCCCCCTGGATCCCCATCAGGTGGCCGCCTTCCTGCGGGAGAATCCCGACCTAGACAAGAAGATGATCGGTGTGTTGCCACCTCTTGCTCAATTTCAAGGAATTATCGCTATTGTTCATAGTTCTGTTTATGATGACACCTTGCATGAGATCGAGGCTATGATAAGGTGCTATTAATGCAAAAGTTCATAATTGCTCAGCAGTTTCTGCTTGTTCATAAAAATTGTAGACCAAAATCTCAACCATCGTTATAAATAAGAAATAATAAGAAATTTCTGGGTTCTTCTGATTACTGCGGCAATCAGGGCGGCAGTAATCCATACTAATATTACAAATCCAAAAGTCACTCTGCCTGTCTGTCTGTCTCGCTTTCACGCCAAAACTACTGGACCGATTTAAATGAAATTTGGTACACAGATAGTCTAAGAGTCTGAGAAAGGACATATTTTTTAACTTGAAAAAAAAGTGTTGTAAAGGGTTGAAAATATCTTTCCTTAAAAAGTATATATAGTTTTTAAAGTAATATATTTATTTAAGGGCTTCGAATGAGGCCGCGGGCGAAAAGCTAGTAGGTCATAAGGTGGAGCGTTATACGTTTGTACATTGAGGACATGTCGGCCGTCAATGGTGTATATGTGCCCCCAGGCGAGTACATCTGCAAGCGGTCGTCGCGCGGCGAGGAGGGCGGGCCTTCGGTGCTGTCTGCGTTCGCGGCCAGCTTCCAGTACGCGGCGCTGCGCATCGACCAGGCGCTGCGCCTCTACCTGGAGACGTTCCGGCTGCCGGGCGAGGCGCCGCTCATCTTCCTCGTCATGGAGAAGTTCGCCGAGCGCTGGCACGTGAGTGGGCCCCCCTCGTCGCCATCTGCCACTCAGTGGGCAACCGGTGGATGACTTGTCCAACATACGACCCTCAAGTGGAAGGCAACGTTCATTCAATAGATCATTAGTTTAAATCATTCATTCAAACATTATCAGTTCACGCTTTTGTTAATTCAATACTGAAATATTACTTTATTGATTGATAAGAGCTTTAATTGTTTTCACATTCAATTATTAAATTTCGTTTATTCGCATTCGTTCATTATACAGCTAAAGCATTGATCATTCGTAAATTATCCATTCATACGCAGATTCCGTTGCAAATTACCTTTAATATCAATGAATGACTAGAGCTCATTCATTCGTTCCGCCGCAGACGACTAACGGCGAGCCGTTCGCCAACACGGACGCCGCCTTCCGGCTGGCCTACATATATCACACACGCCATCATATATCAAGGAGCGGCTAGAGCTCATTCATTCGTTCATTCAAAGCGTTCATTCGTAATCGATCATGATTCGTTCCGCCGCAGACGACGAACGGCGAGCCGTTCGCCAACACGGACGCCGCCTTCCGGCTGGCCTACATATATCACACACGCCATCATATATCAAGGAGCGGCTAGAGCTCATTCATTCGTTCATTCAAAGCGTTCATTCGTAATCGATCATGATTCGTTCCGCCGCAGACGACGAACGGCGAGCCGTTCGCCAACACGGACGCCGCCTTCCGGCTGGCCTACATATATCACACACGCCATCATATATCAAGGAGCGGCTAGAGCTCATTCATTCGTTCATTCAAAGCGTTCATTCGTAATCGATCATGATTCGTTCCGCCGCAGACGACGAACGGCGAGCCGTTCGCCAACACGGACGCCGCCTTCCGGCTGGCCTACGCCATCATAATGCTGAACATGGACCAGCACAACCACAACGCGAAGAAGCTCAACGTGCCGATGACCGTGGAGGACTTCGTGAAGAACTTGCGCGGCTGCAACGGCTCCGGCGACTTCGACCAGCCGATGCTCGAGGCGATCTTCCACTCTATTAAGTGCGTGATAGGGGCTGGTTTCGCTTGAGATTGTCTCCGCTTTGTATTGGAGTTGTGTGATAGAATGGTTGTGATAATTATAATTGATTTTGAATGTAAGTTAATATGAAAATACAGTGTGATGCTTTCTGCCGTTCTTTCGTTATCAAAAATATTATGAATCGTAATAGAAGAAAGCAATTGATAGTTTAAAGTTAGGTTGTCAAACCGAAATTAAACTATTTGGTTGAGTGTACTGGACTTAAAGACATAAAAATTCGAAAGCCCCTATGACACATTATAGGGAATAGCTTGTTTTATTAAACGACGATGGCCTATTTTTTTTCTAATTTACGTCACAATGTCTATGTCTATAAGTAAGCCGTATTAATTTAAAAATGATTTTGGGCTGAAGTCCCAAAATAGACAAATCGCCCAATGAATGGATCTTTAAGGAAAGATAAAAAACCAATCGGCTGCTTGGTACACGTAAAAAAAGAAATATTGTTTACATCTAGATATTTCATCACTTCAGCCTATTTAAGTCCACAGCTGAACATGACCTATGTTCAGCTGTGGACTGCCACAGACTGGATATTTACTTCAATAAAATGTTAAGTATCTAGTACGCCTAAAAGTAGTCGTTTTACGGTGGTACGGCCACGCAGCCGCCTCGGCGTAAAGTGGAAGTATACTTTCTCGTTTCGTCTGGTGATTGTGGTGGCCGGAGCCCAATTTCCAAAAAGATGTTCATGGGCGGCGGTATTCACTTACCATCGGGTGAACCGTCTGCTCGCTTGGCGACTCTACACATAAAAAAAGTGAGCTTAGAAAAGAGGTGTATTGACGCGGCCAGGAACGAGGAGATGGTGATGCCGGCGGAGCGCGTGGGCGCAGTGCGCGACGCGTACCTGTGGCGGGTGCTGCAGCGGCGCGGGCGCACCGCCGCCGCCGCCTACCGCGCGCCGCCGCCGCGCCACGCCCACCACAAGCGCCTGCTGCCGCTGCTCTGCCCGCCCGCGGTACGCACGCGCACGCACGCGCACGCACGCACACGCACGCACACGCACGCACTCACAATGTTACTCGAACACAAGTCAAAAAGGCCTCTGTACAGAGGGTATCGGGGTGTGCACTTCATATATTCTCGAGATATTTTTTGTTGCTATTTCGAAAACATGTAGGTGTCATCGCGATGTTTTCTTCGCCGCTGAACGCGTGATAAGTCAGTGTATAAAATTAACAATTCATGGGTGCCGGTACCGGGGATCGAACTCATGTTCCTCGAATTTATTCCATTCGAGGAACGTGATCGAACAATGAGCTGTCACATCTCTTTCGTCCTCCCGAATTTATTTATATTGAGGTAGGCCTCCCTCACAGACTTTTGGTACAGCAGACGGTTCACCTGATGTCAAGTGAATACCGCCCGCCATGGACATCTGCGTTGATAAAATTGGGCTCCGTCCACCTCACTCACCAGACAAAACGCGAAAGTATTATACTTCCACTTCACGCCGGTCTTCTGCGAAGTCGTGGTACTTACTCTGACGAGCCTGCCCATTCGTGCAATAGCTGAGACTGCTAGGTGGCCCTACCACAGTAGCAGACTGCCACATTTGAGTTTGAATGATGGTGATGATGATATTGCATACGTGCAGGTGTCAGCTCTATCGGCCGCCTTCGAGCGCGCCCCTCCCCCCACCGCGGAGGAGGTGGAGAGCGGTGGTGGTGGCAGTGGCGGTGGCGGTGGAAACGCAGCGCTGGTGGCGCTGGGCGGGCTGGAGCGGTGCGCGGCGCTGGTGGCGCGTCTGCAGCCGGACACCATGCCCCTGGACAGCGTGGTGCTCACGCTGTGCAAGTTCAGCGGGCTGCTGGCTCCCCACCAGGCCGGATACATCGCCGTCGGTAAACGCCCCCACCCTTAACTCGGAACGGTTCCAGAACTGAAATTTTGTAAAGGATTGGCAATCGAGCAAGCGGTTCACCTGAAGTCAAGCGATTACCGCCGTAAGTCGTCCACGCTCTGTTACCTCTCAGATAGTGCGTATAAGTGTATATCTAGAAAGTTTAATATTTTCACTTCACACAAAAATGTGTAAGAATGTCTTGAAATATATTATTATCATTATTAAATAGTATAAAACAAAGTGGTTGCACTTAGAGCTTTAAAACTAGGCAACGGATCTTGATGCGGTTCTTTTACTAGATAGAGTGGTCCAAGAGGAATTGCACCCGTGCTTAATAACCTTTGGGGCGTGCGCAGGTGTGGCCCTGGGCCAGTCGGCGAAGGCCCAGCTGGCGCTGCGCAGGGCCTGCCTGGTGGCGGCCCGCCACGCCGACTGCCTGCGCGACTCCTGGCGCCACCTGCTGGAGATCCTCAACACGCTCTACCTGGGCCGGCTGCTGCCCAAGGTGACCTCCGACAGTAGACCTTCGTCCCTTAAGACGACCCCATCCCGCAAATTGTCTATTTCAATCGTAACCCTTAATAGATTATTAAAGATTTTGAATTTTTTAAACTATCACCGAGAGATAGAGGACTCCGTGGCGCAGTTGTCAAGGGCGTCGGGGGATGTGGGTTCGATTGTCACGCGGGACAACTATTTGTGTGACCGAATACGTGTTTCGCATCTGAGTGTTTGTCCGCGTGAAATTTGTGGTTGAAAACATTAGGATAATATTTTCATAAAGTAAGGGCAATGTTTTAAAAAATTAAGATACCGTTTTCCTTGTAGACTTGTTAACACAATATATACGCGCCATTCGTTTCTTCTTTTACACGCGACTATATTTTATGTATTTGTACTGAAATAGATTTTTCTGACTTCATAACCCATACTAATATTATAAAGTAATTCTGTCTGTCTGTCTCTCTTTCACGCCAAAACTACTGAACCGATTTAAATGAAAAATAACAATACACAGAAAGTGTAGAGCCTTAGAAAGACTTTTTTTTAATTGTAAAAAAGTGTTGTAAAGGGTTGAAAGATTAAAGAAAGATATTTATTTAAGGGCTTCAACGCGAGCGAAGCCGCGGGCGAAAAGCTACTTATTAAATTCACTTCGGTGACAATCCTCAAGAGACCGTCTGTGTTTTTTAATGTGTATTCTATTCCTCGCCATAGTGCCTGGTGGAGGCGGAGGACTACTTGGCGCCGGGCGGCACCGTCTCGCTGGTGCGGGACGTCTCGCGGGGCTCCGAGGCCGGCCTGCTGTCCAGCCTCTACTCCTACATCGCGCTCGGCGAGAGCGGTGAGCTTCCCTGGCGCGGCCACCGGCCCGGCCGAGCCAGCGGTGGCCGAGCCGTCGCGAGTTTTGCTGCACTTTGTTTTTAAACTTTTCTCAACTGTATGAAACAATTAAAGTGCTCAATGATAATTAAGTTTTCGAACTAAAAATAATTACTTTAACAAAAGGGAGAAATTTATAATATTCTTGAACATTCTTGTGTGTTAACAAACAACAAAAATGATGGGCTATCGCTGCTACAAGCTATCATTGTAGATAGGAACTCATCAGAGTTCAGATAACCAATATTTAAACATCGATGTTTAAATATTGGTTTTAATATTTTGTGATGAACATAGTTTATTTTCTAAAAAAGTATGTTTATCAGTTATCTAGTACCCATAGTATAAGCGTTGCTTAGTTTAGGAGTAGTAAGCGTTGTGTATAAATGTGTCCCAATTAAGTGTGACATTAATGATATACCAAGTAAAGGGCACTTCTCGATCACACTGAGAGCTGGTGGTGTTGCAGGCGCGCGCACCCCCACGCCCCACGAGAGGGCGCTGATCGAGGCGGCGACGGAGTGCGTGGCCAAGTGCAACCTGCCCGGCCTGCTCATCACAGAGACCAGGTTCCTGCAGCTGGAGAGCTTGCAGGTGCGCGGAACCCAGCATATCTAGCATCAACGTCCTAACAAGGCCTCAACGAGATCTAGGTATCGGTTTCAGTCATTCCTGGACTAGATCTCAGTATGGGTTTCAGTCATTCTCAAATGAGATCTCAGTATGGGTTTCAGTCATTCTCAAATGAGATCTCAGTATGGGTTTCAGTCATTCTCAAATGAGATCTCAGTATGGGTTTCAGTCATTCTCAGATGAGTCATTCTCAAATGAGATCTCAGTATGGGTTTCAGTCATTCTCAAATGAGATCTCAGTATGGGTTTCAGTCATTCTCAAATGAGATCTCAGTATGGGTTTCAGTCATTCTCAAATGAGATCTCAGTATGGGTTTCAGTCATTCTCAAATGAGATCTCAGTATGGGTTTCAGTCATTCTCAAATGAGATCTCAGTATGGGTTTCAGTCATTCTCGAATGAGATCTCAGTATGGGTTTCATTCATTCTCAAATGAGATCTCAGTATGGGTTTTTCAGTCATTCTCAAATGAGATCTCAGTATGGGTTTCAGTCATTCGAATGAGATCTCAGTATGGGTTTCATTCATTCTCAAATGAGATCTCAGTATGGGTTTCAGTCATTCTCAAATGAGATCTCAGTATGGGTTTCAGTCATTCTCGAATGAGATCTCAGTATGGGTTTCATTCATTCTCAAATGAGATCTCAGTATGGGTTTCAGTCATTCTCAAATGAGATCTCAGTATGGGTTTCAGTCATTCTCAAATGAGATCTCAGTATGGGTTTCAGTCATTCTCGAATGAGATCTCAGTATGGGTTTCATTCATTCTCAAATGAGATCTCAGTATGGGTTTCAGTCATTCTCAAATGAGATCTCAGTATCGGTTTCAGTCATCCTCAAATGAGATCTCAGTATCGATTCTAACCATTCTTGAATGAGATCTCAACAAGCATCGCTAGTGAACAGCTATTAGTAGAGCTTTGCAGTTGTAGGTCCACGCAATCTTCGCTGTTGCACAAATGGGCAGTTCAGTCCGGGTAAGTACCACGACCTCACAGAAGACTAGCGTGTGCTGCAGTTATCACTTAACATCGGGTGAACCGCCACGCGCCGGCTCGTTTAGCACATTTTAAATAAAAAAAATATATATATGATGAATGAAGACATCATTTTAAGGATTACAAAGATGAAATAATACTTTTTGTTAAGTCATAATAGTCAATTTTAATATATATAGCTATAATAATCATTACAGCTATATAATTTAATCATCCTGCCACTTTGTTATAGACCTTAACCTTAGTAGGCACCTATTTATTATATTGCGAATATAGATAATTGCCGCTTAATTAGAATCATCTATTTTTTTTTGCCTTGTATTTTACAATTTTTTTAATGAATCCACTATCGTCGGAAAGTTTTCGTTGTACTTACTATAGTTCTTATATTTTCTCTGTAAGCGATTTGTTTTGTAAATGGTTTGAGAAAATAAATGTTTTAAACTTCAGTTTTTGTTACTAACCGAGGTAGGCACCACGTCTTACGCTACTCCGATTTACGCGATTTTCATATCTCTCTTCATAGGAACTGATCAGGGCGATGGTGGCAGTGGGAACGCCCCCAGACGCAGATAGCCTGCAACTAAACCCTCAACTGGAGGACATCACCATTTTCTTCTTGGAGCTTCTCGGCAAGACTCTGATACAGAATCGGTGAGTTCATCAGGATCACTACGTTCAGCCCTATTTAGCGTCTTCAGTCTCTGTGCTTTGAGGTGCTTCGATGGTTGTTCTTGCTCATAGTGATTTTTGGTACGGTTTGCGATGCTTAGTGATATGTCAGTGTCCGGGCGCTCGCCTTTAATTCAATATACTCGAGCAACCCGAGTTCGATCCCCGGTGCCTGTTAATTTTAAGTGCTGACTTTACCAGTAACAAACTTTAGTTGTGTGCGTGTCTCAATGTAGATAGATAGGTGTCGACATTTATGCGTCGTATACTTTTGAAACGAACTTGTGTGCGTGTTAGTTATGAATGATCGCGCGTAACATAAACGAGTTGCGTATAAATCACGCACTTTTTGAGATAAGTTCAAATGAATGTAATTAATTATTTAAGAGTGATTTAAATTATTTATCATTTTTTATATAACATTATTTATGTCTAGAATTTAATTAAAAGCAATGGATGCACTTAGAAAAGCCTCCCTGTATTTTTAACAATTCACACAATATCTTTATAAATTATAGTCAGGTTTCATTAAAACACAAACAAAGAACGTATACATATAAGAAAACATCAAGATCCGTTGATCCGTTTTAAAGATCTAAGCACACATAGGGACAGACAGATAGCGGGACGATTTTGTTTTATACTATGTGGTTGTAGGAAAAGACGCCTTTCATCTCTGATCTGTAATCCCCGTTCGGCAGGGACCGGCTGCTGTGCGTGTGGCAGGAGGCGGGCGCGCACGTGGAGCGCGTGGTGGCGTGGGCTGCCACGCGCGGCCACCAGCCGCTCACCAGGGCGCTGACGATGCTGCTGCGCACCGCCGCGCGGCTCATGCGCTGCGAGCTGTGCGCGCCGCCAGTGCTGCAACACCTCACGCTGCTCTTCCGGCTGCCCTACAAGCTCTTCTACCAGCAGGCGGACGTGGTGAGCGCCGGTGGCAGGCATTCGCCTAGAGTCTACATTTACTATTTTCACTAACTGATTTACTTTTTTTTTTATGTGAATAGTTGCCAAACGAGTAGACGGTTCACCTGACATACATGCGTTGACAACCTTTAGAAAATTGGGCTCCGGCCACCTCACTCACCAGACGAAACACGAAAGTGTTATACTTCCACTTTATGCCGGTCTTCTGTGAGGTCGTGGTACTTACCCCGACGGGCCTGCCCATTCGTGCAACAGCAGAGGCCGCTGTGTGGCCCTCCCACCGTTGACTATCTTATTCGCACAAAAATAATAGAAACACGTAGATAGATGTCGATATTTCCGGGCCGTGAGGTCATCGGCCGCTTAGCTTAGCTCCTTTTTCCGATGCGTCCAATCATCAATCATCAGGGTCTACACCCTCGATGATCGTTCGCCCCGCGTGTATGTATACAGATATCGTGCGGCCTGTACGAGCTGGTGAAGACCTCGGCGCAGAACGTGCACAGCGGCGAGGAGTGGGGGGTGCTGTTCTCCCTGCTGGCGGCAGCTGGTGCGGGCGCCTGGCCCGAGGGGGACGGCGCCGACTGGCCCGCCACCGCCAGTTGTAAGTACCCCGACCTTGGGCTGCTGGAGATCATCGATCGCATCCTTGGTATTAAAGGGACCACAATTAAGAATCATGATTTTGACTCTAGAATTAAATGGACCGAATTAAGAAAATCATGATTATGACTTTATGTCACCTTTTGAATTAGAGGGACCTAATTGTTCAACGTGTTATTTTTAATAGAAAAAAAAGTAACTAAAGAAATATAAGATCCGTAAAAGTACTTTAAATACGTACTAAACGAGTAGCGTTCACGTAAATATGACAAATTTTGAATGTAGCAGCTTCGAGCCGCTCAGAGGGATCCGACGAGGAGATAGAGAAGAGACCCACTAGCGTCTCCTCCGAGAGCGAACTTTCGCACTCCCCGCAAACGCAGGGCTGGATTCTGGTGAGTTTAATTCATAATTATATATATCTTTATCAAATATCTTTATTCAATATATTGTATAGGATCAGCTTACTTATCGATTGTCAAAATATTACTACCTGTTCGGAAAAGAAGCCACTGGCCTGAGAACTGACGAGAGTTTACATTGTTTTATAATGAAACATGCTCACAAGATATTAAAGCCCACTTGAAACAACCTGGAAGGATCAATTAACTTCCAGAGTGTGTTATCTTTACGATTTCAAATTGTCAGTTACGGTGTAAGATGAAACCATTAAAATAAGTACATTTTTACTAATAATAATAATAATAAATATTTTCGGACACATGTTTACACAACTCTCTAATCCCAAACTAAGCAACGCTTGTACCATGTGTACTAGATAACTGATATACATATTTAAACATAATTTTTCTAAATAAATAGTACAGTTTTTATATATATATATATATATATATATATATATATATATATATATATATATATATATATATATATATATATATATATTATTCCCAACTCGTACTCTAATAGGTTTCACTGAAAACCGGTGCTGTGGTTAACACCGCAGCAAGAGCCGAGTGAACACCCATTTAACGTCACACCTGTCGAAATGTATATACAGCGTGTCGTTACCATCGCGACAATAAATGAACAAACGTGTAACGCTACTTGCCAATCATCATAAAAAAATGTTAACGTTAAACAAAATCCATAATTAAAAAAAAATATTTTTCAAACAAACTAATAAAGTAAAAAAGAAACAAAACTTGTAACATCCCATACAACTCGCGCTACAGCGTCGTATTACAAGCCTCTCCTTCTAACAGTATGTTTTGTCTCTTTTAAATTCATTCAACCCATTCATATGTTTTGTGACCTTTACAAATGAACTTTACGTTACGCTTTTATAGGTAAGGGCTGTTCTAAAATTCTTTGTTTTGGAAAATTTAATAACTCTGTAAATATTGATGTATGTTCGTCACGAACAAATTTTCATCGAAACCACACCACGGCGCAAGAGGCAGAGTGAGATTCACTACTCCCCACGTGAAACTGAGTACCGAACAGCCGCTCCCCGTCGGCAGGTGAGGAGGGAGTCGCGCGGCGGGGCGGAGGGCGTGCGGCTGCGCGCGCACCGCGCGTCGGCGCTGGCGCGCTGCGCGGAGGCGCTGGCGCTGGTGGTGCGCGACGTGGCGCACGTCACGCCGCACAACTGCCGCGCGGCCGTGCGCGCCGTGCGCCTGCTCGCGCGCGCCACGCTGCACGCGCACGGTACGCCGCACGCGACTGTACGCGCCCGCTTTGTGCGCGCGCCGCACGCGTACGCACTGAACGCGACCGTACACGACTGCACGCGACTGTACGCGTATTGCACGCGGCTGCCCGTATACGCACTGGCCGCGACCGTACACGACTATACGCATACGCTTTATATACGTACAGCGCGTGAATGCCCGTATGCGCATTGAACTCGACTGAACAGGTCTGTAAACGACTGTAAGCGTTCGTTTTTTACGCGTACTGCTCGAATGCGCACTGAACGCGACTGTACACGACTGTGCAGAACTGTACACGGCTGTATGCATAATTACGCTTTATACACGTATAGCGTGTATAAAGCGTAATTACCCGTATGCGCATTGAACGCGACTGTACACATCCGCTTTATACATTAATGCGCGTGCTGTGTGCGTACTGAACGCGATTATACACGTTCTCATCCTAAACTTTATACACGCAATGCGCTTTACTGACCATGTGCTTACTGAACGTGATTGTACACATGATCCGTCCTAAATGCACGCGAGTGTAGACTTAAAATTGTCAATTCTTGTTTATCTTCTATTGAAGTAGTTTACGCAAGCTCTTCGCTTGTACACACTTTACAACACGTTACGATAACTTCAAATTAAGTAAAATCCTACTACTACTACTACCGGTTTGAAAAAGATATACCACTGATCTGAGGAGAACCGGCGATAGAAACTTAGTGAAACTCTTTTTATTATAACAGACATATGTTTTCAGCATTTAAATAGGCATTAATAATAAAATAAATAACCTTAACACAAAAACATTCCTTTACAATTTTTTTTCGAATTTAAAGTCCGTATACGTGCCGAACGCCGGAACAAATATCAGTATAACGTACAACTCCGCCAGCTATTCTAACCCAAGACCTCCGAAGCTACTAACGACATCACCAACCAGCTAAAGTTTTAAGTAAGTAAGTATGTACCTCATAACATGGAAGGGATACAGGCAAGAAGAGCAGCCGCGGCGAGGAGAGGAGGGGGCGGGGCGCGAGGCGCCGGGCTGACGACTCCAGCGACGAGGAGCTGGACACCCTCGACCAGTACCACATGGTCAGCATACAGGTTCGGAGAACGGCACGCCTCTACGCCACCACCATACACAACACACCCCTCTATTTGCGTAAATCTCTATGTAAATAATTCTTTTTTATGTGAAAAGTTGACAAACGAGCAGACGGTTCACGTGATGTTAAATGAATACCGCCGCCCATGGACATCTGCTACACTCGAGGGTTGCAGATGCGTTGACAACCTTTTGAAAATTCTGCTTCGGCCACCTCACCCACCAGACGAAACGCGAAAGCATTATACTTCCACTTTACGCTGGTCTTCTGTGAGGTCGTGGTACTTACCCGGACGGGCCTGCCCATTCGTGCAACAGCCGAGGCTGCTGCATGGCTCTCCCACCGTTAAGCCCTACCGTAGTAATAGAATTAACAAAAAAGTTTAGCCAGTTACAACTCATTCCATCTGCTAATGAAAGACGTTTCTACTTTTTCAGTGAAACATTTTTTTGATAATATTCATATAATACCTTCTACATTACGAATACGAGTTACACACGATGGCAGACCCAACAGATGGGGCATACTCAATTGTAATGGGGATGTAAATATTGCAACCGACCTTTGTAGACAGACAATCTATTAATTTCGTATCATTCATTAATTTAAGATCAAAGATCATTTCTGCCACCGCTTATAAACTCCCTCACCCACCTCCCGTCCGCAGCTGCTCGACCTGATGCACACGCTGCACAGCCGCACCGCCCAGATCTTCAAGTGGTGGCGCGACGAGGCGGACCACGGACAAGGTACCACCACCACCACCAGGCACCACTAGATGACTCCGCGGCGCAGCCGGCTTCGGACGCCGGGGCTCGTGGGTTCGATTCTCGCACGAGACAACCATCCGTGTGACCGACAGAATTGTGTCGGATCTGGACGTTTGTCCGCGTGAAATTGATTCATGTAAAACTTCCTAACTACACAGGATAGCGTTATTCTATAAGGGGCAAGTTTTCGAAGGGAAGACTACAATAGATCTCTTAGATTGTTGTGCTCGTCGGGGCTTTACTACCCAACTTAGTGATTAAAACGTCTAGGCGCGAATCCGGAAGACGTGGGTTCGATTCCCCCAGCGGCGAAAAACATTTCGGTTACTTTTTTTATACAAAAAAATCTCATTAATAAGGGTATATCTCAACTATTTTCGTACCCTGACGTTGTTCAAGGGAATAATTACCCCAGTTTGAATAAAAAAGCTAATCAGCCATTTAAATAATGCGAAAATCCGCAGGCGAGGACTACGACCTTTGGGAGGTGGCGTGGAAACCGCTGCTGCAGGGCATCGCGGAGTTCTGCACGGACAGGCGGCGACAGGCGAGTACACTAGTTTACGTACACATTAAAGAATACAGTAAAAGTAAAGTAAAACAACAGCCTATAAATGTCCCACTGCTGGGTAAAGGCCTCCTCTATACAGAGGGTATCAGGGCATAGTCCACCACGCGGCCCGACTGCGGATTGGCGGACTTAACATATCTTCGAAATACATTTTTTTTTTGTTATTATTTCGAAAATATACAGGTTTACTCATGATGTTTTCCTTCACCGCGGAGCACCGTGATAAGTCAGCACTTAAAGTTAAAAACTTCATTGGTGCCGGCACCGGGGATCGAACTCAGGTTGCTCGAGTATCTAAGTATATTAATACATGAAGCAAAAACCTTGTACCCCTTTTTGACGAAGAGTGCGCGGACGGCGGAGTATGAAATTTCCCACACTTGTCTATACATACCAGATAAATAAAATTGAAGTGTCTGTTTGTAATATTAAAATAACCGCTTCTTACTAAATGCTTATGGATGTATGCACGGTACATGTACCAAAATAACATTTTTTTACAATTTTTGTCTGTGTGTCTATTTGTTCCGGCTAATCTCTGAAACGGCTGGACCGATTTGGACGGAACTTTCACTGACAGATAGCTGATGTAATAAGGAGTAACTTAGGCCACTTTTATTTTAGATTTTTTTTTATTTTAAATTCCACGCTGACGAAGTCGCGGGAATAGCTAGTAGTTTATATAGAGGAGTGCGGAATGCTAATATATTTTTTAAATCATGCATAAAAAATACATGAAATGAATATAGAAAACATTACACACACCACCATGTATTAGACACACACACGCATATATACTCTTATCTTATTATGTCTTGTATTTGAGAATAGATTAATATTGTTCAAAACTTTTTTTTTTTTTTTAATTTTAATTATGGTCGAATTTCGATCACTCGGCGTCCAATTGTATTGAACTAGAAGCGAGCGCCGAGCTACTTAACCTAACGTTACAGTTAAAAACAGTTTACGGGAACCGCTCACCTCGTGGCTACTTAGTGAATATCTGTACATAGATAGAGAGTTCTCGTTAAACATCTTTGAGGGAGTATACGTCACACGCGCACAACATATAAATAAATAATTCGCAATCAAGCGCTCCGCTGAACTCGATCGGATATGCGATTTGCTAAATTGCCGCCGCAGCTGCGACCCACAGATAAGGCCTCGCCCGCCATTTTGGATTTCAAAAATGAGCTCGCCATATAGAAATAATTTTTTCAACCGCTAAGTCAACATTTTGATACGTTTGTTAATAACAATTATAGATGTAAAGAATCTAAACTTGTAATGAATAAAAATAAAAAAAATGTCATTCGAATGGGGAAAAAAAACTATTTTTCACGAAGAATATGCCGCATAGAAATGGTGCTCTTATTTATTTATATTTTTATTACCCTGGTTTGATGGATCAGTTTTATAGTGTGCATATATTTGAAAAAAAAAAAAAAAAAAAAAACGATCTATCTAAGACCCTTAAATTGCGCACAGGTACTATTTTCAGCAGGTGTCAATTGCTTACTTTACATAATTATTAATAGCTGAGTGACCGAGCTTGGCTCGAAGTGTTTTTCTGTAAAATCGTGCAAGGAATACATAAAGAAAAAAAATATAAGACTTGAAAAATACATGAATCGCCCGTTTAAAATCGTATGATTCGAAAAGACAAACAATAAATATTTTATGATTATAAATATTTATGAATGTCGTAGTGCTTATTATATTTATATTTTTTACATAAAAAAATTATACCTCGACTCAAATATATAATAAAAATTTACGACTTCTCTCTAGCAGGGTTCATTTAAAAAACGTCACTAGATTTCAACGTTCCTAATAGCTTGTAATATACAAAATTGAATATGAAATTTGGACTTTGGCTTTGAAAAAGAACTATGGTTGAAACTCGAGTTTAGGTGCTGGTTTTTGAAAATACACAGTAAATGGTTAAGGCTTTGGTATTATTAACATAAAATATTCATAAACTATCTGAGGTTATCCCAGACAAGACTTGTGTCGTGTGTGTAAAACCCTTTCATTGTTTTCGTTTAGAGTTCTCAATCGAGATCCTAATGCGAAATATAAATTGTAATGCAGAATTTCTTAAGCATAGTTTTAACATAATTAATAAATTTCGTTTATTCGTTTTTCGCAATCTGTAAATGTTCCCTATATTATTCTAAAAACATGACTGATTTACCGTGGAATCAAAACGGTTCTAGCTAGCAAAATCTTTAACGATATAGTAGTCTTATGAAAGATCCAGCGAGATTTGGCCAAATATTCATTTATTATTATATCGAACAGAGTGCTTGCTACATTTGGCAAGGTAAGTAAAATATTGTATCTCATTATTGAAATTATATAATTAAAATACTATTTAAAGTAATTTATTTTAGGTTCAGTGGGAAACGTAATCTACAAAGTAAAATCCTTTTACCCAATACAATTTGTTACTATCGCAGATGGCGCATTATTAAAGCCACATTGGAAGTGTCCTTGTGAAGGACGATGAAAATTGAAAGCGGTCTTGCGCGTAATAGAAGTTCAATTGCAAAAAGCTCCGCGCTAGTATAAAAGGTGGACCACGGGCCGTCCTAAGCCAGTGCAGATCCAGCCTCCAACAGTGAAGCATCCCACTTCACTAAGAGCACAGTTATGCATTGCTGGAGTTTGCTCCTACTCGCTGTTCTAGGGCTGACGCAGCCGGGCTTTTCTGACATCATCGATGGCGGTTGCTGTCATGGAGACCGTGAGTTGGGCACCAGGCTTAGCACTTACGAAAGACGTACCGATAAACAGAATGAATATCCCCATTTGAATCGAGCACCCGACATACGATCGGAAAGACATATAAATGACAGAGATTCCGTAGACCGCCGCGCATCCGGAGTAAGGGCTGAGAGGTTCCTGGAAAGAGATACCAGGACAGCTCAATTAGAACGTTATATCCGGCAAGAGCGGAGGAACGATGGACGCTTTTCCGAACGAAAAGCAACTAATACCGACGAGAATGCCCGATATCAAAGAAATACCGATATCGTTCGTGGCGAATTTACGAGGTACGCGATTCGAAGCGACGACGATGTCCGGCGTCAATCTACTGGATCGTTTTTAGGTGATAATCGGCTGTACAGAAACTTCGAGAACGTTGCAAAGGATTCCAGCTATTCTGCGAGGCAAGCCCGATATGGTTCTGAAAAACTAGCAAGGGCTGTTAACGATTTGTCACGCACTCGAGAAGTTTTAAATAGGAATTTAAATGGCCTCTATAGAATATATCTAGACGCTGAAAGACGCCAAGTTCGAACACTTATGCGCAACACGAATGAAGAACGTCATGTGAAAGTTCACAAAGATGTTGAAGCTAGAAATTCAGGCAATGTGAGAGATAATGGCAATGTTCCCGTCTCAGCCCAGAATTTAAGAGAGGAAAACCGTGGTACACGACGTTTAGACAAATACAATCAAAGATTATCTAGATTTAATCCCAACGTAAGGAACTCGATACGTCACGATTCAAAGAACACGGAGACGCGAGCGCAATTTAACGGACGGTCCTTACGTACTGAAAGAGAAATCACCGATGGATCGAGACGACAACAAATCAGGAGATTGGCCAAAGATTCTATCGACAGAATTCTACCAAGCGCCCAGCGCGAATCTGAAACCATTTTACGAGATAGAAACCGATACGATGATAAAATGGAATATGCTCGATCAAACTTAGAGACCGTTCAATATGTTAGTGTTATCAGAGAAGATACGAGAGTTTCAACCGAGAAGGAAACTAATCGCCGGTTAGCGAAAGAACGTGAACCTTTCCGTTCTTATACGGAAGCAACTGATCGCCGAAGAGCTTTAACTGCAGAACGCAATGACGCTCGACCTAATCATGAAACCAATCGTCGTACCCAAACTGAGATGCAAATCGATTCCGAGCGTCTAAATCTGAATACCGCAGTGACCAAACCGATCTATTATCGCCCGTAGATTTTCGTGACTCTCGATTAGTGGACGATCGTCGATTAAGGATGGACCGTGAACCAGGCCGCCACTCCGTAGAACGCCTTGCAGCCCGATCCAACGAAATTTCACGAAGAATTCGTCATGAAACTGCAAGCACTAATGACCGTCATCTTACCAGGTCCGTGCCGGTTAGGGATGAACGTAGGGTTATACTTCACCGATTGGCAAAGCGCTCCAATATGGACAGCAAGATAGCCAGGTCATTCAATGCTGAGACTCGACGTATTAGCTCAGAGCGCACGACAGCTGAAAACCAAGAGACCGTACGCAGTTCCGAACGTGAATTTTCTCGCAAATCCATCGAATTGCAAGAGGCTAAGCGTATCGAATCGGGGCGTCTTCAAACATTCGAACGCAGGGACGCTCGCAGAATTGAACGCCAAATCTCAACGAGTAACATTTTAAGACGCGAAGCTGCAGGTCATTCTGACGGGCGCCGTAACATTCGCAACCCTGTCGAACTTCGCTCGACAAGATTTGGTACTCGCGGCCGATCGATCATTGAAAATGAACATGTTACTCGACGCGTTCTCGTAAAACTACCAGCGACAAGATTCAGCGTTAGAAGCCGATCTGTTCTTTCCGCTTCCGAACGCGATGACACTCAACGGAACACCGAACGACAGTTTTATAGTTTTATTGTAGATGGACTATACGCCGGATCCGAAGATGTTTCCCGACTACTTACAGAACGGAACGAAGCTCGGTTCAACATTGGTCGCAGTGATCGCAGTTCCTCATCTCTAGCTGTACAAAAGCGCGATTTTGGAACGAATAAAGAGCGTCGAGTAATACGTTTGCGTGTAACAAATGGAATTCGACGCACGGCCTATACGGACGAGATCGACGACATCCGTCACACTGATCAGCGCTTACTCAAAACGCCGACAGGGCTTAGATTGACAAAACGAGTTCCTGAGCGTCAAGAATCCCATCGGAGTGATGAAAGTCCTGCTCGTCGATTCACACCTTCCACAGAACGAAGCCTTAGGCGCAGCAATGAACATTCCCGTTCTTCGATTCGTCTTGCATCCCAACGTAACAATGACCAGCTTGTTGATACTGAACGCAGAATATCCGAGCGTGAAGCCACCCAATCCCACATTACACGTCGACCCTCCGAAACACGTGCGATAAATATTAATGAACGCAATTCCACCGATTCCGACGCAGTTTGGAGAAATAAACGCAATAGTCGTAGCGGTGCACGTAGGATATCCTTTTCAAATGTCGAACGGCCTGAATCTAGACGCCGCGTTGTCGTAACACTTCAAGATAACCGTCGCAATTACGACGACAAACCCGTTTTTGAACGTGAAGTATTTAGACATAGAGTTGAACGCCAGACCACTCGAAATGCTGCAACGGGCTCTGATAATCTGAAGGTTTACAGTGACAAACTAGTCCGCGCCTCAATGGAAAGGGAAGCGGTTCGACGAAGCATCCAACGTAGAAATAACCGGTTTATTTCAACACGTCGCGATCATCGACTCAGGCATGACGACAAACTCAATCGTTATGTTGAAGAACTTCAGGATAATAGACGAGGCTATGATAATCAACACGCGCGTCCTGCCATTGATAGAGCAGAAATCCAAAACGGTGAAAACGGTCGTTCCTCTCGCACGGAACGACTCAACATCCGACGTTCCATCCGCCCAGCTCAGAGACTGTCAAACACGCGAAGTGACATTGAACATATCACACGAAACGTATCCCAGAACAGAAACGAGAGAGCTACCGTAGCAACTGAGAGGTTTACGTCTTTGCAAAATCGACGTAGCGCTGAAGGGCCATCGATGATTCTCAGACAAAGTTACCATGTCCGTTCAACCGACAGCAAACTTAACGCTGCTATATCCGATACGCATGAGACTGCTAAGGGACGTTATTGGAATAGCCGTACAACTCAAAATGCCCAGCGGAATCTGCTACGAAGAGACTCCCGTGCTGTAGTGGAACGTGTATTTAAATATGATTCTGGCGCTGATATTGTCATTGAAGGTATCAATTTGAGGGAAACTGAAGACAAAGCGTACATTTTGAACTGGCAACATCTGTTTTACCTCGTCCAAGGATTTTATCTGCTCGTATTACTCCTTCAAACGCGCTCTGACGATGGGAGCGATAAATTGCAGAGAAGGTAATTGGCAAGTTGTTCCTGTGTGTCTTTATAGTTTTCGATTGCAACAAATTATTTAGGAGTAATTAAAGTAAAATTACTATTTATGGATACATCATGTTTTTGTGTATTTATGTCTCGAATGTTTTTTTTTCAGACGTTGGAATTGGTGGAGCCAAAGCCTTCACGCTAAACTGGACTAGAGAATCGATAGTATACCGGACCTGAATTGATGAAACTTTTGGCGAACACGTTATTATACGAAACCCATTTAATGTTAAAATGTAAACCTTGTAGCAAAAATAAATATTTATTCTGTTATTATGTCATTTATTTACCTGGATATAATTTTCCATAATTTAAAATATTGGTATCAAACTACCTACGCGTTTGATTATTTATCTAAAATAAAAATAACTATCTTTTTTCTAACATATATCCAACAAAAAATATGAAAAACATAATGGATTTTAACAGCATGCTACCATCAATTAAAAACATGTCTGTATTCTATCCAAAATTTATCTTACACTGCACTTTTAAAACAGTTGAAATGAACAATAAAAGAAATCTCAAATTATAGTTTCTTATCGATAACTATACCAGTATTTTATCCACTTGTTACAGATAGAATAGTTTTTCAAAACTTTCTTACACTGGACCTAACTGGACGGACAACAAATTCAAATTCTTATTAATTCTTGATAAAGCTAAAAATATAAGCGACAGTTCATTGGATTCAGAGTGACGTCCAACAAAAATGTGTTTTAAGTGATTTTAAAGCACAACAAATTGAGAAAAAAGATAAAGATGAAAATGGCATTTAGCTTTTCCTTTATTTATTAATTTAGAACAAAAGGAATAGGTCAATTATTATTACATTATAGTCGCCAAATGATCACAACACCACGCGAGTTTCAAGAATATCGAATTACTCGATATTCTCAAAACACGCGGGATGCTTTTCGATAACTTTTGCCAGAGTATATAGAAAATTATAATAAATGTTAACTATTTAGCCGAAACTTGTTTATATAGCTATTGTACTATATTTGCTTCCAACTGAAAATCAACAGTCAAAATCAACTTATTTAATTAATGATTGTTTTATCTATTTCTGAAATCAAAATCTACCATCTGTGAATACAATTTTTTCTTTTAATATGGATATATTAAGAACTTTGATAGCTCAATGTCTGGGACTTTAATGGGCCTTTAATTTAACACACTCGAGCCACCTTAGTTCCTGAATGAAATTGTTAGGTTAAAATGCTGATTTATCACTTGCTCGGCGGTGAAGGATAACATCGCGAGGGAACGTGAATATAATATGTATAATAAAATAAAAATATTTCGAAGATATGAGATCGGCCACCCTGTAGTGGGGTCGCGTGGTGGATTATAGCCTAATAATTATCCTCTGTACAGGGGAGGCCTTTGCCCACGACATATATAGGTTGTTATTTTACTTTTGTAAGTATATAATAATACAATCATACAAACATATTATGATCATGCTCAAAATGGCGTAACGGAAAATTTTTTATACTTATACTTTTGTGTAGTAACGAATTATCTGGAGACCGAAATCCATACAAATTTTTGCAACACACCCCGCAGAACTTGTAATTTGTCTTATTGTTTTTATTTTTCTTTATTTCTTTCTTATCGCCTATATGTTCACCTGTTTCTTACTCCTTGTTCAGGTCGCGAACAGCGCGATAGCTTATCTACAGCGGGCTCTTCTGGCGCCGGCTCTGTCCGCCCTCGGCGGCGGCGGGTGGGAGGCGTGCTTCGAGCACGTTCTTCTGCCACTCCTCTCGGAGCCCCCACGGAGGGCGGACGCTGCGGCGCGCGCTGACACCGTCATGTGCAAGGTACAGTACAGAAGCTAGCTGCAACTTATCATAATTACGCGGACTGCCGTTTGATGTGGCCTCTGGAGCAGATCCCAATTACATGATAGTATTTGATTTGTGATGGACCTCTAAAGTACACCCCAATTACGCGTAATGCTACACAGTTTGATTTGTAATAGGCCTCTGGAGCAGATCCCAATTACATGTAGTATTTGATTTGTGATGGACCTCTAAAGTACACCCCAATTACGCGTAATGCTACACAGTTTGATTTGTAATAGGCCTCTGGAGCAGATCCCAATTACATGTAGTATTTGATTTGTGATGGACCTCTAAAGTACACCCCAATTACGCGTAATGCTACACAGTTTGATTTGTGATAGGCCTCTGGAGCAGATCCCAATTACATGTAGTATTTGATTTGTGATGGACCTCTAAAGTACACCCCAATTACGCGTAATGCTACACAGTTTGATTTGTGATAGGCCTCTGGAGCAGATCCCAATTACATGTAGTATTTGATTTGTGATGGACCTCTAAAGTACACCCCAATAACGCGTAATGCTACACAGTTTGATTTGTGATAGGCCTCTGGAGCAGATCCCAATTACATGTAGTATTTGATTTGTGATGGACCTCTAAAGTACACCCCAATTACGCGTAATGCTACACAGTTTGATTTGTGATAGGCCTCTGGAGCAGATCCCAATTACATGTAGTATTTGATTTGTGATGGACCTCTAAAGTACACCCCAATTACGCGTAATGCTACACAGTTTGATTTGTGATAGGCCTCTGGAGCAGATCCCAATTACATGTAGTATTTGATTTGTGATGGACCTCTAAAGTACACCCCAATTACGCGTAATGCTACACAGTTTGATGTGTGATGGACCTCCGGAGTAGATCCCAATTACGCGTAATGCTACACAGTTTGATGTGTGATAGGCCTCTGGAGTAGATCCCAATTACATGTATTATTTAATGTGTGATGGACCTCTAAAGTACACCCCAATTACGTACACTGACCCACAGTTTGATGTGTGATGGACCTTTGAAATACATATAATTACGCTGGTTTAAACAAAACAAGGTTGCTAGTCGGTTCTGTATGTATAAGGAAGTATATAAGGTCAGGTGCGAGTACACACGATTTGAGTAATTTGAACGGATCTTATTTTAAAAAGTGTTTATGACAAATTTATATTCATTCGACTAAGGTAGGATCACCGAAATCATAACCAAATTTTGCATTCTTATGTCACTATGCGTGTCATCGTTTCGGCTGATATGTTGCACCTGGTGAAGAATAGATACAACGCGTGCTCTAGCTTACTAGCCGATGGTAAAAATATATAATTCATTGTTAAAAATCGAACGGGGAACAATGCGAACGCAACTAGAACCGCACGACTAGCAGTCTCCCTCCGTTTGCGCAAAAACGAGCAGGACGGATATATGGTTGACTGAGCGACGGGCGTTGCGAGCTCGCCGTCCCCTTTAGTATGCACGAAAACGAGCGAGATGAAGATAGATGACGAATGACGGAGCGATGGCGTCGTGGTGTGCGCAGGTGTTCCTGCAGCACCTGCAAGCGCTGAGCGGCCGCGCCTCCTTCGGCGCCTTGTGGGCGCGAGTGCTGCGCGTGCAGCGCTCTCTGCTGACGGCGCCTCAGGAGCCCCTCCGCGAGGCGGCGCTCGAGTCGCTCAAGAACATGCTTCTCGTCATGCACTCCGTGCGGGTAAGTCGTCCAGCACATCAAGCGATATGCTGGAGTCGTATAATAGTGGATAGTGAGTGTGAGGGTGGGTTCGATCACCGCTGCTTGAAAAATATTGTGTGACGAACCTAGTCTATATATTGTATTTATTTACAAAAAGAAGAGTATTTTTATGTGTGTTCATCAGTAACCTAGTTTCCAGTGTACTCAGTTTTCTTTCTTTTTTCACTTTAGGATTAGTAAGTGTTGTTTATAAATATGCCCCGAAATATATATCTAGCGAGAACACACGTAACCTATACAAACTCTTGTAAACACTCCAATTTAAAACTCGTCCCATTTATCTTGAATAAACTCTCATCGTTTACCTCGCATCTCTCCCCATCACACCCAAAACTCCGTCTGTCACCTCAAACAACGCCTTACGCAACAATCTCAACGAATAATTTATTTCACACCAAGACCTCCGCGATCTTACAGCTCTCCACTTAATATACACATCGATGAAAGCTAAGGATGTGTACATCTCAAATAATTCTGACGATTGACGTATATAAACTTATCCATTTCAGATATTCAACACCGGCGACAACTACAACGACCTGTGGTACATCACCTGGGAGATCATCGGTGAATTCCTGCCAAATCTCAAGGAGGAACTATTCCCCGGAGGTAGCTATCGTTTTTACGCTAACGAACATATCATTTTTATATGCTCTAAAAATCTTCCTTTTAACCCAATTGTGAATGTCGGAAAGAAAAACATATCGCATTTACCATAAAATCGGATCGGAAAATGTGTTCTGCTTTTATAACTCTTGTCATGCACTTGTGGACGCTGCTGTGGTATCTTTTTTTTTCTTACACAACATTTTCTAGTCCCAAACTAAGCAAAGCTTGTACTATGGGTACTAGAAAACTGATAAGCATACTTAAACATACTTTTCTTTTGTAAGTAAATACATATTATACATATAAACAGTGTCTGGGACACTAGAAAAATCCCATGTTCATCACACAATATTTTTCCAGTAGTGGGGATCGAACCGACACCCTCTAGCGCAGGAGGCAGGTACACTACCCACTACGCCATTCGGGTCGCCATAAAACTAATGCAATGATATCCAAGTAACAATGCTAGCTGATTTAACGCGTAACGACCATTACACTCGCAGTGATAGACAACAGCAGGCCCACCGCGAACCTTCCGAGCCACATGCAGCCGCACCTGCCGCCGAGCCTGCCGACCCTGGTGCCGGTCTCCCCCGTGCCGAGCCAGCCCGCACTGAGCCAGCCCGCAGCGAGCCAGCCCGCACCGAAAGCCAGCCCGCAGCCCGCGCAGCCGCCGAACATTCTGGTCAACGTGCAAACGCCGCCCTCCCTGGTGGCACCGACCCCGATAAGTGCTCCGAACGGAGCACCAACGGGCGACACGGCACCAAACCCCGCGCCCGTCAGCGGGATGGTGCCGATCAGGAATCCGCTGTACGACCAGTCGGGGCTGACCTCGTCCGTCCTGCTGCAGCCCCTGAACGAGGTGCGCACGAAATATCACTAATGCGTAAGTTTAACTGTGGTAGGGCCATGCGACAGTTCGTTGTTGCACGAATGGGCAGGTCCGTCCGAGCAAGGTTTATGTGAAAAGTTGCCAAACTAGCAGACGGTTCACCTGATGTTAAGTGAATACCGCCGCTCATGGACATCTGCTACACCCGAGGGTTGAAGTTGGCTGAGGGACTAAAACTCGCGTTTTTAAAGTTACTATATACTTTCAACGGTGGTAGAGCCACGCAGCAGCCTCGGCACTGTTGCACGAATGGGCAGACTCGTCCGGGTAAGACCACGACGTCACAGAAGATCGGCGTAAAGTGGAAGTATGACAAGTACTTTCGCGTTTCGTCTGATGAGTGAGGTAGCCGGAGCCCAATTTCCAAAAAGGTTGTCAACGCATCTGCAAACCCTTGGGTGTAGCAGATGTCTATGGGCGGCGGTATTCACTTAACATCAGGTGAACCGTCTTCTCTTTTAGCAACTTTTCACATTAAAAAAAAGTATAAAACTATATAGTTTAAATCAAAAATAACGATATACTTAACACGAGTTATACTTATTACTATTTGATTCCTTGTTAACAATATGCTATCAGGCCACTGCGACCTAGAAGATCAATTGTAGTCTTTCCTTCGAAAACATTGCCCCTTACTGTGTACGATGACGCTACCCTGTGTTGTAAGGACGTTTTGAATACATAAATTTCATATGGAAAAACATCCAGACCTGAAACAATAATTATCTGTGGGTCACGTAAATAGCTGTCTCGTCTGAGAATCGAACCCATGACCCCTAAAACCGAAGTCAATACCGAAGTCAACTACGCCACAGAGTCATCTTTTGCTTTTGCTTTCGTTACACTGCTGCATGTATGTAATTCTCTCGCATGTTGTGTATATACACACAGTATATATATATATATATATATATATATATATATATATATATAATACATACAGTTTAACCACAATACTTAACCGAAAGACTAACCGGTACGTATTCCATTTCAGATGATATCAACGCCAATAGGCATATCGATACAGACGCAGCCGCCCGTGCTGTACCCGAGGGCACCTGACCCCCAGAGAGTCCAAGCGCCAAGCGAAAACGAACCTAAACCCAAAGCGGTAGAGTCCACGCCCACCACCAACGACCAGGACACGAACAACATCGTCAAGGACACGCAGCAGAGCGAGCTCTACGCCGAATACCTCTCCGACCCCTACAACGACTCCAAAGAACTCTCGCCGAAAGAGGCCACTCTGTACGACCCGGAGGACAACCGCCACGTATCCGGCACGAAGGACCAAGATCCAGAATCGCTGGAGATCACGCCGATGCTCTCGCAAAAGTCCTACAGCGCCAATACGACCCCTATGCACGTAAGGAATAAGGCTCAGTTCGGCTCAAGCGAGAACGTCCGGCAGGAGTCTGGCATATTCAACTTCGCCAGCTACTTCGGCGCCTCGAACGACCTGGTTGTACCCGGTTCGGAGGTCTTCGACACCTTGATGTCCACGCAGGAGGGATAGCCGTGGCTCGACCGCGATATTGGCACATGGCTATGAGAACTTGAGTATTCCGTCGGCCTATTGTTACCCTTTCTGTCCCTTGACATCTTTCGTATATTGTTTGTTTATCATTAGCTCGTTTAAATATCGGTGAAAATTCCAAATTTAAAAACATCGGTCCATTCGTGTTAGTGGATACGTAAAATGAAGTTTAACGAGTCAAATAAATACGTTCCCATAAGGGCGTTGATTTATTGTTAATATTAAATACGTGATATCGTTTCAGAAACGTCGTCTAGCTTTTAATCTTTACTTCACCGAAATCGTTATGTGCGGAAAAGGTTTTGTTTTTTTCTAATATAGATTCCGTTTCGTAAATTTTCACTATCTTCGCCTAAGTATTTTACATAGTATTAGATATGAATAAATATGATACACCCATTTATGGGTTCTATGGGTGACTGGGGTCGGGGTGGCTGACAAACGAAGGAATCTTATAAATCTTTTTAAATTATCAATTTAATTGGCGTGGCTGAAAAACGAAGGCATCGTATATAGCCATCTTTAAGTTAATAATTTATTGTATTTACGCGATTACACATTATAAATGAAACTAATTTTTACGGATTTATCGCGTTTATTTTTAATTTTAATCATGGAATTAAATTAAATTTATAATTCCATTATTAATAACACTAAATCATGGTCACGGGACAGACTGTGCCGTGACCATGATTTAGAAAGAGAAATTTAAAAATTAGTTTCATTTATAATCTTTAACTTAATTTTTTTCCATGTCACAGTTCCAAGACGCATTTTTTTTTTAATAATATTTTCATAAATGCTAATTCAAAGCTAAAAACTAAATTCTTTTTGTCTTTGCCATGTACACGATTGGATAATAATACCAAAGATGATGGATGCTTATATTACATCATAAATACAGCAAAAACTTTTCGGATTCTTTTCTAATTTTGCTGACCTTATCCTTTGACTGCAGTGAAGTTTTATTCTGAAAGCATTTCATATTTCGGTTAAAAATAGTTGAATTTTTTTTTTAAAGAAGCTGAACTTTTTCCGAACACCTTGATTATATTTTCATTTATTTAACTTCGTTATTGGCTTGTTCCACTCACTTCTAGTTAAAGGATTCTCTTTTAACTGGAAATTAAACGCCGATCTCTTGACTATTCTGATCTATGTTCTGTGCCATGTAGTATGTTCCTTTAAAAGAGTCCTGTTTGTCTTTGGAAAGACTTTATCCTACCTGAAGTCTTGCATTTATAAAGATCATAGCGGTGCCAGTATTTCGCGTTTCTTTTGTGTACATAAGGTAAAGAATCGCTTGGATTCGAAACGAGTAAATATAGCCATGTCTATGTATTGTTTTTAATGATGTTTTCTTTAAAACATATTTCCTATATCTTCAATAGAAGTCATACTGCGTTATGTTGTAGAATACTGTAAGGTAATGAATGAAATTGTCTTTAATTGAACAATTCCCAATGGGTCGAACGTTTGTATGTGTTTTGTATTAACAAATACCTAGAGTCCGTGCTCTATGGCCTATCTATTGGAATGCGACACAAAGGTTATGGACAAAAATATTACTTCTTTGGTGATGTAACATTCTAATAGTTAATTTATATGATACACAAATGTTACGTATTTTTTAATATATAGATACGTCGAGATCACCAAGTAGTTTGTCATTTTAACATTCCAGACTTTTTAAAACTTTTATATGATGTTTGAAATATTATCTATAAAGTAATTAATTTATTGTTTCAATTTGGGACTATTTTATCTATGAATTATCATTTTCTTTAATATGTAATGAGGTCATGAATGGTGAAATTGTTCAGGGTCATTAGAGATTGAAGTTGATTGTAAATTGTGTAATTACCATATGTTTCAGTTTTTGTATAGAGAGTTATATATACCTACTTATCGGTGTAATATATGTTTAGATGTTTATTAATAAAAATCGTTTGAATATTTTAAAAGCCTTTTATTTGGTTGAGTTATTGTCGTTTATGAGTTTACTTTTTTTTATTCAAAACTGGCTAGCATTCGATTGCTATCCCGCCTGATGGTAAGTGACGATGCAGCCATTGGCGGTAAGCGCGCTAGCTCATAGCTTGTGAGGATTTGACGAATAATTTGTCTATGGTATTTAGATGAAACATAATATTTCTAATTTGTAATGGAAATCGGTACGGTGGTGAATTCCTTACTTCATCATGTGAAATAATGGTAATGAAAAAAAAGTAAATGAATACATTTTTACGGGGGGTAAGGGGTCCCAACCATAATCTCTCGAAGTCAACCTCACCTGCTCGCGGTGCCCCCTGCCGAACAGCGAACGAGGCTCTGACGACCCACCAACACGCACTGGACCAGCGTGGTGAGTTATGGTCCAACCCCTCTATGGAAGATAAAAGATTGGCGAGGCCCCGACTACCCGGCGGCTCCAGTTGCGACGCTGGCGTTCCATGTAGTGCCCACACCAGTTTTTGTGGAGAGCTCGACCCTCGAAATTGCGCTTTTGCGCAAACCGCAGAGGGTGTTGGCTATCCGGGCCATACGGGGCTACCGGACGATCTGTGAAGCGGCTTGTCTGTTGGCCGGCTTCCTGCCTTGGGATTTAGAAGCTAAGATCCTCGCGTCATTGCACTCCTGGCGCGAGGCTGTCCCAAATCCCAGGGCCACATGCGGGCCCCGGAGGAGTTGGAGGAGCGCAGGCATTGCCTGCGCTCAAAATGCATCGATGAGTGGGAGCAGAGGCTGGAGCACCCCGGTGCCGGCCTAAGAACCGTAGATGCCATACGTCCTGTCCTCCGGAGGTGGCTGGATAGGCGACACGGCACCCTTACCTACCGTGCGACGCAGGTCCTCTCGGGACATGGTTGTTTCGGGAGGTAGCTGTTTCGCGTGGCGAGGAGGGAGCGCACAGCGGAATGCCACCACTGTGACGTATGTGCCGAGGAGACGGCCCAACACGCAATGGAGGAGTGTTTAGCCTGGACGGAGCAGCGCCGAGAGCTGTACGCTATCGTGGGGCACGACCTCTCGCTACCAGCCGTGGTTCGCGCTATGGTTGACAGCGAGAGGGCGTGGGGTGCTGTCCTCGCATACTGCGAGGACTTTATCACCCGGAAGGAGGCCGCGGAGAGAAAGGGAGGCAACTGCCACCCTGGAAATTCGCCGCCGGAAATGAGGGCGCAGGAGGCTGGACTACGCAACCTTCCCCCCTGATAGTGAGACTCTGAGCGGCAGACATGGGAGTGTCTGTCGCTCAATATGGGGCTAGTGACGTGTGCTGTGCCAATTGCACGGGCACAGCACTATGTACTAAATGAGGCCTAAACGGGCCATAGTCGCGCCGGGGTCGCGGAAGATTGCGTTCACGTGTTCCCGTGTCCCCGGCTCATGCGACAGAGACAGGTGCAACGTGGGTTTTTTAGTGGGTAGCCGTTTTTAACGGGACTCCCACATACCCCTGCCACTTCTCCCATCCAGTGGCAGGGGATCCATAAAGGATTTTTCCCGCGAAAAAAAAAAAAAAAAAGGTAGGTCCAATTTCGAGAGAGAGTTTACTCGACGGATCCAACTCGCTTGGGCAGCGTTCGGTAAGCTACGCAGCGTCCTAACATCCAGATTACCACAGAGTCTGAAGACGAAATTCTTTGACCAATGCGTACTACCAGTGATGACCTACGGTGCCGAGACGTGGTCTTTAACTATGGGCCTCCTAAAAGAGACTCAGTGTTGCTCAGCGGGCAATGGAGAGGGCTATGCTCGGGGTTTCTCTGCGAGATCGAATCAGGAATGAGGAGATCCGCAGAAGAACGAAGGTCACCGACATATCCAAGCGGGTCTGCAAGCTGAAGTGGCAATGGGCAGGGCACATAGCTCGCAGAACTGAAGGCCGATGGGGCAGCAAAGTTCTCTAGTGGAGATCGCGTGTTGGAAAACGCAGTGTGGGGCCGCCACCCGCGAGATGGACTGACGACCTGTCCAAAGTCGCGGGACTTCGCTGGATGCAGGCCGCTTCAAACAGATCAAAGTGGAAATCCCTAGACGAGGCCTATGTTCAGCAGGGGACGCCTACAGGCTGAAATGATGAATGATGATGATGATGATGATACATTTTTACATGAAGTACTAGTAGCAGTTTATTAACTCATCGTCAAAAAGGGCATTTTTTTTCCTTGTTTATTCAACGAGTTTCAGTTTGAAAATTATCTATTTGCCATAATGTTGGATATTTTCGACGAAAAAGAAATAAAAGGGCGATGTTGTATAAAAAATCAACAGTATATTATAGTTATAGATTTACACTATTTACATAAATTTGTACAAAAATATCGAGAGCGCCTTCACAGAAGGCAGTATGCAGAGGCACTTGGTTCGTTTCACAGTCTTCGAGACGGGCGGGCGTTCAAACCCTGGACACGTGCAGCGGGCGCTTGTAGTAGGGGTGCTGCGGGCGCAGGAGGGGCGGCGCGCAGCAGGGCGCCTTGCGGGGCGGGCAGATGGCCTTGCGCCAGACCAGCGCCGACTTCTTGGACCAGGCCCAGGCCGCCGCCGCCACGCCGCACGACAGCCACAGGCATACGGCCAGCGCGCCGGAGCGGCCCTCCCCGCCCCGCGCCTCGTACAGCTTCGAGCCGGTGGCCAGCGCGGCCAGCGCCAAGTACAGCATCCCGCCGGCGGCCGCGCGCACCGCCAGGCGGCCCACTCTCTTGGCGCCCCTGGCGTGCAGCGCGCGGCGCACGCGCACGATGCCCGGGCCCGCGGCCAGCGCCAGCGCCGCCGCCGCGCCGAGCAGCGCGCCCCTGGGCACGGCCACCAGCGCCGCGGCCGCCGGCGCCGCCACGCCGCACGTGCCGGTCAGCTCGTCGGCCGCCACGCGGCGCAGCGCGAGCGCGGCCGCCGTCCACGCGCCCGCCCAGCCCCACGCCACCGCGTGCAGGTACGCCGCCGCGCGCTCCAGCGCCTCCGTGGACCACTCGCTCGCCGCCGTCAGGTACCAGGCGACGCACGCGTTCGCGAACCACGCGTCCGCCGCCAGCGTGAAGTAGTACGTGAGCGAGAAGAAGGCGACGCACGCGGGCGACGCCAGCCCGTCCACGGCGAGCGTGTTGCCGGCGCACGAGAGAGCGCGCGCGCCCAGCCAGCCGCGCGCCACGTGCGCCGCGGCGACCACGGCGTGGCACGCGGCCGCCCACACCGCGGGCCGCTCGGGGTAGCGGTAGCGCGACGGCTCCGCGCAGAACGTGAGCAACGCTAACGAGGTGCACAGCAGCGAGAGCCAGGCGGCGGTGGCCATCCACAGCTCGGCGCTGCGCTTCTCGGGCTGCGTGTAGCGCGCGTGTTGGCCGCACGCGGGCCAGCAGGCGCCGGCGGGCGCGCGCGCGTGGCCGGGCGGGCAGCCGTCCTCGCGCTCGCGCTCCTGGAAGGGCCACCGCGGCGGCGGCTGCGGCTCCGGCACCAGCTCGCTGGCGTTGGGCGGCCGCATGCACAGCCTCCGCACCGCGCGCAAAGGGAAGGCGCCGCAGTCCAGCACGGTCGGCGCCAGCTGCGCCAGCTCCTTCTCGCAGTCGGCGCTGACGCTCTCGCAGAGGGCGCGGCAGGCGCTCACCGAGCCCGACACCTGCTCCGAGCAGAGGGGCGCGAACGCCGAGCAGAGGAGGAAGCGCGCGTGCATCGAGCACTCGCTGGAAATCACACCCGCGAACTTCTGCATCTGTAAAGATGAAAGAAATCTACGTTATAAAGTGAACCGGAATTTTTATTAACTAGGTAAGTCATGTGCTAAACAAAATTATACACTAAAACGCATTCATAAAGAATACAGAGACGCGGGGTGAACACTCTCAATGTTATAATTGGAACTATATCATGAAAAATGTATAAAATGGAATAGCCGCTTGCGCATTGCTTACAATGGCGTCGCATTGCGCGCTATCAATGCCGCTTATTATTAGGGTGCCAGGGGCCCGTTCCGAGGCGCAGAAGCGGTGGGCCGTCAGACAAAAAGTCGGCGCGAATTACATGTTGGGACGGAGGCAAGGTCGCCGCGCGGCCCTTTTTTGAGTTGCCCCGCCGGGCGGATGTCGACGCCGAATACGTCTAGGGCTCGATTCACACTGGGTTTTTTACTGTGAACCAACGCGGCTAAGGGTCCATCCACACCGAGAAGGCGACATTCGAGACCGCCGGTCTCTATTTACGCCTTTTTTTCTTTCGTCAAGTAAGTCAGATCTATAGGAGCCAGAAACCTCTCAAATATATACAGTTTCTCGCCTGCTCTTTAATCTTATTTACTGAACTGTCTCTTGTGAACGTAAAACATAGTTTATTTGTCGTTCACAAGATTTTGGGGGCCATCCATTAATCACGAGACGTTTTTTTAGCATTTTTAACCCCCCTCCGCCCCCTTGGTGATAAGTGGTGAGTTTGAAGACTGCCGATGGTCGAAACTTAAATAAAGAAAGAAGAATAAAGTTGAATGTGCTTCGTTTCAAAACAACTAGGCTCTCTCGGTGTGAACGCAGCCTTAGGCTCCGTTTAGAAGTGCCGCTTTTTGCTTCGCCAAAACGGTTATACGTCTGCGGGTCGATTAGCGGCCGCGATAATTAATATACGCAGCGGGCGACGTAATCAGGGTGTAATTACACATCTCGGTGCATTTAATTACTGTTTTTATTGCTCCGCCGCAGTGTTGAGCGCAGATAGGGGGCGCAATTGATTTAATTTATAGACAGCAGTACCATACACGAGCGACCAGCGGATTTCTTCCATTCGGAATCGCAAATTTGCAACGATACCGAGAACCGTCACAGCGTTGGCAATCGTATAGTACGCGATGACTGTCTGTTACTTCTTATCGAGAGCTCGATTAAGAGTTGCGCCAATATGGCTGCCCGATATTATTCGATCCACGCATACCGGTACCGGGATATGATTAAATAAAAACTATTCCGTTTAGTCCACTTCATCTAGAACTATTCATTGGGGCGTGTAGGAAAATTTGGTAATTAATACAATGTATCAAATTATTTTTTAAAACATGTATGTGTTGATGTTGATGACCCGTTTGGCATGGGGAGTAGTTAACCTAACCTTGCGCCAGAGGAAGTGGGTTCGATCCACACCACTGGAAAAATATTGTGTGAAGAACGAAGTGTTTTTCCAGTGTGTGGGTGTTTAATATGTATTCATTTACATAAGAAGAGTATCATTATCATTATTAGGCGTTGCTTAGTTTGGGACTAGATAACGTTGTGTAATACGGTGTCCGAAAATATTATTATTATATAAGTTATAAAGTAAAAAACGCAACATAACTAAGCTGTTATTCGAAACTAAAACTTTTTGCGATCAAATCAAATTTGCAATCAAAGTAAAACGTGCTCAGAATAAGTAAGTAATCTACTCCTAAACATTAAAACATCTAGTTAATAGGAACACATGGATTCGATCGTAACTATACATTTCATTTCGACTTTAATTTATAATCGCTGAATAATTCACTCTATTATATCGAACGAACTGAATGTAGATAGATACTGAAGAAAAAACCGAATGCACGCATAAAAGGTATCACCGTCGTAAAAACAATCGGGTTCCCGCCGAAACTAAAAACAACACGCCCAAGCGACCGTCGAGTCGGCTTTTAATTGTCACTTCATGGTTATGCATAACGTCTTCTGTAATCCAATCTTCAATGAGGCACCGTCTGACATTACATACGAGTTATTTACGAGGAAGGTGGACGCGGCCTCGAAATTCGATCGCTTTGATGTCCGCTTCTTCTATATACAAATGTACTGTGTACTGATCTGACAGTAGGTACCGTAGTTTATTAAATTGTTATAGTTTAACGTCTTGGGAATTTCTTTATTCGAACAATGCAGAAACAGTTATACCGCCATTTTTAATTTTAACTTCCGTAGTTAGTTACGTTTTGTTTTGTTTGACTGCAGTCTTTAACGTCTGCAGTAAAAAACTGACTTGACGTCTCTCAGATCTAGAATCTAGGGGGTACAGGATCAAAACCAGATAAATTTTTTAAAGTGTAACTTTTAAGCGAATTAAACTGTGATAATTTACCATTGCGTAAATCAACGACCTAAATATTACTATATGTTATAGTAACATTTTATTATATAATCATGTTGTTATATAATACTAACTGTTTAGTATCAAGATCCGCGCCCTATTTAATGTCCATCATTTTAAAGCCGCGGCAGGCGTATAAAATAGCAATAGCTCACTTGTCTTCAGCCCGTGACCTTGACTTATACAGAAATATCCTAAATATTTCGAGAAATACAACACGAATAAACACAACAATGATTTCTCGGCCCTCCAATTAGGGTAAGCCTTTAAGTCAAGAGACAGTAAAAAACCATGGCTTTGAAATTAGCAGACAGCTGACACATCAAATATTTAACCAAGCATAATTCGGATAAATGTCGTTACATTAAGTGTATATATATTACACAACGGCGGGTTACAAATCTTCAATACTGATGGGTATAGAACATCTAAAATAACCCGCGTAACAAATAAATGTCTATTGGTCTTCATTTTTAAACAGTAATTTAAAAACTAGTCTTTAAATTTCGATTAAATGGTATGAAATTTACACATTTTTTAATAATTTACTACTATCCTGTATCCTTTTAACATATAAACACATCATCTATCATTTAAAAACCATTGTATTTTTCTTTAACTATACGCTAAATAGAACACTTCCCGATGTATTATTTGAGAAAAAAAAAACGATTTAGAACTAAAAGAAACTGAGAGTTTAAAATAACATACATTCAAACCTTAAACGACAATACATCGAAGCGCTTTTCACATTTTTATATACATTACAGTGGACTGTGGAACACTCGTTTAAAAATTCGATACGCAAACTGCAAATAGGGGATTAAGAAAAAATTGTTTGTATCTTCAAGGATTCCTTTCCGGATTACTTTGAATCGTTGTGTATGGTCTATGGAGCACAATCCTGTTAACTGACGGTAGACTGCGCTCCGGCTGAAGTACACGGGCGGTTTTTTTTTCCGCCGAAGTTTTAAGCCAACAATTGTGAGCAAACACTCTTGTTTGAGCCCGTCGAAAGGTTTAGATTGTGTCGGCGCACTTAAGATGTTTCCGTTAAGGGGAAGTCTTTGTAAAAGCAAGCAACTTTACAACAGCAAAATCATCGTACATGGTCTATTATTTAAAGCTATTAAAATAGCATTAATATGTAAACGTAATAAATTAGTAGATTGTTACATGTGAAGTAGAAATTAAACTACTTTTTAGGGTTCCGTACCCAAAGGATAAAACGAGAGTATTGCTCTACTCTCTGCCTGTCCGTCTGTCACCAGGCTGTATCTCGTGAATCGTGATAGTTAGACAGTTGAAATTTTCACAGATGATGTATTTCTGTTGCTGCTTTAACAACAAATACAAAATAAACAAAACAGAATAAAAACATATTTAAGTGGGATGCCCATACAACAGATATATTTTTTACCGCTTTTATAGATTTGGTACGGAGCCCTTCGTGCGCGAGTTCGACTCGCACTTGGTCGGTTTTTCGCAGGGTATATATTTTATTTAGTTAGTATACAGCGTGTCGTTACCATCGCGACAATAAATGAACACACATATAGGGGATAACTTTTTAAAGTTGTATTAAACGTTTAAATTCTTTGAACATCAATATTTACAGAGTTATTAAATTTTCCAAAACAAAGAATTTTAGAACACCCTCACCTATAAAAGCGTAACGTAAAGTTCATTTGTAAAGGTCACAAAGTATATGAATGGGTTGAATGAATTAAAAAGAGACAAAACATACTGTTAGAAGGAGAGGCTTGTAATATGACACTGTGGCGCGAGTTGTATAGGATGTTACAAATTTTGTTTCTTTTTTACTTAATTAGTTTGTTTGAAAAATATTTTTTTATAATTATGGATTTTGTTTAACGTTAATGTTTTTTTATGATTATTGGCACGTAGCGTTAGACGTGTGTTCATTTATTGTCGCGATGGTAACGCCACGCTGTATATGGGGCAACGAAGCGACGCAGATATCGCTGAAAAGGTGTAGTCTACAAAGATCTGAGCGCTCTCCAATCAGCCAACTGGCGAGAAACAGCCCAGAATAGAAAGCAATGCCGCCTTTTGTAAAGTAAAGTAACAGCCTATACATGTCCCACTGCTGGGCAAAGGCCTCTTCTACACAGAGGGTATCAGGGCACAGTCCGCCACGCGGCCCCACTGCGGATTGGCGGACTTCACATATTTTCGAAATATATATATTTTTTTGTTATTATTTAGAAAATATGCAGGTTTCCTCGCGATGTTTTCCTTCACCGCGGAGTACGTGATAAGTCAGCACTTAAAGATAAAAACTTTAGGCGCCTTTTAAATGGCCAAAATCCTCTTTGGTGTCAGAGCCAACGAAGTAAGGGCTTTTTTAAATTTATCAATTACCCCGCGACGATCCTCCCCTTAAGGCGCATTCTCTTGCGCCCTCTTTCGTACGGCTCAGATCACGTAAGGCTCTCTATTGATACAAATAGAGACGTTCGGGCCGTACGTTCGATAAAGCGTCCTATGCGGAATGAACAAGAGCGATTTTCGTTCGCGACCGCCACGAAAGTGGCTCCACGCGTGTTTGTTTACGTTAGGCAATCCGTCGGTCTGCGCGATCGTTACAACTTAGTCGTT